TCTTGTTTCATTTCGCTCCTCTTTATGTCATATTTTCCTTTGGTTACCTTTTTTCAAAATAAGCTGAAAGTTTGCTCTTTTAGCTCTAATCTGGACTAACTGTATTGCTTTACATAATTTCTTTCTGTTTTCATTAGATATGTTGCCAGTATCTATGTTCTCTTCTGATTCATAAACGATGTATTTTGAATTGTTTTATACAGGCGAGAATTAGCACGCTTTTCCTCTTTTGTCCTCTCCGTGAAGCTTTTTGTTTTGCCATGGCGGTTTCTTTGTCTTAGCTACGACTGCATAAAGTCGGTTCCGCTCATCATAACGCCATTTGCTTTCACATGCACCCTTTCTATTTTGAAATTTTTACTTTTATAAGCCGCATTGCAATCCCAAGGGCTGCATATGAAGTAGCTCATTGTCCTTACATGTAATCGAAATATGGGTGCGCATCTTGGAGTGTTACTTCTCACTTTGAACTGTCCTTTTCTAACTCCTCATGGAATCTCTTTTCGGGGTTGATAGCCTGTTTAGGCATTGCTCCATGTGCTCTAACTTTTGCACATTTACGCTTTGTTTTTCTGACGGTTGATGACTTCCTAACTGCTCTTATCCTTTCATGCTTCGATATTGTTTTGAGAAGATTATAATGTTTAGCTCTTTTTGAAGTTAATACATGCCTGAACTTATGCTCAAAATCGTGGTTGCATTTTTGCTGAAAATAAGGCTGGGAATCGTTAAGCCTCAGAAGCTACCTTTCAAAGTAGCTTTTAATTACTTTGTGGTTGTGTTTTTACTATTTAAAATTGAGTAGGTGGGTTTTACATCGGTTCATTGGCAACTATTGTCTTTGCTACTGACAGTTGGATGGAGTGTTGTTTTACCACGGCGACGTTTCCTACCGAAGAGGCTCGACACCACTGGTGGGGTGGCTGAAGCCGTACATGCTACCCGAGTGGTTTCCCTCCGTAAGTGTCCATCCTGCCTACCTGAGCGAAATGTCATCTGACTACAAGGACTATCTCAGCGACATTCAGCGCTACAAGGAGGCCACTCGGATGTACTCAGCCAGCTTTCGAAATAGCAAAGACAAGAAACTTACCAAAACAGAAGACGTTGAAATGACTTCATACTCTTAATTTAGGTTGGGAAAGTGTGAAAAGTGCATATTTTGTCAGCTTGGGACTACACTATAATTTGTTGCATCGAAGTAAGATTGTCATTATTCTCATTGGTTTTTCATTCGCGTTGGGGTGGTTTCGCGTGACAAACTGAAGCTGTCAGTAGTGGACTGTCTACCTATTTTTGTGGGGCGATAATGGTATGACTAATCGACTAGGGTTTATTGCTCCGTGGTTAGGTCTGCTCCTAACGACTTTTTGAATCAGAAATACTTTTGGAAGTTCACAACATATCTGCACTAATGCTTTGGTAAGATTGCGGAAGATTCAAGGGGTTTGTAGTTGAGTTACTGAAGGGAGAGGTATGTTGTAGCTCTATGATGTCTTTGTTTTTTTGTTACATGAAGCAATTCGAATAAACTCACAGGTGCATTCTTACTTAGGTGGATCTGGAGCTCCACACTGTGTAATGTTTGCGATACTACAGTTAGGGCTTATTGTAACAAGGAATTGACGCAAGCTGAGTTGGACTTTTGGAAGCGTTTAATCAGCTAAATGAGTGGAACTAGAGTGCCTAATCGATCGCAACTTGATGTGCTAATATGGGCTAATGACATGTCCACTCCTCTATGTTGCTTTGTCCCTGCGCCACTCGAGCCTCTCTTCGAGCTATAACTTGTCATTGGAGAATTCTATTTATATCCTTTCGCCAAGTCATTTTTACCTTCGAAGTGAGCTGCGCTTACTCTGCAGCACACGCCACAGACAACTTAGATGGCATTCTAATTTGGATGGAGAATGCGATATCCACCTATTAACCAGCACAAATACGAACTAACAACGTGTTTTCTGAGAAGGCAAGCATCATTTTACAAACCATCTTAGTGACGAACTCTAATCTATAGGCAGGAAACGCCATTAGATCACATAGTAAATTATGTCTGTCAACTGTCTAGTTTACTTTACGAAAACCAGAAAATCAAGTGGAAGTGAGAAGAAATCTGAAGCTAATGAATGGGAAATTGAAAAAGTGACGAATAGTTGAATGAATCGTGGGTGGGTGAATGAGTGGACGAGTTATGTCACCTTCAAGTTAAGAAAATGAACAAGGAGTTGCTGTAGTACTGTAAAAATGAGAACTGTTCCCTGATGTCTGGGCCTGCTTTGCGTCCACTAGTTTGAGTGTTGGGCGCATTTGGCCCCACGACCCCTTGGTTTTCGCATAGGATTTACCTTTTAATCATTTTCTTGTGTCCCTTGGCGAACTAATTTAAAGCACGTAAATGTGTCGAGAGCTGGCTTTGTTTTCCTTATTTGTGGAAAAAGCTAAGTGACAAAGGCGTGTCGAAAGGACCTGCCCTCGAATCTTATGCATACTTGATTCAAAACGAACAGATGCACAAAGAATTAGGAAAAAGATTTAACCCAATGTGTTTACTGACTACAATGGCTGATCACTCATTAGCACAGCTGCCTTCTTGGAGCTTAGGCTGATTTACTTCGAAGTGTTCCTTTTGTTGTAGATCCTTGCATAATTTCTCCACATGAGATGTCCACTGTCCTTAGCACAATGGCGTCTTTTGCCAGTAATCACACCTATTGGACAAAATCACTACACCTGATGGGTGCTAGCTCTGAAATTTTCCTGTCTTTCTGCCCAAAGGCCTCTTAACTAACACAAATTCAGAAAAGATGCCTGCTTTAAGTTAGTTTTACCGTACTTACAATACAAGAAGGGTAGTTTTTTGTTCAAACACCATTCGTTTCGACTAATTTACGTGTTACACGTTTGTTACCAAACAAGCGAACGAGCCCAAGACTGTGCCAAACCAGTTTATTTCTCAACAGCCAGCCCTTAGGTTGTCACCTCTTGGTAAAACTTCTAATAAGTTTTCTACCCATTTTCTGCTCTAATCCCATTGCAGCCAATGGTAATGCGCCCCAGGCTTTCTCACCTGGATGCCTAGGTCGTTTCAAAATTGAAGTGTGGATCACTTTTTGCGTCATGGGCTAAATCGATTTCGTGGTAACCTTCGTAGCTAATTGGGTGCTTACAGTGAATACCACGTTGCAGCCAGAAGTGGAATAAGGGTGCCTTTTCTCGCCTCTGTCTACTTCACCGAGGGGTGAAAGACTCTTTCAATACGTTTTGTGGACTGCTCTCTGTAAACCAATAGCAGATTTATGTCAGCATACCGAAGTGTCTTAAAAACCTTCTATGAAGACAAGTGAAATATAAACCTGCAAAACAAATGTTTTGCCACCCTCACAGAAGGTATTTGGTCCTTTCTGTCATTATTAACCAGGAAAATAGGTTACAAAAATGTAAGTTAGGGCTGAAAACTAGCCACGATTTCCGATCTTCTTAATCACAGTAGCATTATTATAAAGACAAGTCTGTAGTTGCTTTCATATCCTTTCCGTAATGCAAAATGCGTCAAAGAGGATCAGAAACTCTTAATGCGAGTGTAAAACGCATTCTGCGAAAATTAGCACTTTTCTCTATATAGATCCACTTAATACATTGCATCCGTTTAATAGAAATGTTTTTCAAAACCATGCCGAATGATGCACCAAACCAGGCAGACATTCCACCAATCGTATGCGAATTTCCGAAACAACTCCTCTCCCATTGGTTGGAGCACAACTTTCTCAGAACGCATGCGCATGGTCGGCTCAGGTTGACTTTGTGCTTAGCACAGAGGCTTCGGAAGAGAGAAGGGGATCATGGTATCGGTGTACCGATGATCATGCTGATTCCGGATGGACCTGGTAACGTGGGGAATAGCAGAACCTACGCCCGACGAGACGCCATTGCGAGTCGGGGTACGCACTACTCTGCCTTCGACCAGCTTGTGGATACCATCTGTACTGGTCTCCTGATTAAAACTGTGTACATAGTCTGTCTCACCACCCTCACTATGTCCCTCATCATTGAGTGCATCCTCATCAACCTCGTTATCCTGCCGTACCTACATGAGTCGTACTTTGAGGAGGCCACCTGCTACCTCCACTACATTGAGCCCAACATGCCCATGCTCAAGTGCGAGAACAAATGCTCAAAAGACCGATCCCAGTTCCCCTGCCTTAAAGTGCACGTTTGGTACGAGTGGGAAAATCGAAATCACAGTGCCAAGCTTTTCGATACCATTGGAACACACGAAAATTACAAAAAATACGGGGTGAGTTGCTCATTTTATTGCCCTCTATCATTGTTGCATGCTCTACCCAGTTGACTGACATTTTAAAATCAATTAGATGATCCGCCACAGGACTGTGCTCTACCATTCCAAAAGGGAGCAAATTTTTAAATTATGCACCGGCGGAAAAGCTTAGTTGACTTGCCATTGCTCTTCAGCCTTCTTGCCTTGCTGTGAAAATGTCTCAGTTCTCAAGAAACCGATGGAAGAGTGATAAATGGACGGGTATTTCGCTAAGAATCTCAAAATAAATCTTACCGTTTACAGCTACTTTGGATAGATTTTCTGTTTCTTAGCCGACTAATATGTTTTGCTCCATCATATTGGGTTTGACTGCATTCCTTATTAGTCGACGTCTAGGAAGTTGTTTGCGGTTCTCGCACTAAAGCAACTTACTAAAAATTTTATGAGTTGGTTGGTGCTGCCCCAGGTCGTTATAAACTCCACTTATGACATCCTCCATCATTATCCCAATTATCCTCACCCTAATCCAACCGAATTTGTAGGAAAGGGGAATGTCCTACGTTGACACGTCTCACTTACTCAAGGATTTGCCAAAGCTAGCACTTGTGCCTATAAATCCAAAATCACACAACAGAAACCTCGTTTTCGGTCCTTTAATTTAAAGCACAAAAGTACTATCCCAGTGACGGAGTGACCGCGTCCTCTCTCCACAAAGCGGTTCTAGGGGAACGGAGGAGGAGAAGTGACGCATCCAATGCCAAAAGGCATGCAAGTGATGGTGAACTCACTGCGAGCAAAAGCCAAATTAGGCGTCATATGCAAATGACGTTTTTGACAGATGTGTTTCTCTTGACAATTACCCTCTTCAAGTGACACCATCAGACTTTCACCTTGTCCGCCTTCCATTGCCGCAGTACTTGTTCGACAGATTGTGGTTTAAAAACGGCAGAATGTTTTTTTTTTAAATAGCTTTACTAATTTGAACGTTCTAGTCCCTGCGCTACTGGGAAAGGACATGAACTTCACGTTAATCCTTTCACTTGGCATTATTGCCTTTTTTATGTCTTCAGTGCTCAATACAGTCACACTTAATGATGCTAAACCGCTGACAGTAAAAACTCAAAAAACGGTGCCTCATCGGCAGCTCAAACGCCTTCCCCTCTTTACAGTCAGTGAAAGTTCTTCCAACTGCAAGCTTCATTCCTCATGTCCTGCGTCGGAATAGAGGGATAAGCGAGAGCACTTTTCCACCTCCTGCTTAATTATTAATAAACCACAAAAAACTATCAACGAAGATTGCACATAATGGAAAAGGGAGGTTTTTCTAAAACAAACTGGTGTTCTCGATTTGTGAAAACAAGGTTCCAACATTGAAACACCGTTTTCATCTCCCTCCCTCCCTCCTCTTACCTGGCGCCATTGGGCATGCGGGTAAAGAGGTCTGGATTTCCTGCTCGTCATTAAGAAGAAACTCACTTCCGTCGATGAATTATAGTAGAATGAGAAGAGTGTTTCCTGCTTGGAACCTACATGAAATTGAAGTACACATCCTTTGTCATATGGATGCTTTTCAAAGGTCTCTACGAGGGACGACAACCAAAAGCTCCTTTAAAATGAATGTGAACTTTTTGATTAAGGGCAATTACCCAAAACGAAGAAATTGTCGAATAAATTTAAAATAAACAGGAGGAGACTGTTTTAATAGTTGAGTTTGTTTTCTTGAAGGTAGCATTTTCATTCATGATTGAGGCATCTGCTCTCAATCCCCAGTGGACAGATTTTTTATTGAGAAGTATGTTTGGTCATTTTGTTAGGTCTAAAAGTTGTGCCACATCCACTTGGCCTTCTGTTGAGAGTGAGGCATAACCATTGCTCCTGAATGGGACGCTAAAGTGGTTTGGGTGCAAATTGTCCACGAGCTCCTCCGAAACTCCAAGATTGTGCGATTTCCGGAAGGATTATGTATGTTCAACACAGACGAGGTGGTGGCTGGGATGTGATGGGGTCGGGCGGCTGGGCTGCGCAGTAAGACGGTAGCAACGCAGCTTTTGAGCGGTGTAAAATTGCATCACGTTGGTGGCATCTTCGTGAATTCCCCTCCATTTAATTTAAAATGCTCTTTTTCTGCTAAATTCACCATGTTGATAAGACGCAGGAGCTGAACTAAGTTGCTCATCCACTAAGGGGAACTTTTGTTTACATTTTTTTCTTATCGTCTGAGATAAGGCGCTCTCCAAAGTGCTTTCATGGCGCAGTTGTAGCCTTACCGATAACCTTATAGGGAAGAGTAGGTAAAGTTTACTCCGATTTTAAATCGCCTAAGGTCCTAAACAAGGCAACCTACTTTGTCGTGGATGACAAACCTTTCCATACATAATTATTGCGTTAGTGCAATTTGCCTTGACAAGCCTATTTCTACAAAAACCGAGGAAAGTGAAGTCACTTCACGCAAATCATGTCATAATCAATTGTGATGGTGCTAGAGCAGGATTAGATTGTGGAGGGAAGCTGTCTACTGGAGTGGTCTAGCAAATGGAAAAACAGAGATTGTTCTAACTAGTCACGGTTTGTGCATTGTTAAGGCTGACTTTGGTGGTGTCTGCGGTTATAACTCCTGTTGATGTCCTCGACTATAAATTTCTCAAGGTAAGGGCTGCGATTTTACTTTAAAGTTGAGACAAAGTTCCGACAATTCGAAACTCTAGAACAAGTGGTTCTTGTATCGAAATTTGAATGCCTACTTTACTAATAACGTCGCCTCCTCCGTCCGCCCGCCCACCTCTGCACTGACAACGAAGTGACCAGGCTTGGCATTTCGGTAGAAAATAAGAACCGACAACATCAAAAAGCAATCTGCATTCGTTTGAGAACTTTTGAGATTTCTAAAAATTTTCCATCAATTATTACTGGACTTTGAAAGAAAAACAACAAAGTTTTGGCTACTGAGAGGGGCAGAGGCATCGTGTCGCCTCGCGCTGTTCTCCCAAGCTGCAGCTTAAGTTGAACACGTTAGCTGCTGTGGCAACGTTGAGTCATGTCAGTTAAAAAGATTTCTTGGTGTTTTGAACTGTAGAGTGGTTTTTTTCAAGCAATGCCCTGAAAGAGTAAGTTCATTCCTTATCCTGACCGAATTTGGCATGAGAGAATTGGGCAAAAATGAAGGCCAATTCCTGCAAAGATAACCAGAACGGACTTTAAGCTTCCGACCACTTTTGGGTGCACACAAATTAAAATGGGAGATTTGTATTACTTACTCCTCAAACCATTCCACAACTCTAAAATCGGAGTCAAAACAGGCTTCGAGGTCTCCAACGCTTTTGTTGCTGCTGTATCTGCGATGCTAAATCTTGGCGATTGGTAACATTTTGTTCATGGCGAAGTAGTCCTTTAAATTAGTTGGGTAAAGAAATTCAAAACATTCTTAACATACGATGATTCTGTGAGTAACTTTTTTCTTATGTACTTCATTTTGAGACTAAGAATGTTAAAAAGTCAAATGTTGAAAAATTGCAAACTGAAGAATGATTTTGCCACATTTCCTTGGTAGCCATGGTGTTGTAAATAAATAAGGCTGCAACAATAGCAACAACTGTCCGCCTTAGTCGAAGCCCGCGGCCAACAGTGATCGGATCTTGCGACCTCACGAGGCCTCCTCGAGTGTCTCGACGCCACCTTTACCGCTCACCACCTTGGCTCCACGTTAATATGCACCACTTTCAGTGGTCTTTTGAAAAGCAGCGAGGGTGACTGAAGGTGGGTGGAAAATGCGTCCTTCTCATTTGTCCTTCGAGCAAACTTTCATGGCAATTGTAGCCAAATCGTTAAAACGCTGGAAAGTTTTCAGGGCACTATTAAGTTTAGCTTTGACTTGAAATGCACAAACTGTGTAGAGTGTGCTATTTGTCAGGGATTTGGCACAACTCCTAACTTCCAATTTTGTTGTCTTCTTTATTGTTCATTGGAAAATGCTTCTCTGCTTCCATCACCTGTGCATATCTTTAGATATACGATACGATCTTTGTTTGATACCTCATTGCGTGTTTGACCACAATAAAAACTTCATTGTTGCACATCTAAAAACTACCATCGCTACCGTAGTGCTCTGCGTCTTTCCTGAAGTCACAGGAAATCATGTTAACACAGTCGACAATGCTTTGCTGGCGCATGACAGTGCCAGCGAATCCAAAAAAAATCGAGTTAAACAAACTGTCAAAGCACTACACCACCGCCTAGTGCTCTGCTAATAAGTTGGCCCTCAAATAGCAATTCCACTTTAGTTTTGAGACTTCGATCACATTCGAGGAGAAGTGTTTGAGAAGTACAAAAACACTTTTGCATGAAGCCAAAATGTCATTTTTCATTTGTAGTGCGTTACATCCACCTGTTATCGTCGACCGGAAGACAATAGATACGTGGTTGATCTCTTTCGAATGCGTCTGCTCTCGCGCACCAAGTTCCGCTGCTTTGTGTCAAGCAAGTACCGAAGCCGTGAGGCGTTGTTGGACAAATTCCACCGACCTCAAACCATCTTTCATTCAGCCTTCTGGCCAAGTCTAATTTTCTTTGTCTCCCTCGTCCTCCTCCTCATGACCCTCTTCTTCCATCGTTACCGATCGTGGAAGCATCACAGTATACTTCTAGAATAGATGTGTACATATTCAGTTGCCTTTTCAAATGAGCACTGTGTAAGTTTCCCTTCATTTGGCTGTACAAGTGCATCATGATCCTTCGGCACTCACCAATCTCCCAGACCTCAATGCAGACTCACCTGAGCGATGCGGAGCACCACATCTATTATTCATTCCGCATAACAATCAGCGGCAATGGCGCCATTTATTAGGCTCAATGAGGGGCCACTGTGGACTCCTTATTAATAAATGATAAAGGCAAATATCAGTAGTCACATTGTTTTGCTGACATTTTCAGCGAACCTCAATTATCAGCCAATTTATAACCGGCTAATAAATACTGCTTGTCTGCAGAAAAGAAAAAGGAATTGATAAAGCGACTCGATACTCATTTTTGTTCCTTAAAGCTCATAAATTTGTCCCTTCGATACTTCCAGTACCGCTCATTTGCCATTATTTTGGAGTGGGTTTCGCTTCACTCCAAAAGAAGTTAGTTTTAAAATTTTGCTACGAGTTTGGAGCTTACAACCGGTTAATAAGCGCAATTGGCAGACTTGTTGTTGGCTTTCGGTGCACACCACCAGAGCCCCAAGGCCCAAAGCCTCATTTGTGGAAGGCCAGCACCAAGAAGAAGACTACAACGCTGGAAAATCCTCGAAGGATCATCTACTGGCCGCGAATGCGCTTAAAAGATTGTGCACGCAAAGTCCATATTACGAGAAGTCAGTTAACTTAAATCGAATTTGTCGTCTCCCGACCTGATTATGTCCTTTCCAACAGATTGTGGTTTGGGCAATTTGGCGATGCAAAATTGTTCTATGAAATAATCTAGATTGGGTGAAGGAAGACGTTGTATTTTATCACCACTTGGGGAACTTTTAATATGACACGCATACCGTCTCGAGGGCATGCATTCCAGACGCAGTAATGCATCACATTGGACCTCGTTTCACAGTCTTTCCTCTTTATTCTCCCAAACTGACAAAATCAATCAAATTACTCAAAATCCATGCATTTAATCATCGAAAATCCACAGCCCATCCGCTCCGTTGAAAGCAACACAAACATAACCTCGTAGTTGTTGTTGAAGGTGGCATTGCCGCTCCGTCCCAGTACTGATGCGCCAGTCCTCTCGCCAGTTGGACTCCTTTATTAAGACGTAACAGCCTGTTCAGATGAGGTTTAATCTGTGGTCTCTCTTAAATAACCTCTGAACTGCAAGAATGTTGGACGATGAAAGACACACAAATAGTGCGGCTCCAGAGCTGGTTTGAAAGGTCTGAAACGTGGATTGAGGCATTCTATGCTGTAATAGCATCACAAATGTTCACTTTGCATGAGTGACAGAACTGGAAAATATTTTATCCTGGCAGCAACTGCAACAGGCGCTATGGCGAGCATATCACAGGCGATGATTTATGTAGCAACGATTGTGTCAAAAAGGGAACGTCTCAACGCTCAAAACATAAAAGCCATTTGTTCATTTTAAGAAGGGTTTTAGTAGGTTGTGTCCACGTGGGATGCAAGCATTAATTTCGAGTGATGCCGCCCTTGCATTGAGTCTAGAATGTATAAAAATGTAGGCTTCATCGTCTTCAAAGGCCTTTTCTTAATGACTTCAATTCCCGAAGGTCTCATTTCTTTTTATACAGTCTTTACCACTAAAAATTCAAGTGTTTTATCAATCTTCCACACCGCTAGCGCCAAAGTGATAAACTCAGTTGATACTTCAACTAGAAATTTTCTGGAGTCACTTCCACTTCTTTAAGTCCATCCAAAGCTCTCACAAAACACTTTCCGCTATCGGTTGTCACTCAAGTGTAGATGACATTTGCCACACATCTATGAAGGCAAATCGGCAGAGACTGGACAGCGCTTATTTTCCTTCTAGCATTTTCCATGAGACAACTGGTTTATGATATACCATTTTGCAGCCATCTAATGCTCACTGCAGCAGCAGCAGCAGCAGCAGCAGCAATTTGTGAACTCGAGGATGCAGTGAAGGATAGCGTTTGACGGCAACCCAATTATATTTGTGATGGCTTCTGTTGTCTGAGATCACCCTTTTCGAGCCTGTGTCTTGCCTTGGTTGTTGGCTGAGGTAGTGGCAACTCCGGAACAATTTCTACTTCACTCCTAAAATAGTGATGAGGCGAAATTGGGGATTTTTAGAGCGGCAACACAATAGCGTAGTGCACTGCCACCAAAGTTATTCCGTCGACTGCTGATTAGGCCTTAGACAACTGTGTTTTGCTTCCGGTGCGGCTGTCTTCAGGTGACCAGGGTCGCATCATAGACCTCTCATTGCTACTCCTTCAATGCTAAAATTCTCTCTGGCTAGGATGTTTGACAAACCTTCCATTAAGAGGAATAAATTTGACGACACTTGGAATTTGCACATACTAATGGCAGCTAAAATCTCGTAGGAAAGGATTGGAGCCTTAAGTCCCATGTCTTTATTTCGTCCGGATGAACTAACCTTGGCGGTGATAAACCTGTGAGAAATTTAAAAGAATGCTCGAAAGTTCAAAATCCCAAAAAAAAAAAACAAAAACGGAAAAAGCTTCCTCACTAACACTGCTCCCCAACCAGTCGGCTGAATTGCGCCTTCACTTTGGGTGGCATACACTTTTAATCGCAGACCTTCAATTTGTCAACACAACCCTCCAGTTCGTCGGGATTTCCTTCCACAATTAAATAAAAACAACTGTATATACGTATTCAGTTTGACAACAAATTATAAAATCGGGAGGCAGTGAAGGTGCTAAATTTATCTTGATTGTCGATCAAAGTCGTTAAGAAAAAAGCAAACTGAGATTGGGACAGGCAAGAGTGGTGCCATTTTATGGTCGAAACTTTGCTATGCGTAAGACCACCAAGTTTGGATAATCGAATGCTCAAAAATTACAGAGGATAAAAAAGTCTGCCATTTATTTCAAAATCATTCGTTGTGTTTTATGGAGAACTTCTGCGTGGCTGTTTGAAATGGAAAAAAGGCCGCACAAGTCCAGGTTTTTTGTCGACATTAAAATAGAAGCTCGAAAACGAGTGAGCCGACTTTTGGGTGTTTTTATGCATTCATGGGTGGTCCTGCTGTGCTTGATGCTGCTTCGGCGATATCATCGAAGACGAAAGTGGAAATTGTTGGCGCGATGCATCAAGCCCGAGTCAACTGTTCATCGCTCAATAGCGAGCATTGCTGCCTAATAGAGGAAGTTGGCATCACAAACACACTTCCCAAATGTGCTTGTGCCTCACATAGGGCACTTTTCATTTCACGAGCAAATGACTGATTTTCATGGACAAAGTGGACAACCAATCGATGGGACGTAAAATTGGAGGTCAACAAAGAAAATTAACCTTGAAAAACTTTGATAAGTTCTTGATACACAGTCACAAAAAACAACCTAGCACTGGATATGCTTTCAAGAAATCTTTTCATGGTTTCACAGCCCTCTCTGACGAGCTAAGGTACACCTCGCCAGTTTGTCAAGAATTGCATTTCAGTTAAAAGCACCGCCACCTCTTAATCGGAGGGATTTCACAAGGCAGCATTAGTCGACTGGCCAAAGTGCCCGTCGTCAATGGTGTGCAGAACCGCCGGGGCGGAGCATAGCAAATATGGTCGGCCTAGTGTGTTATCCCAGTGGGCTGTGGTAGACGTGTCGAGAGCGTTAAATATTTAAGTCCACCACATTGATAGCAGGAACCTGCTACCCAGCTTCCCATTTCCAACAAGCGAAACGCAATGACAGTTAATTTAGTGCATACAATTGTGCTAAGCTATTTTTAGGCACTGCATTATCTCCGAATCCTATCCAATTTAGACAGTAGAGGTTTTTACTTAAGTCTCCCATTCCCTCGAAGTTTCCGGTTCTTTTGGTTACAGCATAAAACTGTGTTAGATATACCTATTGAACTGTCGTTGAAGGCAAAAAAGTATGAATTAAATTAACAAGTCCACAAGGGAAGTGCCTCTGCGCTCTTCAAGTATTTGTACTCTCCCTACGGCTTGAAAACTCCCTTGACACAACCGACAAGGAAAATAGAAGCAGCGTCAAAGCCCCCAAAACACGAACCTCTATTTAACGCGTTTGATTATTAGGGCAGATGCGACTCGAGGAGGCAGACTTGACTGTAGACTTTGATCGCTTTTCCCACTTCATTTATGCGAACAAATTAAATCAGACGCAACCCAGCCAAATTCCATCAATTTTAATAAAATAAAGGAAGTTTGGACCTGACTCCGATAGTTTTATGGCGGCAAACCTAATAAACGCCTGGTTGAACCAGCACCTCATCCCGCAATGCCAACAGTGGTGCTGTTGCCAACGAAAAGAGTTTCCTTTCAGTTCGCCTCCTCTCCCACAATGTCCCCCTTCATCGGTCAATCATGTCACAGAGCAGTGATTTCATGATACAGAGGCCTAGGTGCTAGAAAGCCATACTGTTGAGCAATTATTCACTGTCCTGAAAAAGGTACCCCATTCTCTGCGTCGCAAACAATGGTAACCGGCTTTCGTGGACAACCCAAACCCACCAAATGAACGTAGGCACCCACCAAGAAACATATTTGATAGCTATCACTAAATGTCAATGTCTCTGCCTGTTTCGACTTTAGTTCACCCCTTTTTTATTTCTCCCTTCCGTTCTTCTCGTTATCCTTCGACTTCTTCCCTTCCTCCTTTAATTATGGACTCAAGAGGCTGCACAATCTCCTCTGCTCACCTATAAATTATCTAGCAATTCAGCAATTCATTTACCCTCCTCTGCAGTCATGTAGAAGCGTTGAGGAATTTATAAGCCTCTTTTACACGTATTTGCCGAGCTTAGCCAATCATCAAGTCCAAAAGCTTTTTGAAAGAAGAAAAACAAAAAAAAACAATGCAACATTTCGCCCTGAATTCTGCCGCAGATTCACGTTTGAGATATTTTTTATGATCCTAATGACAGTAGCAGCCATCCTAGTTGGCAGACTTGAAAGAGTTCTGCCACTAGACTTTTGATCGAGCACGCATGGAATGCCCTCCAACACTAAATGGACTGCTTTAAGGACTCTTTGCCAGCTCCAGTTGCCAAAGACTATCCCAAGCTATCTGAAATTGCCGCAATATTTGACGTTCCTGCACCAAGTTAGGTATAAATTCAAGTAATTTGGAAGCTGTACCGCAATTCGGCAATGCAAGTCCGTCATAACAACCGCGTTGCCTCAGGAATCTGTATCCAAGCGGCGGATGATACCCGCACATAACGCCAAAAAACTGAAGATGGACCCATTGTTTTATAACACACTGAAAAAGCGGTATTTCCGGACCCACCCAGTGCTCATTTTCAGTTTACCAAATAACAAGCTCATCGGAAATCTTTCCTCGTGCTACAAACGTTGTTAGATGCAAAAGTTTGGGCATGATAAGGGACAGTAAAATAGACATGAAAAAATCTGGGACAGTTATTTCCTCGCCCAAAATCCACTTCGCTTGACGAGCAACATATCCTCGCATTGGTGGTATAGACTGGTTGACAAATTATCCTTCTTTTTGAACTCAAGGCTCACGTTAACAACAAGAAGACAGAGGACAGTAGCTTGCAAACGACATATGCCAGAGAGCAGCAGCAATAGGATGTAATGTTTGGCAAAGCAAACCACTCCAACCAACCCCCGAACACAGAACACCTTTTGCCACACGGAGGCTCACAGCAAAAGGAGGGTTGGGAAGTCCAAGGACTGACCTGCATACTGTGCTGACTGGTTAGATGAATTATTGTTTGTCAATTAATTTATGGTATGTACTGCCCGAAAATTAGGAAGTTTCGAAATCTAATTAAGCGTCAGGCTATTACTAATGCATTGCATTCGACTACAATGAAGCTCTTCTGATGCAGCCCCATAATCGCATAAACAAATTATGCCCTTTGAATGGTAATCGATCTCCAACTGAAAGATCCGAGGATTAATCGTTTGAGGATGAAGATCTACGAAGAGAAACCAAATAATTGCGCTGGGCGTGTCTACTCGAGAGTGCAACTCAAAGATTAAAAAAACATTTGCAAAGAGCATACTTTACGGTTTGACTCTTAACTTTCCCTTCTCCAGTGGAAACCGAACCCAACTCTTCTGCAAGCGAAAGACTATCCTAATAAAGAAGAAAATATTCTTAAGCATTAGTCCGAAGTGCATACGTTAGCCAAGTTTGCCCAAGCCCATGACCAAATTCAACCGTAAACAGCAGTTAATCTCCCAGCGGTTCCGAATGTGATGCCGCAATAATGATACTAAAAATCCAGTTACCAGAGTGGGTTTCTAGCCTCTATTCTCCTCAGGCCCGCAAGTGTGGCTGCCATTGTAAACTCTTAAATGGAATATCAATAACGACCTAAAAGCCGCCTGCAGTGTTCTCGCTTTGCCTCACCTCCTCATTGCTAATCGTAGGATGATATTCAGAATAACAATTTCACCTTCGCTAGTCAATGTGCTGAATCACTCTGATAGCTCACTCCCGCAGAGGTTCGCAGACAAATATGGGCATTCAGATACCCATATTTGCACATTCAACCTTCTAATAACATAGAATGAACACAGTAACTAGGAAAAATAACAATGAAAGCCGACACTTTAAATGTCTTGACCTTGCAAAGCACGCAAAATTAGTAGGAGAAAGTTGTGGTCGCGAAAAATTTTATTCAATATCACAAAGGAAATCCCAAGTTATGAAAAGATAAATCACTTCAGCTTAGCCAGAAAACATGAGGAGCGATAGACAAAGGCATCTAGCAGACTTGCCACTAAAAGGTATCAAAAAGGGTACTAAGTAGACCGAGAGGGGTAGGCTACTTATGTGAATATAAATAGCAAGAATAAATAGTGGCCGCAATCGCTTAAAAAATGCTTTCTAGAAAACTCAAATCACAATTCATGAATCAAACGCAATGGAAATTCAGAGAGTGAATAAGCATAGTCTCCTGCAGTAGATGAATTTCCTAAGATACCACTATCGCTTTAACACACCAGAACTGTGTGTTGTGTCATTAGGGGTATATTTCGAAGAGTAGCTAGGTAGATGTGAAGAGGTGGCCTAAACTATCATTATAGAAAAAAAACACTAACAATTTTGTGCTCAAGCAAACGAAAACATTTCGCGCACTTTTAAAGCATGTAAAAAAGTTAAACAAATTGTTCAGAAACATTTTAGCCAGTTAAATCCCGAAAACATACATGAAAGATTGAATGCCAACTAAACTCATAAATGAACTTTATTTAAATGATTTCACACTACTGATGCAACAGAAGAATCACATCTTTCCAACTATAATATTTAGTAAACGAAGGAACATACCTGTGTAAACTCCACCAACAATCGCGCAAGTGTTCGTCAAAAAGTGCAGAAAAGATCTAAAAGAGTTAAACAGTTTAGCCGAAACGGTCGCAGATGCGAAGAGGACTGGTTCAATCGGATGTGCCTACCTTCGTTCTTTGGCGAGCTTCACCAGAAGTGGACTTATTTGGTAGTTGAAGAAAACACCTGGAATGCCCTCGGAGCCCCCTGTTAAGGGGGTCGACCTAACTTGCCAAGTGGCAGAATACTGGTTGGTCACCAACGTCTACAACCCAATGCATGATATAAATTATCATAGCTAACCCTTTATTTCACTTAAGAAAAGTTTACTGGGCGTCCAATAATGTGGTGAAAAAAATAAACGACAGCACGACATAAGATCGAAATGAACGTGCTAAATTACATTGTAGCTTAGTATTTGACTACACGTGAGTTATCTCCATACGAGCCGTGGCCTGCGAGCAATGATGCATGCAATTGCCAAAGTTAGACTATTCCCAAATTCAGTGCAAGTGAAATAAAGTATAACCAGCATACCTTTTCCGAAAAATCGGAGTAGATTGTTGGCACCAATTTGAGGAAATAGGAAATCATTGGAGACTCTTGAAAAGACCGAATCCCAAGTAGAGTTACCAAAAGTTCGCAGATGAAATATTAAATTCATCCAATGTTATTCTTAATACACCCACCATTAAAGGAAAAGTGAAAAATTTTGCATGAAAAAGGTCCAAAGTGGTCAAATAAGGAAACAAATGTCAAACATTTGGTAAGGTCATTGCTTCAAAATCAGCCATAACAGGATCCGGAAATGAACAACTAGCGGCTATGCTACGTTCATCCAAAGACATCATCCTTCCGTACACACATTGACAATGTGAAAACAAGTTAACTCTTAGCCTCAAAATGTAGATAATCAAAAAATACAAGGCAAGTAATAGGATAAGCTGCTCGAAACTGATAGAAGCCTATCAATAAACGAGTTATGCAAGTAACGTTATTCATAACTACTTCCTTGAATGAAACGCCACATACTTGTTTTGTCAGACATGTTCGTGTTGTCTAAAGGATTTATTTGGCCAGGATATGTGTCACCGAAGCTCAGATGCCGAATTTGGTGATCCAGGATAAACTGTATGGTTCAAACACAAAAAAATGAAGGAATTATGTGAACCTTCCATGTTCTGGGGTTAAATAACAGGCGTGTTTGAGTAGATAAATGCAACGGTTCCCACAAACCAAAGCTCAGTCATCCACGATCAACGCATGGAGAAGCCGAAGGAAAAATGCCCTCCATAGAGACATTACAACAGTATACATTTTTCCCATTCCACAGAAAAGCGTAACCAAGAATTTCATAAAAATTTATGTTGCGTTGCCTTGACACACTACATTGAATCCACAACATATTTCTAAGCTGCAATACCTGGTTGGCTATTACTTTCTAACTCCTTCAAAATCATCCAGCTTAAAACCCTTCAACAAAAATAACCTAACCAGTTTACGAAAGAGCAAACAACGGAGTGCGACAAAATGAACCTATACTCACCTGTTTGCCAGAAAATGCCATGAGATCATGAACGTGAACATGACCCTGACCGTAACTTTTTCCTGGAGCAATGTGGAAAGTACCAGCCACCTTGTTCACTCCAAGTTGTCCCACAAGACGACAACCCTCTCGGCCGATGGAGACCAGACTACCCGCCTCTCTCTCATCTTTGCATTGTTCGAAAGCATCAGAGTCGGGAACGCTCCAGCCACGAACACGATAAGCCTCCAGCACACTTTCGCATGTATTACAGCACCTGAGGCGCACAGAACATGTACTGGGCATGCATTCATACAAGCCTTATGCTTGGGTTCATGCTTACCGGTTATCTTCAATTCCTGCTCCATAGCACGATCCACAATAGTCCTTACTCTAAAAAGAAATACATGGAAAAAGAGAGACCTACACGTTTCAATTCCAACGCCTTCATTTTATCGGAATCGGAATCTATACCATGAGACATGAAAAAATGATTTACTGGAGTCCACCGCACTTCCGTCCGGCAATACGCGTGTCTTGTTTACATCTTTTGTTATAGCTGAATGCTGTTCGCCGGAAATATCCATCGAGTCCACAGAAAGCACTTTCAAAACGATGACGACTAAGGACTACTTTCCTACCATAGCATGGTACAAATGGAAAGATAATATCAAAGCTGATCGACATATGACGATTGCGAGATATATCTACGATAATTTCCTGTTTAATAGAAGGTGAGAGGTAGTCAGCGACTTCCCACGTAAACAAGACGAGAATAATTAACAAGAAAACAATCGTAACTGAAAAGAATAAATCAGAACGTTAAAAATATAACAAACGGAAGGCTCCAGGGACCGTTTGTATCCGAAAGTCTTTAAGCGGCTTCGCAAATGCATCGAACCGACGCAAGGAGCGAGATAAGAACGCAGGTGACATCATTATGTAGAGCGCAGCACCTTGGGGTGAATTAAAAAAATAAACTGGACTAAGAGATTTTAAGGTTAACTGTAATGTCTGAATATCATCTTTGTCGCCCTCTTAGTAAATCGAGTTAAAATTAGAAGATACTCTGATTATAAGATTCAGTGCTAAGTCGTTTCTTAAATCAAAAGAAAACAATAAGTACCGAATTGTTCTTACAGCACTTTGATCATTAGACCTTCTGCGGAACTCCACTACTTTCTATTAGGTATCAGAAGGCATTAGTAGTGGCAAAATACCTGTATTTTGACAGAGGAAACTAACTATGCACAGGTTTGTAAGTAACAGCTAGACTTCCAACATGTTTGCGTACAGTAAAACACATATACTTTCAAGTGTGCAATAAAAAGCTTCGGAAGATGTTGATGTAGTTACTGCCTGTCTACCCTCTGGTCCCAGGTTCTCAGACTTTAAGAGGAAGTTGGTTGCAGACGATTTATTAGGCATCGCTGTTAGGAAGGATGGGGAATAGGATTCAGATGAGGTAAGAGATATCATTCGGAGGGAGGCTCCTCGCCGACTTCATGCAAGTGATCCACGTTCCCAATTGGTTCCCGCCTCTCAGCTATAAAAGTCCACTTAAACAAGCTAGGGTATATTAAAGTTGATTCACAGAAGTTGGATAAAAATGTAAGGGGTAGCAAGTGACATCTAGTGTGATACATGCCCCTGTTTATGCGAGTAGTCTGGCCATTGTATTCGAGGGCTGACCTTTAGGCCATGCTCAGGCCTGGTTGCCTTGCGCTCTTTGGAATATACGTATCCAACTGCACTTACTACCTTCTTCCACCTGGTGAGAAGTCTCGAGACGACACACTGGTGGCAGCGGAAAGCGAATCGGACATTTTCTAATGACCTCTATCCTAGCGCGTGCCGTTTGTTGGATGTATCTGCAGTTTAGATGAGGCGCACTTACATCGGAGGCGGATACTCTCTGAAGTCTTCACAACAAGAGAGTTAAGACTGACTTCTGCGTTTGGCTATACCCCAATCTCGTGATTCGCGGACAAGCTATTAACAACTGACTCGACACCACCGTGAACCATTTGGAGGAGTTTCGGGCCGGAATTTCTCATACAAAATCCGTTTATTGGTGCCGAAAATGACACAACGATCTTCCATTTATGCGGGACAATGGCTTATCCCGTTTTCTCCAAAACATTTCTGTTTTAGACCAGAGTATAAACATCCAGTCCTGAAAGCATTTGATGGTAAACAGATGTATGCGGCCCCAAATTTGGTTGTCAGACCGAACGTAACCTTGAATTAAGTTGAAGCTGCCGAGGAGTCCAAGCACAGTTTGGCTCATGGGTGCTTTCATGTAGTACCGAATATGCTATGACGGCTGGCGCGGGAGGTGTACCAAGGGGATTGCTAAGTACGTTGCTCAAAAGAAGAGAGGGACAAGGGAATGCTTTGTTTATGTGACCACCTGGGGTTGGATAGTCACTTTAAGACTTTGATGGCCCTTGTACTCGTAGGCTGGCCTTCGGGCCATGCTCAGGCCTGGTTGCTTTGTTCGCCTTGGCGTGCATGTATCCAGTATCACTTACTGCCTTCTTCCACCCGATAGGAAATGCCGAAACGCTATAGCAGCCAAACATAAGGACCGCTGAATTAACAAGGTATTGCTCAGTATTCGTAGTATCCCGGGGCTTCCCATCAGGTGGAAGAAGATATAATGTGGAACTGAGTTTACGCATTGCAGGGAGAACTAAGTGATTAGTCCCGAGGTCGACCCATGAGTCAAACCACGCATACGAGGACTTGACAAATATTGAATTAGCCGCCAGGCATCAGACATCCACATAGATGAAGTGCTGCGACATCTTAATACACCTCCCGTGTTATCTATCACAACAAATTCGGTACAACCAGGAAGAACACCCAGTTCCTTTGAGATTAGGAGAACACAACATGCTCTCTCAGAAGCTTCTATAGGAGCAACAAATTTATGCTTAACAGAAGCAAATCAGAAATCATTCATATAGAATTTCTGAAGTGTAATTCAGAAAAAAGAGAAATGTCTGGGATTTTGGGTTGGCCTAAAATAATTGCACTTAGAAAATAAGGCTTAATGTTAGGGTTATTATACCAATTTGTTTTCAAACCATGTAACGTGCAATGCCTTCTACTATTAAATTTTGAGTCTAAAGATTTCACAGTTGTGGCCCTCCAGGACTTACAGCTAGGTAGATAATGGTAGTAAGTTTCGATGATAATATGTATTTTCAGGAGGATGAGAAGGGATTGGGTCTTGGCTTTGCCCGAATGCAGGCCCACGCGTACAAGCATAAGTCAAATGCTTAAGTAACCGCCAGATATCAGGCGGTCGAATATACAACTTATTACACTGCTCCTCTCTTCTTTTGGTCAACGCCCTTGTAGAGTTCCGAGACCTCCTGCTGGATATTCCAAAAGGAACAAAGTAATTAGGCCTGATCATAATCCGAGGGCCAGCCCATGAGCACGGGGGCCAGACGAATCTTGAAGTGACCGCCAATCATCAGGGAGTCACATGAACATACCAATGCATTCCTCGACAGCTATCTGATTCGCCAGCAATCACAAAATACTCGGTATTATAAAAAAGCACTCACGAGCCATCCGCACTAGTCAAGAGCTCCAAAGAGGCTGGGGTAGGTAATTGGTCTCCTCATCACCTTCATCTGAATCTGGAGTTACGCTCGGTATGGCAGGCGGGTCGAGGGTCGCATGTCTGTCGCCTATCAATTGCTTTTAGGGCTAGACGATGGAACATTGGTCAAATACAGATATATTACAAGGAAAACGAGATCAGACACAATCCCGGAGATCCGTCATTTCCAGATGTAGTATGAAGAATTCTGATAAATTGCAGTGGTGTCGATTCAGTTGTTAATAGCTCGTCTATGTAACAAGAACAAGCTGAAGCCAAACCCAGACATCAGCTTTATTGGAAGGTTTTCTGAGAATCCCTCGCCCTGTTAAATGCGCTTCCTTCGAATAGTAGATTTAATTATTGGAGCCTTTAGAAGAAAAGTCGGATTCGCTTTTCGCTGCCACCAGTGTTGTGCCCCCCGGTAATATTCAGAATTTGAATTCAATCATGTCACTTCTTTTCCTGCCACTGCAATTAATTACCACCTCTACTTTTTAACTTGGTTAATTTTGCCATTTTAGAGCCCTGTTAGCTTCTGATTTGTAATTATTTCGAAAAATGCACTATTTTGTTTAGTTGGACTTCCATGGACGCTAATGATGGTTCGATCTGAATGAACAGTGGAGTACCTATGACATTTGAGATTGAGTCGTTGGTCTGGCTTTCTTAAAGAGTACGACATACGAATTGTCCGTTGGTGATAACATGTCTACAATGAAAGCAGAATGCAGCGGTGGTGCTGATGTACGTGCTGACCTTGCTTCCAAAGACAATGAAATGCTAAACATTCATAAAGCCAATCAGATATTCACACTACAAAAGAATATCGAGTTTTTAAAGAAGAACCATCAGGAAATGCTGATGACATTGCATAATGAAGTAGAGCGCCTCAAGAAATCGAATTGTGGTAGGGTTCTTACTGCACTTTATTTCTTCAAGAACTTCAGCACATGCTTATTTTGGAGCGAAAGTCAGTGAATTCTGCAGCGGACGATGCAGACGTAACGCTCTTGATGGGAAAAATTCGGGATCTTGAGACCCAACTTCAATCAGCTCAGCAGAAAAATGAACTACTAAAAAAGGAGCTCGAAACGAGAAAGAGATTTAAATTCGCTAATAGGTATTAATTATTCTCGTGTTTGTATTTCGAATCTTACTAATATCCGGTAGTACGACTAATCTTAACTTTGTTTTCTTGGACTCTGTCCTATTGATTGCTTGGCTCCATCATATTGGGCTTCAATTTTGCAGAATCTACGCTTCTGTTGACATTTTGTAGCACTTCTCATGATGCTTTTTTTATGTGACTTGATTCATTTCCCTTCGAAATGTACGCACAACTCATTCCATTGCGGACGTTTTGTAGACACGTTGTGGCTGAAAGTCATTCGCCCATTGTCCAAAAAGCTGAAAAGATCAGGAAGACGGGATCGTGTATGAAAGAAAACACGACTATTGTGGGAGATTCGCCCGTCGAGTTGCATCGAAAATGGGCCGAAAATTCATCCTTTTATGCTGAAAACCATACGGTATGTCGGCATCTCTTGGCAGTTTCTGTTTTTCAAGCTCTAGACCATGGCACATTGATGACAATTGACTACATCTTACTGAATCATGTTGTTAATTTTAGGGCCCCTCACCCAGTCTAGAAAAGCGGAAAGGCTATAAAGGTTGACAATGGTCATACAAACGATCATTTTCGCACCACACTTGAGAGCATGTGAGACCTTATTTTCTAAAATTAATTTCAATAAATATTTTGAGATTGTTTCAGTGTTCTCGTAGTCAATTATTGGTGCCGTGCGTTGGAATGGGTGAGGGGCCGTGTGCTGTCTGCAAAAATCTCGCTTAATTCTCCTTAGTTCGCCTTTGAGAATCTCCTCTTAAGCTTTCATTACTCTTTAAATACTCATGTTGGTTTTATTCTTAGGTATCGAATTAAATGCTTTTGCTGAAGCATTTAAATCAGGTTCTGTCTTTCGCAAACATTCTTGCTATTTGTGGTGGCAAGTTTAGTTGATTTAGCACCAATATTTAGAGTTTGGATTCTTCAAAATGCAAGCTCCTTTTTAACAATTTCGTGACAGCAATTAGCGTCCAATAATAACATGTTGATCTCTGGATAAATTTGGTATTAGAATACGGTCTTAAAAATGTTAATGAGCTATTTTCCCTTAACCATGCCAATTTGTCCAGAAAAGGTTTGGTTTGAATAATTCTTTGACGCAATAACTGTAGGGCTGTAAAGTACTGAAATCTGACGATGAAAAAACGATGTCCTCGCTAAACGCCGAAGTTAATTTTAATCTGCTTAAATAACACGAAAAAGGAATTTGATAGTATATCGGAACTGAACTAAACACTCATCCAAAAAGAATAGACATTGGATGCGCGCTACCCACCATCGCAGCAGCAGGGAGCTCGAGTATCTTTATTGAAGTCGAATATTTTTCCATCTAAATTAGAAAAACATTTTCAAATAAGGTATGTGATTCAATAGAAGTAGTCAATGTGCTATATTTTAGCGATAAAATATGACACTTTTGAGTGCCTCGCTAAGCGTTTACGCTTCTCGCTTCAGGGTTTAGGAAAACCTCCACTTAAGGTGTCCTTGCCGGAATCGGTACATAACATACCGTTGCCATCGATTGTGCAACATGATTTGTCGGATCGATCGACGAGCCGCTTGAGTCCAGTCTCGCCAGGCCACCACACCACGCCGACTTACGCACATTGGACACCGTTCGCGCATCTCAGACCAAGTGTCAACCGACGCGTGGCTGACCCTAAGGCATGTCTGGTGCCTCTCAAGCTAATCCCGCCCATGCCTACATGTAGTGGCTTGCAACATATCTCCGCTACTGCCGCGACAGTTAATCTCAAGCTCACCCCACAGGCTACACCAAAGAAGGTCTCTTTTACTTCTCCTGTAAGATCCACCCTCACTGGGATTTCCACAGGGTAATTCAATTGTCCTTATTTGTTTCCGTATGGCTCAAAAGCTTTCCAGAGGCTTAACATAGCAAATGCAGTAGCATTGCGTCAGACGTATCGTTCCAGCAGCATGACTTAAATTAGGTGGATCATGACTCCAGGTATTAACAGTATAAATCATTCGAATCAAACCTGTATATCAATCTAGTACCTCCGGAAATTTCATCTTCCCGCGATGGTATAATTCTTAAAGCTCATTTGTCGCAAAGCTATCGTTGGCTAATTTGAGCATAACTTGGTTTCATTCCTACCGTACAACGCGTTGTAGACCAAAAACTATTCAAGTTTACTCAAAAGGAGACAATCAGACGCTGATATCAACGAAGAACGACCCTTTCAGCTATCCTGAGGAGCCGTTGATCTGTTCCCGTGATACCGCTCACAGACCCCAGATGCTGTCTTCGCTAAGACAGACTCTGCGACCCCTCGTTCGTCGCAAACTGAACTCCAAGGACTCGAAGAAACACCTTTTCTGAGCCTTCCAATGGATGTACGCGCACAAATCACACATACAAAGACGAATAAATAGAAAGCTAGAGATAAGTGCATATTGCCAATCCCATTGGAGTCTTCCTCTCTCCTTCTGTCTTTTTCATTCTCTTCCATCCATTGGGTGCGTGTCGTTAATAGGTTGTTCCATTATAGTGTGGATGAAAATCCATGAAGTAGTAGCACACATTGCATGCTTGTTGTAAGGGGGTCATGTCGACAATGGTGATCATCTATGCACAGCTTGGATGTTACTTCTTATTCTCCTTTTCAACTTCGTCAAGACACGGGACTAGTGTTGAAGCGCCTCATTACAGCATCCACATTCAGCTTCTCCGTCCATGTCAGCCTGCTCTTAAGTAGGAATGGTGACAGATAGGGTTGTTGGTCTTAGAGCTATCGAGGGTCGGCATTCGAGGCCACTACAGAAGGTGGAGCTTTCTTCAACAAGTGATAGGAATGTCCCCTACAGTGTTCAATGATCTTGGCCAATGCGTTAAATCCCGCATTAAATTTTTGAGCCTTGTGTGCGGGTTGAAGGCGTGAAAACATTTTGATTCGGCAAAGTAGCATTGAATGAGGCCTTCCAATCCGTCGAGCAGCTATTCACCGAAGAATTCTATCTATAAATATCCATTCTTCGTCTTTTCATCTCATCATGCATCCATCTCGTCTAGAGTCTTCCTGTCGATACATTTTGTTCCGCAAATTTAACTCTAAACAAGTGTACAATTTCAATCCAGCTAACTTTGTTTCTAGATTAAAATTATTCTTGTGGTCAGTCGTTTTCCTCCAAATTTCGCTGTTTTGGAGTTCATAAGGCTTTTCCTAATGTTTTCGCGGGCTATCATTGATAGTAGGTAGACTGTTCATGTCTTGTGCTGGTAGTATGTCCTCTTTCATCTTGAGGGAAGTCATAAAGCGATACATTGGCAGCGGCTGAAAGTGGACTCACTCTCAAATAACAATTACCCCCGTTTCTACCACTGCCTGCCGGACTTTTAGGAAGGAGAGAAGACGCTGCGACGAGCCTTTACATAATAGTCAGAACTTGCGTCCACCCATTCAGGAACTACCCAGATTTTGTATTATGCAATACTTCTATCAACAAATAAAGCAACACTTGCTGTGACTGTGAAGCCTCTAGAAGATTAGCTTAATGTCTCCCCCATTTTTATGCATCTTAATAGAACCAGCTAAAAAAACGAAAGGATATGGAAAAGTGCTGCGAATTCATTTTCTCATTAAATATTTCAAATGTCCTTCCTTTATTGAAGTCTTATTTTGGGTCAGTGCTTGTTGCGACTATCGAGTTTGTGGTTGTTGTAGACAATTGTGGAGCCACAGTCCAATGTCATAGGGATCATTGTTATGTTCTTATCATTCATTTACTTCTTCGTTTGGATTTCACGTTCACTTGTGGTTTCTGGTCTTCAGCGCCCCTACGGCACCTAATCTATCCAATTGTTGTTTCGCCTTTGACGTTCTTGGAGGACTCGATGAATCGCGCATTAATAGACGAGGCAACCCACTAACGAACACATGGCAGACGCAGATGAATGCTGTCTGATAACAAGCTGCTTCTTTTGATAACTCTAACAATTGGTTTTGTTTATTGCTTACCTGCTTTTACGTCGTGATCCCAACCCTTATTAGCTCTCTAAGTTAACGCCTCAAGTACTGAACGGGCTTGGTGCAAATGTAACTCATGGAAATAGGCTTCATTGGTCTGCAAGTGAGTGGGACCAGGAAATGTGGTCATATACGAGACTGCCCAAGTATGAAAGGAGGTCGGTTGCCACGACTTTCCGTGAGTGTTTGTTAAGGATTAGAGAATGATCAAGCATTCTGAACAGTAATCTACACCTACATGTTTTTCTTCTGCGAATGGAATCTCTTCACAACTTCACATTCTTCACTATCTAACTAAGATTCTGGTTTGGTTAAAGCGAAATATCAGGAACAAGTAAAGAAAGTAGAACCACCACCCATTCTCATGCATCCATCATTTCCAGTAGCGTCTGGTGTGATAATTAATAACCTTGAAGTTAGACCGTCTTAGTGAAGCCTACCATCTGCGGCGGAGGTAGCGTTGCAGTGGAGCCCTGAAGCGGCGTTTGTGCACCCAGTAATTCCAAAAGTCGTCACCTCGGTAGCTTCCCACTGGCACGTTGGAGGGCACGTCTACCAAAATATCGTTACCTTCACACACGTAGGCACAAGCACCGAAACCGCCACGGCTACGTTGGCGGTGGCAGCACTTTGTCTCAGGACAGTCCGCATCGGAGAGACATCTGGTCAGGGCCGACTCATGGGTGAGACAGGTTCCGATATTTCCTATTTGTATTCGGGCATAAGGATGGATAAAAGATCAAGTGCCTTGGGCTTTGTGACTCTACAGCTATCTGGGCAGTGTAGTCAAGTGCATGATTGCCAAACGCCTACCTTTACAAGAGTTGGCAGAGAGCTGATCACTGATCAAAACGTGCCGGTTAGGTGTGCAAAAATCCGATGTTATCTTGCTTCTGGTAATATTGAAATTAGTAATGCATGCTCACTAACATGAAAGTCCGTCTATAGCGTTAAAACCTTGCCGCCATGTTTAGATAGTGCATCCTCGTGGCATTAGAGCGTGGTCTCAGTCTAGATGGTTCACCAAACAGTGTTAGCTTAATCACGAAGAAATGCACAATGGAAGGCTCTTAATTATGATGTCATAAAATGCGAAATTTGATGTCTTTCGTTCTTGGATTTTAGGTTGAGTTTGTGGGTGGGTACACATTTTCATGGCTTCCCAAATGATCAAGTAATCGAACCTTGTAGAGCACAGTAGAGGCCTGGACAGCAGTGTATGGAGAACATGCATTCTTCTCCATCTTCGGAGCACTAAAATTCAAAAGTTTGTACCATTGTTTCGTTGAGTAGGTATTTTGTCTTTGTTTTGCAGATAAACAAAGCTGTGTGAACGTGGTTGCGATGATTCTGGGTGTTGCATAAGTCAGAGTTCCACCTCACCTTCCAAAACGCAATATATTTTGTACAAAACAAAGTAAAATGTGGTTGTTGGTGCCGAGAATTCGTTACCGGTGGTGATAGCGACAAAGTATTTGAAGACGGTAAACACATTTGCTCATTACCATTTAAAGTATTCCATGCAAGTGAGCTTTCGTATCATATGGTCTCCTCAATTCTCTACAGCTCAAATTTTGAAGCCTTGAAACTCTACACAGTAGTACGGACTAAAGGTGGGAAGTTGCCAACAACTCCCAAGAAGAAAACTTATAGCCGCTCCGTGAAATTGCTCATACATTTGGCGTAATAATCAGGATGCAGAACACGACCATAGACGAAGAAACCGAGGATAAAAAGCCAACTGCTTACTTACGTATTTTCGAAGAGCACTTTCTCCGAGCATCCTCTGATAGCCACGACTTTGGGCTTTTGCAAAATACACAAGGCTGGTTAGTAAGAAAAAACACACAGTGGCTTCGTTCATTGTACTCGATCACTAGTAAATAGTCGAGCAGGAAGTAAGTACTTGTAGTCTTGGTTCAGCTTGTCTCTCTTTTTCCTCTCAATGTGTGCAACGAAATTGGCCGCCTCCACCACCACCTCCACGAGCCTCAAAGAACCCGAAGGAAGAGCCAATCAAAGGAGGCCTTTTGATTTGACCAATCTCCACTGCTATCTTTGCGCTTCAGAGGGCGTACTTCTGTGTGTCCGTGTATCTTCTTTCTTGGGTAAAACTGAAACTGTCTCTCTTCCTAGGTTCAACTCCGAACCTTGGCACTTCCTCTGGCTTGCTAGAATTGTGTATGTAAGTAGCACTACTTAGCGGTCCTCCTCAAAGCAAATTTTATAGCTTTCTAACCTTAGAGATGGCATTCTGACTAGCACACTTCCATCTGCTGGATACTGTGTTGTGTGTTCCACCCCATCGATGGGAAATAAGTGATGCCATTTTTAAAGTATTGTTGTTCCTTACTAACTGGCACAGTTTTTTGCAGCTTTCTTCTCTATCACTACTGGAACATGGGAAGAGGTATTGAGGCAGTGGCAGCCTAAGAATTATTTCTCCAAACAAATCACAACTGCTCTACTTTTGTAACGAAACATGCTACACTTGTATCAGTGATTTAATTCCAGGTTTGCTCACTAGACCATGGCAGTAGACTTCAAGCTCCTCTGTGCGCCGACAGAGCATATGCTGTCAAAACTTCGCCTCCTCTTGTTGACATGTATTTTAAGGTGTTCAACAAACTGAAAGGCTTATATTTTTACGGGTAATCATCGAAGAGAATGAACTCTGCAGTCTCATGCAATAGTGAAAAATTTGCTTTGAACTCTGGGCGCTTGAAGTAGTGCGCATCTAACAGGTAAACGGGATTCCCTGTCGCATGGAATTGGGCTTCAACATACACTTTATATTCGTTGTTATCATTGTTTTTTGCACCATACGAAAAATTGTTCCACACACTTGCTTAACATTTTCGTCTATTAATGATGGTGTATCGAAAACGATGGGCAACTGCTTTAATGTAACTGAAACAGTACAACTTTAACTTTATTCCTGCATTTCTTACGATGAAGTAGAAACCACTTTATTATCACACGGGTTCAAAAGTTTACCATAAAACTGTGTTATAAAGGCATATCATACAGGTATTTGAAAATTTGTGAAGTTCACGCCTTCAGGTTTCAATGCAAAGGAGTTACCTTCGTGATACAGAAGTGGATATTGTAAAGTCTTAGGTCCCTGCGACGGGTGTTCGATCTGTCCAATGCCTCAAGTGTCTGCGTTATCTGAAGGCTGTAAGACAGGCAGATAGGGTGGTATATGGTCCCCTCTTTCCTCTCGAGCGTCGTCCTCAGCGCTCTCCACGGTCTGGAGTTCCGAATACCATATTCATGATGATGTAAAGTTGACAAAGATCTGATACAAGGCAACACTGCATCGCTGCCCAATTGCATCTTTGTATAGACCTTATTAAATCAGTGGAGAAATGGACAAGGCACACAGACACTGTAGGCAACTCCATAGCAAACTTCCCAGACAGTTTACAGATAGTTTGTCCTCACATATTAATAGCCTCTCCACAGACAACAGGAAGAGGGGCTGCTCAAGGTGGATGTTGCCTTCTTTGCTTTTGTTTAAGTTCAAAAATAAGCATACCACTTCATGGTTTTAGACCTTGGGGCTTGAAATTGACCTTTGGTGACGCCTTTAGAAGTGCTGGAGATATCGACATGACGTTAGTAATAACGCCAATGAGTAACTCAAAGTTGGGCTTATTAAGCTACCAAAGTATTGCGGAAATAAAATTTCCTCGATTCATGAAATGCTAATCTTTTCTAATTTAAAGAAATCGCACACTTTTTTTCACAAGAAGCGTGCGTGATTGCTGGATCCCACTAACGCGGACAGCGCGATATAGCAAGACAAAATTTGGACCAGCTGCCACCTTCTCACATCAAATCAGGTGGCATCAGGTTTACTCGGTGCACAGATGTAAATTAATGTTTTTAAGCCAAGAACGCACACTTTCTGCATTAGAGCATCCTCCTTCCCATAATTGTCGCGAATAACAACAACTGTAGTGGAATCGACGTTTTGTGTTTTATTCGCACGCAATCACGACATCCGTTATACATTCCTTCGGATCATCAAGTCGCACTAGGACTCTCGTTTCGAACAAAATTATTTGGCTCACGCAAGCGCTCAGTAAGATCAAGTTTGAGGAAATTATTTGGAGAGTTAAGAATCTCCTCTTACGAAAAAGCCCGACACTGAGGAGTTAGGAGGTTGTTACAAAAATATGGCTTAAAATGGCCATTTAAGAAATGGCCTACACTACTTTTGTGGAAGGTCATAATCAAGCACACGCCAAGGCTAAGTACTTCTATCATGCGTGGTCTGCGTTTGATATTCTCTTATCGTTTAGTCGAAGGTGCACATAAATGCTTTGAGGGTTCAAATACACCAGCTCAACGCCAATGAGTGTCAAATTCGGAAGAGACGTTTTACTACCCTCTCTTCCTGTTCGATGGTGGCAATGCCAGCGGTTTACGGCTAATTCCTAACTTCAATACCACAAACGACTGCTTAATTGAAGCCCACACATAAAAGGCCAGACGAGTTCCAAGGTAACCGCCAGACATCAGGTGGTCACATAAACAAAGTAATATATTTCCAAACTTAAATGCCAGAAAATGGTTCTCATCATCATCCAGACTGAAAAATAGAAGCCACAGATGTATGTCGGAGCCATATCAAAGATATGCCTTTGGTGAGTGCAATGCTTTGTTTATGTGACTACCTGACGTTTGGCGGTCACTTTAGAATTTCTATGGCCCCCGTACACGTGGGTTGGTGTTTGGGTCAAGCTCAGGCTCCATTTGCCTAACCTAACTCATGCCTTCTTCCACTCTATGGCAAGCCTCGGGGCGCTACAGTGATGCCTAAAAGAATATCCTTCGGAGATTCGACAATAAAGAGCTCTTAATTCCAGTGTTCATCACAATGAACATTGGGGTGAATAAAGAAATATCCATAATTCCCCATTCCTGCCCATTGGTACCAGACTTCACAAGGTATCAAGGGTGCAGTTGATTCGTCTTGCCTAACACCGTTTTGGTCTTTTGACCCGCAATAGGTTGCGGTAGACTATGTATGTATCCAAGCCACAAATGGGAGTGTATGTTTTTGGCATGATCAGCAAACTCCACGCGACTAGGGTATTATGGACTTTAAGTGTTTGCAAACGAAGCAAGCAGTCATAAAAATATTGTCGAGCTACACTACTAACCCTGCCAAAACCTCAATCTCCTTTTCGTTCTCTGAATGCATTGGATTTACTGTCGGCAAGGAGGTACTCGACGAGACACATTCAATGGTCACTAAAAATGAACGATTGGATTCTGTATTTTTTTTATGAATATGGGCCGAAATCTACTGCAGTCTAATGGATATCTTATCGTATCAGGTTACCAATTATTCCCTTTCGCTAAATACAACTACTTTATGACGTTGCCTTCGGATTTTTACCCTCGTTATTAAAACATTTTCTTTAATGATTTCACTTAATTGTGGAAAATATTGCTTGCTTTTAAGTAATTGTATCTGCATTTAAATAGGTCAAAGGTTACAGTAGTTATCCATCTAATTTAAGAACAATGCAGAGTAATTGTGGCGCATAGAATTTGTTTAAATTCCATCGATTTGACTGCGCTTGTAAAATTTAGCGGATTTGGGTTGATACGAATTTCAACGCTCCTGCCGACTCACTTAGATGTTAGGGTTATAAGAGGCGAGTTCTCCTTAGTGTGGCCATTATTTTACTCAGTTTTTGGTCTGTCTTTATTGGATTTTGTCGACTTATCAGATGCAGACGCAAGTTGACCAAGATTCGCGGACTCTTTATGGTTATCTTCTAAACAGCCTCGAGAAGACAGTCTCTCCTGAAGCACGCTCTAGAATTGAGGCTCTTGTTCGGGAGTTTTCATCTTTCAAGGATACGGAGAAGATTCTCTGTGCACTATTACTGCCGGCAGAACCGCATGGGAGCGGCGTCCCAGCCCTTGTAGAGGATGATATTGGTCCCAATGGATTCGAAGTCAACAGCCTTGGGGTTGGAATCTTTGGTGGGTCGGGCTGTTCATCCTCTCTCCATTTGTCAAATCAAGTTGAACAAAGTCAGGCATACACGTGGATAATGTCTCATCTGGAGGAGGATTCTTCAACTTGTCTTAGGAAAGATGAAGTATATGAGGACTACAGGTAACGTGGATGGTTTTATAGTTCTTGGACTTTTAGGATTGTTATGTAGCTTATTTTTGACAGCCTTTTAGGCATGTAGAAAATAGTTTTGTGTCGTCATGGTTCATGCCCTATTATTATATCAACAGCGCCCTATGGGCGTTATGTTCTCTTCGGTGTTGTGTAATCTTGGACTTCTACTGTAATGCAGGGCATATTGTGAGAAGCATAATCAGAAAACCCTCAACACGGCCGACTTTGGGAAGGTGATGAAGCGAGCATTCCCCAATGTTAGACCTCGGCGACTGGGGCAAAGGGGTCAATCAAGGTAAGCCTGCTTTGTCATTGAGCGGCATGCTGGCTCACTAAATTTGAGGCTCTGTATGTGAATAGCTTATAATTTTCATTGGAGTTTGGGCTGGAAGGTGCTACCCTGACTGATGGAACTCTAAATGACTCCCATCGTATAACTTAAGTAATCCGTCTATAATTCATCTGATTTTCATCTTTTCTGGTTGTCTCGTCATATTTAAATTCTGTTGTTTATTTAGTAGTCTACCCGTTTGCTCCTTCATGGCTCCACTCATCATTATTCTGCTTTAGTTCTCGTTGCTTTTCGCCTAAGTTCACGTATGTTGGTTCATTTCTATGTTTTCGGCTAGTTCGGACAAGGAGCTTAAGTTATCAGTGCCGTTCACAGTACATGTGCATGCTCAATATAATGACACCCGTTTTACCGTGAAGGACTTACGTTGTTTACACATAATCCTCTCCTTGGCAATAGTATTTGTAGCTAAAGGCACTGTTGCTATTTTCACAGTCCTATCTGAAGGTTGCATTAACCTACTCCAGTTCTAGTTACAGTATAGGGATAAGGTAGATTCCAGTCCATAAGTCTGATTTCAAGCTGCTTGTCACCTCATTTCGATACGTTGTGTCTGTGTGTGGAGGGGAACGCATGTCTCTCCCCAACTTGGCGACATGAGAATCTGTTTGTGTACGTAAGCGCGCACGCAGAAAGCAACTCTGCACTCGTGGCGGTGGAGGTGGTGGCGGCAAGGGTTGATTTGCGTCTGTGTGCACACACCTTTCTCAGACAAAGACTGAATTACACGCCTAGCCGTCCTTCCGCCTACTAACCGATGCATTCATCATTCCACGAATTTGCAGACTTCTTTCCTCCCCTCGTTTTATGGCCATTCTATGGGAATAATAGGCATTCCTTTGTTCATTCAGGAAAGGGAATGTGATGGGGTACTTGAATAGTTCGTACATTTGGCTTAACTTTCCCCCTGGAGAAAATTGTTAACCTCGGATATCCGCTTGCGAATGCCATTATTCAATTAACTGATTTCAGATACTGTTATGGAGGTATGCGCAAGAAACTTGAGGTTCAGGCACCCTCTCTTCCCGATTTGACACTAGAGCTCTCTGCTCCATCCGCCACCAGCAATTTTCGTAGCGGTTCATCTTCCGTCTCCTCCACTGATGAACAACGTCTCAGCCAACATGAGGTTTCACCTGCTTGGCCCACCGAAGAGGTGCGTACAGTCCTTGGTGTCACTGGTCCTATTCTGGCCGACGTAGTCCGAATCATTCTTGAATATGCTCGAACTGTTCTTGGCACTGAATTCACCTCACTGCTACACTTTGCTCAACGCCTTGTCTCCGACCGATATGTTACCGCGCACTCTCGACACGCTTTTGCGCTCATCGCTCACTTCACCAATAGCTCTGCTAACCCCCCTACCACTGCAACCCATTCCAGTCTTTCGAACATCCTTCTTACTCCTTCTGCAGCTGGTGCTGGAGCCTTTGCTGAGGTGCTTCAGAAAGGTAGGTCGTTCCCCTCGAATGTTATTGCGTCTACTCTTCGTCACCGCCTATAATGACGTAGTTATGGTCCTTACCTAGGCATGTATGGGCAAATGTACAGACAGTCTCTTGAATCTTATCCCCAATTTTCTGAGAACGCTGCTTCTACTGTTCTCAAGCCATCGACACCTCGATCATCTCCCATTGTTTCAGGGAAGGACGGTTTTCTAAAGAAAGAAGGTTTGTCCTCTCTAAATTTGCATGCGTCCTGCTTAGCTGTCTAACCCACTTCATATAAACTCGATTTTCAGAGACTGAACAAAATCCATCTGCTGGTGTGGATGTTGCAAGTGTGGGGAATAATCCCTCACCGTCAGGGCGCGTCAACAGCGCAGGTAGCACGGCTTCGTCGTCGCACTCTCAAACACCTCCAGTGACGACGGCAACAGTAAACCAAATGGGTGCTGGCGGTGCTGGTAGTGGCACCCTTCCTTATCGCACTCCAGTAATCACTGTTGCTGGTGGTATGCCAGCGTCAGCCTATCATATATCTCCCTCTTCTCATTATTCGTTCCCCCTAACTCAGGTAAGGGCTTGGTCAGCAATATTTATGTGCTGTGGCTTCGGACATGCTACGTTTTTTTCCGGCGTAAACAGTACTGTCTTATACTCAGTCTTCTGTGTATTTTCAGGACTTAAAACTTTTGTTTTCGCACGTTTAAAATAGCTCTCTCATGGCTGTGTTTGGCTTAGGGTCAGGTTGGCACGTTTAATTAGTCACTAGCTCAATTAACAATCCGATTCTTATGAGGTCATTTTCTCAATTTATTTTTTCCAAATTTGATGTTTGAGAAGAGCCTGTCGAAGGCGAATTTAACGTTTTGGCATCTTTTCGTTCCTATCTATCCATTGTCATCCCCTGTTCCATAACTTTTCCATTATCGTAAGGTGAAAAGCAGACAAAAATAATTTCCCTTTTCTGTTAATTTTAGTTTCCGTCTACCTCAAACTCAGCTCTCCAAACTCCAGCTACAAAGTCTGCGCTTCCAATCACGCAATCTACGGACGGTTATCCTGGCACACCACCTTATCTCAGTCAACGGCATCAGCAGCCTTACGCCCATTCTTCTTCCACGGATCACAGGCGGGCAAGGTATTTCACATCTGACCATTCTCACCTTAGCAACGATTGTGAATTTGCTGTCACTCTTGCTTTCGTTGTATCTTGCCAGCTTCTCCGATAATCCGGCTTCTTACTTGACCCCAGTAACCTGTACCAATAATTACTGTGCTTCAACTCCAACCACGCCCTATTCCAATCGTGGTTTGGATGTCTCTAGTTCGTATACCTCATATGCTGCGGGGGGACCTTTTGCTCCGCAGACGACTGGTCCGTCTAGTTCCCTTCAATCACAGCCTCCGGCTCCTCCAATAGGCAGTGGTCGGAGTCCCTACGCTACTATTTCTTATAAACATCCAACCACTCAGTTGCCAATGGACGCCCCTGGTGCTCACGAGCCCACAGTGAGTCTTCCATTCCCCTCCTTTTTCTGATGCTTAAGGCAAGGCTGCTGTGAGTTGGGGAGGGGCGAGGGAGGAAGATGTTAGGGTAGTTTTGCGGCCCTGTTTCTGTCCCATTCGACTGGTGGTGTGAATTTGTTCCCATTCCCACCCACCACTTGGTTGTTTGCATTCGCACGCGTGTGTGGGTACACTGGAGACACCATTCAGATTTGTATCCTTCCCATATTCCAGATTATACCCTTTTTGGAACTTGGTCCTCACTCCGCCTGTGAATCATTTATAGAACAACTTGGTGTGCTCCAAACCACTGCCTTGAGAGTAAACCCTCACTTGTGTATTGTTATTGCTTTATTCAGCACCTGTTCCTGAAGTGAGTTAGGACGACAAAATCGGTTGTGGCGTTAATGTCTTGTAACTTTCATCTTACTAGGTCAACTTTATTAGTCATCTTTTTCATGCACGCTTTTCCCTGTTTGCCTTAGCAGTCAGTGACTGTGATAGTAGTGGTAGTGGTGGTGAGTCACTCGTCCCGCTTATGTTTATAAATTAAATTCTGACGTTTTTTATAAACACTCGGCTTGAGCTTACCTGTGCAATTGAATAAATCCGTCCACAACATAGACAATCCGTTTGTCGTCCCTAGCATGATTGATTACCTCAGCCTTCTCACCCCGAAAAGAATGTTAGCGCCACAGATTAAAGCCTGAGTTTTCTCCTTTCAGGTTCGAGTCCACTTGGGTAGTGTAAGTCCAACGAAGCATATGAACTTCTTCAGTCTCTCAACTGGAACGCAAAGCACAGGAGGCTACGAAACGCGCTACCAGCACCGTGCTACAGTTTCCCCCGTCTCCATTACCGCTCCAAGTGCTCCTGTCCAATCTAACACCAGCTACTATCCTAGTCGCTATAGCAATTTTACTGTAATGAGTCCAGCTACTCCTGGTCAGTCATCGCCTAAGTTGTCTTCGACTTCAATGGGAGGCGAGACCACTTCTTCAGGTCAATCCTCGTGGCAGGTAGGACGCTTATATTAATGTTTCCGTTTGTAAACATCGATGAATAGTGTGACCACACAAACAATCCTTTCCTACAAATGTAGTCGCTGAAGAGACCAAATATGGTGAGGCCAACCTCATCCTTCGAACCTGATACAAGTGATGATCCCTTTAACTATGATAACCTTCCTCATCTGGGTGCTTCACCCTGCCCGCCAGAAATCCCACCCAGCTCTCCTACTGAATTCCTCTCTTTCTACTCCGCTGGGAACGCTGCTCGACGAAAAGAAACTCAGGACACGACGGAAGATCTTGACCGCACTCTAACCAACCTCTCACCTGACATCAGCGTAAACGTGACAAACAAAAGTAAATCCAGTCAACCTTTACATGTTCACATCGGTCAAGATGATGGCAACGACGTCGAGGTTGTGCGGAAACGTAAGTTTTCTGTCCAGTTTGCCGTTGCTTTTGCTGATACTGATGCGGTTTGAAGTGTTTTTTGACCCCTGTAGGTGAAGCACTGCACGATGCACTGTTGACTCCGTCTGGTGAATCAGCTAGTGCGAAAACCTCACCGCCGATGACCCCTCGGGAGGGGTACAGTACACCTCACTCAGGTGGCAATGGACTCGATACTTCTTCATCCTCTACCAATCCTTCTGCCCAAAAACGGCCCACTCCCTCTGATAGCAATGTGGGGGGGTTGTGAAGTGCAGATGAGTCACGGCTAAATGGGCTCCATCTGAAGGCTCTTAACTCTGTCACATCTTTTGTGCATCTAAAACGCCACATAGATGGAAGTTCTGCTATTAGCTTACTGGGGCATCGAAACTGAATGCTCAGTGATTTCAGGGAACTCTTTGACATCTTTAATTACTATCTCACCCAATACTGAAATTTTTTCGTCTTCTACACATTTTACACCTGTATCATAGCATCCGTAAAGGCTATGGTTACTCTTGATCCTCTTTTGTATAAACAGAAACGCCAAAGCCAACAAGAGCATTTTCAGACTGATGTTTCGCTGAAGTGTTTGGTGTATCCGCACTATTTTGCATTTACATTTTTAACTACCTCTTGCACGCGCTGTTTTCTTGATTTCTTATTTCCCTACGGACAAATTGGGGTGGCTTTGGAGTGAACTGGGACCATTTTTGACATTGTGAACCGACGCTTATGTGACTTGGAGAACAGGGTTCTTCAAGCAGTTGTTTTTTTATGTATTGAAAGTCACACCAATGTTTTTTAAGTGGTATCATCGCGTTGCAGACAGGTACCAACGAAGCGTGGTCAAAATTTCATACCGCAGCCCTCCTGAGGGAGACTACTCTGTGTTTTTCGGTGGATGAGTCATCGTCCACTTTGTCAACTCTGGTGCGTCTCAATCTTGGCAGGATGCCCTCACGCGCCGTTTTGTCGATGTGGTGGGTTCGTCCTTTCACCTATTGTGTCTTCCCTATGTAGCAGGGTGCTTTGTTGTGATGGTTAGGCCGTAGCGCCGACCGCAGTTGCACTTTCTCTCCTTGAGTTGTTCTTATGAAACTTAAGAACTTGCGCCCTAACGCGGCATTTGTGGGGTCGTCTCGTGTGGTTTCTGTTTTTGTTGTGGAATTCACTATTAATTTATCCCTAGAGGAAAGCGCGTCATCTCTTTCTGGCATGCGACAAACATGCATATTGGAATTCCAATTCAAATCTGTGTGGCGTTCAGCCGACGTAAGCTTTACATTGATGGTTTCAGTGGTGTCGGCACCGTGGTATCCTCATTCGGCCATAAACCGATCTCCGTGTAGGCAGTGCAGAGTTCTATCGTCTAGCTCTCAACCCTATTGTGCGTAGCTAATAAAGCTGCTTAATGAGTCGCAACCCTTTGGGGGTGACATAAACATATATCAAACTCTTACATCAGTTTCTCTTGTTACGTATTCTGTTTTCATTGTGGTTGTTGGGTACCTCTTTTTGTTTTTGATCTTGCTATAAGTATATTGCTGTTGCATCTGACCAGAGCTGGGAGTCTGGAAATATGTGTCGAGTTCAACATTTTGGCTTTTTCTGAGCATTTCTAAAGGTCATTTTAATTCTGGTAAGCCGAATTAATAATGGTGAGGTTTGCGCCAAGGCAAGGAACACAGTGGCTTTGGTGATTCATCTGCGGCTGTGTGTAGCCAGCCCATAAACTTAAGCCACCATTCGAACGCTATTATGATGGTCGTGTTATTAGCATTCTCGCTTCAACTAAGGATGATGTGGGATGCACCCAAGACTCAGCCAGATTTAGATTAAACCCTAGCACACTGATAAAAGTACGAAAAACTTCGTCTTGATCATGCAGCGCCACAAATAGTAAATGCGGATTGTGAAGTCGGAAAGATAATATCGGGCGGTGAGCAACCGATTGCTCGAACCGCGCATTTTTTGTGTTGGAAGCTATCTAAATCGTGTCTCCCGTCTCTATGATAGTGAGCAGTTGACGCCATGGCGCAGCGTGACTTGGTGTCGGTAGGCTCTTTGGCGTACCCTTGGTCTTGCCATGTCCTTAAAACGCATAATGACGAAACCCATTGGGTGCCTGGATAGAATTTGCGGGACACGTCAACGTCGGTCTAATGAGATGATTTTAGCGTTGTATGAAGAAGAGGTAGAGGATCCTCACCGTCACAAATTTATTATGCTTTTATATGAGCAATTTCTTAATTTGACCTCAGTGTAGTAAGCATCTGCGACTTTAGTGGAATGTAGTTTTGGTTCTTTCATCAAACCTATTGCAAAGTTGGCGCCAGGTTACATAATTTCAGCATGACCACCTGCATGACATATTACCTGACCTGTTGCCTCCTCCCTCGTCCACATTGAAATTTGCACGCAGTTCATCCTACTAACCTATGACAAGCCTTCTGATCTTACTTGTGCCTCTTAAAATAGCAGGCAACCAAAGAGACCAGAATTGACATGTTTTCTTCAAGTACGTTTCAAAGCCAGCAGTTCTTTATCATCCTGGTCTCACCAACCCCATCTACATTGTGTGCTACATCAAGCACTGGACGTTTCAAACCATTATTTCGATACGAATTCGTTGAATCATCGTCTGGGTGATGACGGTGGCAATTTGGTTTAGAACATCCATTTAAGGTACACCGAATAATAGACATTTGAAAATTTTAAGACATGAAGCAAATACGCCTCGTTTATGTGTACCTCATAAAGCATGAAATGCTTCCATTCATACGAGAAATTGATACAAAGAGAACTTTCAGAATACTCGAGAGGAAGTTGTTTGAATGATTCCTGCTGTATAAACGCGTGTTCACATTTACCAGGAGCAAATACATTAATGGCACTGAACAGAGGGTTGTGCTCGCGTTTTGACGCTTCTTTGAAGGCAAAAAAGGGCGAAATTACCAGATAAGATGCATATATATTCCGCCACAGAAAGGAGTTGCGACTGATGGTTTGGTCTAGGGGTCAATCCATCCCAAGAAGTCTGAATAACCATTCAAGTGGTACCAGCACTCATGTCCCAAAGCTTATCAAGTGGGGCTTAGAGTACTGCATATGAATTATATGCACTATGACCAGAGATCCATCATCATTACCTTGGGGCCTCTAGACTAGTGAAAGAAGGTTTAGTACTTTTTTCAACAGAAAGCTTCTGCTGTGGTCACTCTCAAGGGGTCCACTGTGCACTATGTAACCTGGTCTACAAGCCACAAAAATTCAGATCATTTTTCGCTTTACCAAGAGTATTTCTTCTATTAGAGCATCTTCCTAACCTCAAAGCAATCTTGAAATCACAGTTGAACTTTTCCATTTTAAATGATTCTAGCATAATACATTCTTTTGTAAAAGTTGTACTTTTGTTAGTCCTGTTTCATGGAGTCGAATTTAGCTGCTTCCTCAAGAAAGTTAAACGTAATTGTGGCGTCTCAAGACTTTCCAGCAGGTAAAAGACATTACGTGGGAAAAAACGCCCAATTTAAGAGGAAGGGAAGTCTGAACAATGACACGACCGAAGACAACATCATACACATAAGGGCACGATAAATATCAAACTGACCGCCATCCATGCAGACGGTCTAAAAACAAACCATTGCACTAATTTTCATAATTTCTCTAATCAACTGCCGGCATGAGTGCCGGTTGTACGAAAGATCATCTCGCTCCAATAGGAGTTGCTAAGCTTGGAGCCATGCCGTGGCCCCACCTCGGCTCTTTTGCCTGAACACGTGTTTTTAGTCAAATCCCGCCAATTTTATTGTCCAAAAGGAAGATTTTAGGTCCCATGCCGAACATGTTTGCCAGCCTTCGGGCGAGGCTGGGGTTAAATTCTCCAGAGAACATGCATTCAGCCAAACTCAATGCCTTATTCTATCTGGTGGGGAGTGTATGGGGTCTGCATGAGAACTTGTATTTAGAAGTAATGAGAGCTATCTTATTAACCTGACAGAAGGGTCCATCGCTAACAGCACAGCCTAAACATCTGGATGTGCCTCCAGCTATGGAAGAACAAATTAGTTTCCAAATGCAGGACAATACCCGTTGTAGTTGTAATTCTAACGCCCATGAGCCCTTGTGTTTTATACTGAATATTTGCTCTTAACGTTTAAATTCTGAAAGCATTCTTAACTTCATGGCTAGCTCTGAATTGCATGAGAGTGTTCGTGTGATAGTTTTTTATTATTTGAGATTATCTTCTTAAAGAGCGACTGAAATCGACCATTTATTTGTTTTACGCCATCGATGAGCGATTAGGTGATGCTAAGCGCATGACGCTGCTACCAATGAGAACAATTCAACTACTCGTCTAGCAGGTTGACCATTTGCGTCCTTGTGGAATGATTGTTGGGTTCTGCGTAAACAGAAGCCAACCGTATGGTGTTTTTGTGTCTTTACACATTAAACTTAATTTCGTGTACCTTATTTGCTTCATTTATATATGTAAGGTTCCTGTCAGGTTCTACCCGTGAATTAAGGTGTTTGGAGGTGTTTGCAGTCTGGGTCTCGTCCCACGACTGGGTTTTACTGTATTACGCGTGTGATGTTGTAGCAATCTTTTCTTTACTTATATTAACTGTATAGTTGTGCAGTTCCTAATATTGTATTCCTCTTGTGATGGACGACATTCTGTTTCTATTTATTAACATTTAAACAAACAGCTATTTATTTATCTTCATTGGGAACTTCTTCCTAATGTTACCCTTACTAGGGTGTCAATCTTAATGGTGTTTGTTGGTACCATTTGCATCTTTCAATATGATTTTCTCTTATTTCCGTTAGGCGAAACTGATTATTTGTAGATTATATAGTCTGAGATACTGTCTCAGATTTTTGTAACTTGGTTTTAACTGACCAACTTCTTATTGCGCATATGCTTGGCTCCTCTCGCATTCTATTATCTCCCCACCGCTGTTCAAGTTGCTCTACTTTTAAACATCTCCCTGTCCTTGCATCATGACTAAATGGAATTGGTATGGCGCCACTTGATAAAAGATGACAGTGGTGCATTTACTAGCGTTCTTGCATTCTTATGTCTTGATCTTTTCTCCCCTACTTTTGGGAGGATTCGCAGACATGACAGCAGCTAGTCAATCATACTCACTCAGAGCCCAAAATCGTCAGTGGCGTATTGAGATTCCCGAATTCAACAATCGCGAAGACGAACTGAAATCACAGTACTTTCAATTCGGCTACTATGTACCCCTGGAGCGACGGTGGCAGAGCTACCAGCGACATCGCTCCCTTCCACCATGTACACTTCGCGACGCCATCGATATCCAGCGCGAAAACGATTATATCCAACTCAAACACAGTCAAGACAAGTGCAAGAGTATGTTATCGTGAAAATTACCATCCACTCCGTCTTATTTGAATAAGTTTAAGAGCAAATAATCACTATTGTTAAACGCTGTATATTTGCCTCATTTTCTTCTCCCCACTGTGTATAGCAATCTTCAACTTATAAATGCTTGCATTCCAAAGGCTGAAAAACTTAAAATAGCTTAGTAGTATTACCTCATCTTCACTTTCAACATAAATTTGCTATAAGAGGCTGGATTTTAGACAAGTCAAATAGTTTACTTATGAAGTTATCTATGCTTCAATCGCTACCAATTGTTAGGGTGTCTTGACTAAAACCTACAGCTTTGAAGTTCCCGTGTTTATTTCCTCTTAGACTTTACTTAAATTTACTATCTAAGTAAATTTTTATATTCCAGATTCCGTCATCAAAAAGTTGGCTGTTGATATTGCCTACACCTTTGTTTCTGTACGATAGTAAAATTCAGATAGTTCCATAACTCAGGCCTCAACCCTCTCAGGTCTGGCGCCCTCTGTAAATTGGAACAGCCATAAACGTATCCCCCAGGAGCTCTGTGTTACCCACCACTTTGCCAGATGCTATTATCCCAGTCGAATCTACCAATGCGGCTATTTCGAGGCAAGTTTAGTCTACTGTTCATAAATTCGCTTCTAATTCTTTTCTATTGATAAAGCTGTTCGATTTTTCGCCACAGGCACTCGATTCTTTCAATCGTCGTGAGTGCCGACCACCGATTCCCGACTGTTGCAGATCAAATCCTTCTTTCTGTAATGGAATACTGCCCTAACTACAAATATAACTTACTTTGTGCTCTTTAATTTATTCGCAAAAATGAACTGTCGCCTAATATGAGGCACAAATAAAGTTTCCTTATCCTGTCCGTAAAACCACAAACAGTTTTACGTAAAATAGACTGATAGAGAGAGTAGAGAAAATTAGCACATACGTATTACCAATTTGTACGATGCTAATTACAAATGGAAGAGGACGGCTGAGACTAAGTTACTCAAAAAAAAGAAGGAAACACGTCTGCCTCCTGCCAGTCTGTGCATACGGTGGCATATGTTGTGTACGTACTTAAGTATGAAGATGCTTTTTTGTCAAGTGCAGAGGTAGATATCGGAGGGACGTGGTCTGGTGATATGTGCGTAGTCAAAGGGGGAAGGGGAGGTTTCAGACTGCAATACTGGGGAAAAAAAGACAAGTGAAAGACTGGACAGGTATCAGTGGCGTCTCAACACATCGCTCTCGTAGCGGAACTTCTTCATCTAAAATAGAAAATAAATAAACCAAAGTCTCCAATTAAAGCGATCCACCTTGCCGAGGCACTATGGGATTAAGGGCGGAAATAAGTAGGAGGATTCATTTACGGTGACATCGCCATCTTTGCCTGATGATTGAGCGCCTGACATTCTTTTTCGAAAAAAACTAATGTGGTTTAAAGTAACGAATGGTTCCATAACCTTACACTCGATGACTGATGGTGTCCGTTCTCGAACCTGCTGTAGGAAGCACAGTGACAGCAGGAGAGGCAGAAGGGAAGAAAAAATTAACGCCCATCTCCCTCGGAGAACCATTTGCCGGAGACGAGGATGCACACTGATCGCTATGGTACAATATTACTTAGGAGTGAAATTTTCGAAATGACGAAGGAAAAATGAAAACAGAATATGCACAAGAGCGCCTCCGTTTCAACGTTTTGGGTGGATCAGATGGATCTTAACTGCTCATCTAACAATTCTATGCAATTCGGTTACAATTTTGATGATGACAGACAGTGAATAGAGTGGAATTCATTCAGTTTCTTTTAAATAAGAGAACTAGTGCAATACAATTGAAAGAGCACTCATATAATCACAGAGGCAGTGCAGTACTGCGAGATTAAGCCGACGCAAGCTTAAAACAAATTTTCAACCAAACTATTCAAGATACATGCTTCATTTATTCGCGGCAATAATTGATCAATCTCTAATCTTCTTAATCGTTATCTTAAAAAACAACCTGCATGCATCCTTAGCCTGTTGTGGGGTTAGCGCATTAGAGATCTGTAATAGCAAGCACCTACTTAAACCACATAGGTACAACTGATGTCCCCAAATACCCAGTCTGTGGACGCATTTCAGAACTCACTTGCCATGTGATGTTGCGCCAACACCAGAGTTATTACCATCGGTGTTTGCCAGTGTCTGCGTGTAGGCGTCCGCCTGTTCCGGCTGCTCAGATACATTATTGGTCGAAGGCGTTACTGCTAGCGAGTGAATATGACTGCGGAGGCCGAGGAAGCCCCTCCGACGTGGAACGTAGGATCGCTCCAGTGGACTCATCACCTGCGTCCAGCAAGGTAGAGCCTTTGGACCGTGGGATCGCGACGCTTCCACGGGACTATGTTCACACCAAAGCACAAGAATCCGCGTGATCACTCAAAAGGTAACCGATAAGAAGGCGCTACTCAACTCAAAGCAATAGATAGAATACCGTAAAAAGTGCGACTCGAAGACCAGCACTAGAAACAGGCCTACCGAATGCCAATAAGCGAATTAACTGTTATGCTATAAAGGATGAATGACATTCACCAAAGAGGGTTTGGCACCGACTGGCCACATCGTACATGCCACAAGCAAAATAACATATCCTCTTACTACTTGAAATAATAAAAACCCATAGTTTAGATTTTCAAGATAGAAAATTAATTGAAAGAAATTTGGTCAGGCCTTTCTGGAGGATAAGTAAAAATCACGTTGCTATCTTTTGAGCATCAATCGCATGAATAGTGACTGACCACAATTGAGTATAAAATCGTTGAAGCTAAAGCAGAGCTATAAATACAAGCTGAACTGGATAATAATCAAATTTCAGCCACGTGAAAGCGTACACGAATTAATTTAGCTTGAGTATACGTATGTATTCAAGCGAAAACACTATTTAAAAAATGCACAATAGGGAAACAGGAAAATTCAGTCATAAAACACACCCTCGGAGATTCCCAGAAATCTTCATCTCCTTCACCACTCCCACTTCCTCCTTATTGCGATCTGACTGTTGAACAATGGCTTGAATGCGTTGAGGCGGTGGGAAAAGACCACGAGATGTCAAGTTAAGGAAGTGAGTGGAAGTAATGGGGGAATGCCGGCCTGGGAGCCAATCGCCTGCATTGGTGGTGGGGTTTGGGTAGGCGAAGGAACGAGACCCAAGCCTACCTAGTCGAGTCCCACGTGCCTCCACAGGTACTCCCCACCCATCGAATTCCTTCCCCTGTCCATGGTCATAGGAGTAGTTTTGACTGGGACGCTGAAACTCGAACCCTAATCCCAGCGCCGGAGAGGGTGGACGGCGGTGGAGGTGAGAATCACGCAGAGGATAGCCGCGGGAGTGGAAGGGAATCTGCGTAAAGAGGACATTCCTGTGGGTCGAAGGGGTGGTTGAAGGTCTCGCTGTATCCTTTGCAGACTTCGAAGTGTCGTCTAAAATCGGAAGAGTTGTTGAATCATTGGTCATACTTACATTACCAGTAGCAAGTATAAGAAATGTGGTGAAACCTTCTGTACTACTAAGTGTTGGGCTCCGGTGTGGCTACCTAATGTTTAGTTTAGATCTAAATGCTCCAGCTATTCAATGCTCGACTGTTGCGGCATTAGAAGCAGATTCTTCAAGGAACCCATAAAGCCAGTCTTTTAAACTTTCAGTGCCCTGATAAAACCAGCATCTGATCTGCAGTAAGCGTAAGGTTATAAATTGCGTCTGAAAAAAAAATATAGAATGACTAAAGGTAAGATACAATTTTAGGATAAACGACCGTCCCCACAACACAATTCGCAAACAATCGCACCCCGAAAAGTTAAGTATCAAATGCACTAACTGTCCAATTTGGAAATAAGGTATCATCTGTACGCAGACGAATCTACGAAAAAAGTCGGTAGTAAGGGGATCAGCAACCTTTGTAATTTCATTCTTGCTTACCTCCGTGCAACGTCCGATAACAAAGCGAGAACAAAGTTGAACGAACCAACATACCCCTCACTATATAGCATTTGAATAAACGTCCTTACTAAAGAACTGCCTCGACCGCACCTCTACCACGACAGATGCAGACCGAACTCACCGAGGCTAGGACCATCAGCGATGCTTGCAAACGTCATAGCTATGAAAAAAGTGCTTGTTTTAATTGTGTACTTAACCAGTCTCTCTCCTTGAGTTTTGTCACCAAGTCATGTGGGAAGAAATGAAGAATAACTTAATGCTCGTCTATGCAGAAGTCGTACTGAAAAACTGATTGAAACAAAAGAAGGCATGATACGATTCCGTAGGGCTACTTTGCATTACGATTAATTTCAGCTCACTTTGATGGTGTTTTGATGACCGAACCAGCGGAATGACACTCCGACAGGACAAAAGTGGGAGCATGTTTGTTCGAACTAAGCATTTAACTGTGCGAGGCTTCATAACCTCCGATTTGAATCCTGGATTGGTGGTTTGGGATTAAATTCACGTCTCCTGTATATCCAGCCCGCAAGTCCTTCCAGAAATTGATATGAATCGTCCCTATGCCGCGATTTGTAACGGTAAAACGGACATCACATTCTATAAAATAGCTATCAGTAGCAAAATGAGAAAAGTTGGTTGTCAACCCTCCCCCTGAAACCAAAACTCGACAGTGTGCGAATAACAATTAAACATGTTGAAACTGACCAACGAATGGGAAGACCAACTCACCATCGGACTCCTCATGAATGGATCCCCCACTAGGGGGTTCGCGTTTCATCTCCATAACTGGCACGTTGAACTCGCCTGGTGCAGTGGTCGGGCTACCTCTAGGACGGGACTCACATGCAGGGAATGGTAGTGGTGTTGGTGTAATTAGAGACTCGCGTTCCCCCGCGACCGAGATAAGCTGCGGGGAGGCTGTACGAAAATTTGCCACCGCAATCGGAGTCAACTCGGATAGGAGAAAGCCTGTCCCTGACTTTGATGCAACCAACTTTGAGCCCACCGACTCAGCACCACTACTGCCAGCTCTTGTCAGCTGGATGCCTCTCTCACCCGCTGCCGGCGATCCTGCTACCATTCGTATGTCTGAACAGAGATGCAAGCATAAAATTAACGCTGCTAGTGGTGATTGAATGCATTGTTTTGTGATTAGATTTCATTCTAGTGACGCGGAGTCAAGACAAAAGGCTCTCTTCAAAAAATTTGTAAAGAGTAAGATTGCGAAAAGTGATAAGAAATCACGCAAAACCAAATTTTGTTGGTCAGAACATAAAGGAAAAATGATGTTAAAGTTATCTATGCATTTTTAAAGCAACACTGAAACTGCCAGCGGAACTAAAAATCAACTTTGAGACCTCTGTAGTGCACAGCAGTAACAGCAAAAGCCCTAATAATCCCACACAAGGACATAGCTATTCTTTATGCAAATAGAAATTCCAAAAATGAAATCTCCAAAGCAGAGCTGTGACCCTTGCTATCCAAGTTTGACACGAGTGCATGCATAGGCGGGAAAATTCACAAATGCAATCTTGTGTATGCGAGAGAAACGCTTGGGAAAAGTTACCGACAGGACTCGCATTCCTTATAGACGGTGTTAATCACAACACCCTTTTATGAAGTCCTTCGAGTATGATATTGCATGTCCATTGGCCATTACACGTTTGTCCTTCGTCTCAGTTTTTAGCTTGAACCGTATTTACAATTGTTTTTAAAAGTACTTAAAAACTTGAAGTGAAGAAATAATTACAGAAAATGATCCGAATTTCGATTTTACTTTATTTTCATCCTAGTTGATATTAGGAAAGCAAGGCTGCACTGAAACATTGTGACAGTACTTGTGAGCCGAAATTACACTCACAAAGAGTAGCTGCCTCTTCGTCCATTTGATTGTTAATGAATGCCTTCAGAAAGTCAGAAAACACATTCCCCCAGCACTGGCGAAGCATCAAATTGCAGAAGCGTACAATCCGACGCAGAGAGGGAGGCTAGGCGACAGCAGGCCAAATAAATCAGAATTACTGCAAGGACTTGAGCTTGTCGACGCGCTTACGAAAACCCATTCCCTACCCACCTCATCGAATTGTGCCGAGGTGACACCACACGAATCGCGGCGTGAGTCACAGCGCTTCACTTGGCACTGGTCATGCGCTGTGTAGCGTCGAAGGGGAAAGGGAGGAGGGTGAGTAGCGGTAGAATGACATGAAAAACTACAACTGAGCAGGCGGTAGCAAGAAAAAAGGCCGACTCATCCTTAATGAAATGCAAAACTGTCGCCGCTTTGGCCACACAACTTCCAGCTAGGTATTCCAAGTCAAAAAAAATCACACACGCTTTGAGGGTAATTACGATGCCTCGACGAGCCTGCAAATTTATGTTACTTGCTATGGTATTTCCTCAGTTTGAAATTTAGTTTCCAGTCTGCTCAGTTTCAGTCACCACTTTGGTGCTGTGACAGTTTATCCGCAGTATTTTCTTCAAAACTCGTCAGACGTTCGGCAACTTCTAATGGCGGCTCCATGTATAAATCTCTGGATATGCAAAGTTGACGTAAAGTCACATGAAACCTTTGAAATCGTTGGAAGTGAAGAGATTGTGAATATAAATGAAGAACAATCTGTTTGGTTATCAAGTGGAAGAGAGAAGATGAAAAACTTGCCTAGGAATTGACAGTTATGTCAATCGTCGAGAGAGTGGGGAGATACACGATAGCTTTAATGGTGTCAATGGACAAAAGTACACACGTGAGCGTATATGACAATACTTAAAGAGTGAATTAGCCTCAAATCAACAGTTGCATGCGTGCCATCACCTGCAGTAGTAGAGACTCCTACAAAACAGAAAAGCGCCCACAGGCATTCGAAAACATGTACGCTGACAGGACTCGTAGAGATGTTCGTGTCGTTGTCAGGACTGATATGGGAAAAGGAGGAAAATGCTACTCCCAAAGACACTTGAGGAACCTGTTTTTGAGTGGATGCAGAGAATGAGAGTTGAGTCACTATCCCACACACAATCCACTGTACCACATCACAGCTTAGCAACGGCATTTGTACGCTACGTCGCTAATTAGGCAGACTATAAATGAATAAGGTTGTTAATGAGCGACTTATTCCATCGTTAGATTGTCTTACTGCAGGCTTTGATTTGCCCAAACGAGAGGAGTCAGGAATATAAGTATCTATACGGATCTCAGAAGAGGAAAAGGAGAAAATAGGGCAAGGACGGAACATTACTATTGGCCACACGCGCTTTCAGGGCTGCGGGAGGTCGGTGTCACGTGGTTCACTAAAATAATCATCAAAATCCCGTAAAATTCGTACACATCGACAAAAAAATTCACTAACATCCTTCCCAAGGCAACAGATTATTTGAACAGCCAACACCAGATATAAAAATACTACCACTAAAAGACATGCGTGCACATATGGCGCAATCCACTGTGTTGACAATGGGGAATTGTCGCTCCTCTAACCAAATTACCGCAAAACTCAGAAGGATGAGCTCCCAGCTATTCAGGCAAATAAGTAATTATCCAATACCATAACGATTCAGGAAATACTGTCGTTGAGAGAACATGAAAGTGTGCAAAAGTTCCCATTTCAAAAAAAAAACTTGGGTAGATAAATGCAAAGGATGAACAGCCAGCTTCCATCGTTATTATTACGGGGTATTGCGAAACCATAGCAACATTATGAGGAGTCAGACCTTCCCAGTGAATGAGGATGTTCAGTTTAGTGGGAATTTCTAGCGATAGTATCTGATTCAATCTCTGATCATGCATTGAACAGAGGTCCACAATGTAGTATAATCGCGATAAACGCTAAGCCTCAAAACTCAAGCCCAGCAGTTTTAACTCGCCACCATTCGCGACATGGCACGAAACATTTCCACAAGATAAATTAAAATGAATACATGGAATGTAGTGGCGGAGATGGAGAGGAGAGAATGGAATGGAAAGAGAGTTTGTTGAGGTCCCTCCAGGATGATGTGGAGACTGCTAAACGTTTCGTTTTCCCGCGGGAAAACAGTTGTTGCGTCTCAAGGAATTCCTCAGTCTCCTGCACGCTCGGAGACATTAATCTTGATTGCGCGAGTGCCCCTTTCGCCTGCTCGCTATAGCCATTTCATAGGGCACTGTATATCGGCTTCTTCAGGACGCAAAACATGTTTTCCACACCCTTACATAGGTAGAAAACAGCAACATCGTCCACACAGCTGCGAGAAAATCTGGTCCCCCACTCGCTACACATGGTGTATAAGATACACATTCCATCATCATCTCTCCCAAAATCAGCCGCTAGACAAGGTGAACATAGAACCTATTTTCTTGTAGAGCTGAGAGAGAGATCACCTTTGTCGTTGACTTGAGCGAGGAGCCGCAGTTTTTCCTTTCGCTGGCGGAAGAAACAGATGGCGACGAGAGATGTCATGACGATGAGCATTGCACCCGCTAACACTCCAAGAATAAGGAACATCAGGGAGTTAGAGGAGCTGGCGTTCATATCCAAGAGACTTGGGTGGTTGAAAGTGGATAAACTTCCCATATTACCACCACCACCACCAATACCACCATCATGCTCTTTGGTGGTTGAAGCTAGCTAAAAAATATAAGAGGTGTGTTTAGCAACGTCCTGGATTGCAAACCTTTATCCAGGCAGTGAAAAACAATACTTTAATATGATTCCCAGAGGGAGGTGCAACCGAGAGAAGTGAAGAGTGGTGAATTCAAGCTTTAGACGGCATGGTGATACCAGTAACGAGACATCTGATTGAGTGGCATAAAGTGCAGTAAATAGGCTGTGGTGCTCTTGACTGAAACTGTCTTCAATACGAAAAAGCGCAACATTTTAAGTGGAACTGTACGCAACTGATCAGAATCTTTTTTGTGCGCAGAGAAGCGGTTATGCCAGAACAAAGACCTACCAATTAGCCTGCCTCGAGGACGTTAGAGGCAGCTGGTGCACGACATATGCTTCCGGTAACAACACTCAAAATTGGATGTCAGTGAAAGTCATCACTGTCAATCCATTGGCATTAGTCAGGTTATGACAGTTGGCTTTTATGCTTGAGTGACAGCACGCCATGTGGGAGAAAGAGGGGTTCAGGGTGTCTAGACATGAGTTGTCACAGACGTGAAAAAGAGGAGGACCACATCTCCCAGATAAACACTAGTTATCTGACAGAAGACCCATCCTCTTACATTGGCACTATGCAGAGAAGACGGAGGTCGCCGCTAGCATGTCAGAAATGTCAAACTGGGGTGGCGTTGGATACCAAGCATAGCTAAGAGGAGGTGCAAGAGATGACTCACCACAGCCATGGGGACGAAGACTTCCTGACTGAAGGTGGTGATCTTTCGACCGTTGAGGCCACCTGTGAAGAGAGTCTTCGAGGGGTCGACCCCTTCTGGTGTATTTTCACCGTAGACGACGAATTGGTAGCCGGCCCTTTGGTCTAGTTGCGTAACTTTGTATTCCTATAATACGGAATAAGGATTATTTTCGCAAGGAACCTTTTTTACCTTAAAAACAACCCACTGCCATGCCCACGGAGCTAGAAAACCATCTAATTTGGGAAGAGAGGAGGTTTAAGATCTACAAAACGATTGTAAACAATGAATATGTATGCGACCATATTCGACACCTCCATTTTATAAAAAAACACCCAAACTAAGCAAAATCTTATCCCCTGTCACTTTTTGGCAGCATAGGTGTGCACGTAAAAGTAACATGGCAACATAACCCCCACAACTGCCTAAAGTATTTCGCCCACAGCTCAAAATAAGTCAGTATCAGTAGTTCACGTCTTCGATGTCTTGATGATTGCATAAGATCTGTTTGTACCTTGTGCAGTCATCTAGGGAGTTGCTAGTGGCCTTAGACAAAACTGAAATTTTCCAACAGGTTATCATACTGAAGAAGAAATCAAACCATCTTTCCATCACCTCTGATGACGGTGTTATAAATTGAGAGTCCTCCGATACCTACGCAAAACTTATCAATAAAGTTGATTTCCAAAAGAACTGGCATCTTTAACGTCAGCATAATAATCGAGTATTTATGAACATGATTTAATCGTTTTATTGGAGATATTGATAAGGTTAACTTGATCTATAAAATAAACGTTGACTTCTTGCACGGATAAACCGACAACAACCCTCTGCCTTAATTCAAAGTGGTGTGTAGAAGCTGGTGTTCAAATCAAGGTGCGAAGGAGGCGATCTGAGACAAGCAGAATAAGCCCAATGGCACCACCTTAAAAGTTCAGTCTTCAAATATTCAAATCATCATAGTAAATCAGGCGTTGTCTTCAATGGAGCGGTGGATCAATTCTTATGAGATGAAAATGAATTTCTCTCCATGTATTGTGTGTTTGTGTTTGCGCTTGTACACATGTGATTTAAGAGCAAATTGCAAAATACTTGTTAGTTTTAAACTCACGCAGCACAGGAGCACATGGCCATCTCAAAGTCTTGGCTTGAAAAAAGGACATCAAGATCAACAGCGAAGATATTTTAGCGTTATATTACCATACAGTCACCCATTCACATTAGCACAATAAGGTTAGGAAATTAAAATAACAGTACGACGCTGAATCAGGCCACAAATAGAGAGGTTGTTGCTGTCTGAAAGAATGTTGTCTTAGGAGAGTGTAGAGAAAGGTTACCTTTAATTCCTCTCCTCTCCCTAATCCTGTGTTATAAAGACGAATAGGTGAGCGTGAAGCCCTAGGCGTAAATACCTTACACAGACGAATGAAGCGTGGTTCTTTCTTTCCAAGACATCGGACACCCATACACGCGCATGCTCGCAGCGTCTAGCGGGACCCCGACAGACTTGAAAAAGAGATGGGTCTACTGTACAAACGTAAGTATGCCCACTTGGAATCATACACAAAAAATCGGAAGGCAGAATTAGCAGATGTGCATGCCGATGTTTGTGAATGGGGCAGTCATGCATTCATTCAGTCACCCGGCCAGCCAGTTAACCATCGAGCTAACTGGCCAACGGGGAGAAGCACATGCGGTTCTCTCTGTGTAAGCGTGTGTGTGCAGAAAGACGCGGTGCACGCGCTAGTGCGTCAAATATGGACTCGAAGCCTGCACAGTGACCGCTTCCTCCACGGTTTCCTTCACCTTCACAGCAGCAGGAGGGAAAGGACGCGTCAGCATCAGCACATGCGTACGCATATGTGTGCGTGTACACATGAACACACGCAACCTAATGATTGGTGAACACGCACACACACCGCGAAGGAATAATGTACCGTGAAAAGGATGCAAAGTCACCATCACTATAGGGGTTGCCACCACCACTTCTGCACTTTCACTATCAAACGTTTCATCTGTCTGCTTACGTATCAAGGAGAGGATTTACGGGAGGTGTATTAGCGTTTACAATTTCAATCAGCCTATGGATCTTCTAACCAAAATCATTGAGAGAATTCGTGGTTTCAAAACCCACTATCCATTCAATGCGAAGTATAAACAGGAGCAAGACGTATAGTTTCGTTAAGGCCTCACTTCGGTAACTCAAACATGAAGGCAGACATATGGATCTAACGACTCCCCGGAGCACTACGTCAGAAAGCCACAAACCACCTCAGTGGAGAGATTTTGATGGTTGGGCTATAGCCAACAGGCAGTTAAAATAATCAGGAAAACAATTAATCATGCCTGAATAGGGGTAGTAAAATACACGCCTCTACTCCTAACTCCCGCATGGTGATGGGAGGCTTTTCTACCTTCCGTTGCAGCTGGGCCACTAAAGCTAAAATCATTACTCCACCAAAAACGAATAATGTAAATCCATTTTAGCGTTCAGTGATGGAGAGACAGTCGTCCTAGAGTGATGGAAACCATTGAGAGGATACAAACTACGCAGGAAAGGTTTCATTGGGAAGAGGAGGACGAGGAAATGAAGGAAAGGGTGACAACGGGTCAAATTGCAAACTGATAGATGATCTCCTTTACTGTTGGCTTTCTGTTAATAAAAATTATGGACACATAAACAAGCGTAATCACATGAAGAGGCAAGATCTAACAGCTACACTTAGAGAATTGAAGTGGGCCAAGGCATTCACTCATTGTACAACTGGGCCATACGCCTGTAGAGGCGTCAGCCGACCACCAAAATCGTAGTTCCCCGTGATCTTCATATTTCATTCGTCTCAAATGCTGATTTACATGGATTAGTGTAAGCAATTTCCGAGCGGTTGAGTAGTGGCTCAATCTCATACTAATACCGACTTTATCTGTAACTGAATTACCACATGCAGTAAAGCCACCAAAGCACTGATATCCGAAATCACTAACATCATATTCCTATTTATCTATCAGTTTGTAAGCTCTTGCTAATCCTTTTTGCCCAATCCTCAACTTTCGTGCAACAGATGCTTTTCTAAAGCAATTACTTGTAATAGCAGTACGTTCCAACGTCAGATGTTAAATTTTTAGAATTTGAGCTTTCACTAGTGGGCCGAGATAGTCCTCGAGCAGACTCTAACACCACAACCATGACTCATGAGTAACAGACGAGGCAGAGCGATAGCCAAAAAGGATCAACCTCGAGGTAGCCCTCTTAATGGGATTGAACTAATCTGTTACTACCCGAAGGTAAACTGAAGGCCAGACTTAGCAAAGCACGAACGAAAGGATACATTAAGAGGATCTAGAGAGCGGATATGGAGGAGTGACCTTTTGAAGGAGGCAGCAAAATGGTTGTAGGTGTGCGTGCGTGCAAGATATCGGCTGAGGGCGAGGGGCGTGATTCAACAACCCACAAGAGCATAACAATGTGGGATGAAGAGGGGGAGATTCATGAATGCACAAATTCCTTCCTTTCAGCCCCTTGCCCAACCCCCATAAAATGTCAAATATGCATCGACAAAAATAGTCGGATAAATAACGCTCTGTAATCAGGCCTCAGCATACAGAGCGAATGACCGAGATGGATACGACAATGATTCAAAAGCCATAGTTAAAAATAAATGAAGTAAAGAAAACTCTTAAATGCACGTGGTGGAGAGGCTTTGGCATCATTAAAAGGGAAATTTGATGTCGGCCGTTGGCAGAGTAGTGGGGAGAGGGAGGAGGAGATGAGAGGGGAAGGGATTTATGACATCGTATGACTCATGGAAGAAAGGAGACGTAATGGCTGCCCACCATCATGGACACCACCACACCCCAATGCTATTAGAAGTCGGAATCCCTTTCAATGAGCCCCACCGCACACGAGGCAGTTTTCGTTCTTGTAATGCTTAAGACAAATTACACTAAAACCCAGATTAGTAGGCTGAAATAATACATTTACATTGAGGATAGAAGTAATTGCCGAAGAAGCAGACGACTCGAGACCAATAATAACTGAATATTAGCCTAAGCGACAAGTTGTGGACCCCAGTGGTAGTTCCGCCCACTTTGTCCGGATGAGATAAGAGTGAGAAACAATCATGACGAGGCAACACGGGACGAAGGGCATTCAATTCTGAATTTAGTTCATCAGGATTTTTTTCCCGGATTAATTAATCGTTTCTGCCAATTTTTCACATACTTTCCTTTCATACCTTACAATTCCATCTATTTATTTGATAGGCATTGTTTTATGAGTTTCCATTTCTAGTAATGGTAACAGGTTGCTTTGCCAATCTGACTTAAAGTAGACACTCAGTAGCCGATCTTTTCCAAAAGATGCATTTAGATTCACTGAATAAAAAGCAGAATTTTCAGGTTCACAAACAGGGTAAGGACAGGACCTTGCATGAACACGCCTCGAAGGGTTGGATAGGTTTCCGTTCAATAAATCAAGGTACGTTTCCTAATTCTAATGTAGTACTAGCCACAAATAGAAAAGGTAGTATCATCAGTGCTTGAGGAAACCATCTTTGCAGGCATTAAGTGTAGAACCGGTGAGGAAGTAGTGGAGACATGAATTGTTATTCATATTTGAAATTGTGTGGGGACTATTCGGATTCCAACAGCTTTCCGCAGATATACTCTGACGGGAGAGTTCATAAACAATCAGTTACAAGCAAGCAGGAACAAAAATAAGTGTTTTCTCAATAACATCAATAAGTGGGTGATCCCAAAGGTTTGAGAGGCTGTTCTGAAAACGAATTCAAACTGAAAGCGACCCGACCAAAAATACTTGCTGACACATCCAAACAACCAGTTAAAGAAATAGTCTGCCCGGGGAGAGCGGTACAGAGATCAATCCAGCAATTTTTTACGTCTCTCCCTTACGAGAAATAAAGGTGAAAGAGGGAGGGAGAGAGAAGGAAGGAGGAAGGCAGGGAGAGAAGGGGGTACCATTTGCCTAGAATCCGACTGTTGGGGCATTTACAGTACCGCCTATAAAGCGCGGTACAGCACAGACACCGCTGACCTTTAGGCACTTATATATCTACCAATACGATGATGACTCATTGACCACACTAATGGTTATCTTCCCATTTTGCGCAAATATCATCGCAATGCAAATGAACACAAAATACTATGCTGAAGGGTGTGGTGAGTGAGACGAAAAGGCAATAGTCACAATTTTGGGAGAAGAGGCTAGCTCATTTTTGGGCCACCTATGAACAGGGAGGTAGAAGATGGAGAGAGACAGATTAAAGGGCAGATTTTACGGGGAGGAAAGAGATAAAAGATAGCAGGGGTGGTAAGACGAGGAATAGCGCTTTATCACAATTTGAAATATTGTAAGGCAAAAAAATCCAAATAGTCTCGCAATTTCACGGTAAGAAGGTTCAAAGGGGAGTCCTACCTCGAGGGTGCCCAATGCAGTGATATGATGGAAACCGTGGAAGGCTGTCTCTCCACCTGGGAGACGTTTCTCCTTACGGAAAAGAATTATGAAGCGCGTTATCCTGAAGTCGTTTTGTCGCCAGGGCCTTGACCACTTGATGTGAACCGCTCCGTCCGGCTACATAGAAAGGAGTGCCAAACATTCCTTACACAAAAGTTCGGAGTACTTAAAATACGCTGCCGCATAGACGTGAATGAATTTACACCTATTTAGAAATTCACAAACACCCAAGTAAGGCACAAATTTTTGGAATTCCCCAAGCCAAAATATCCTCGTGTGTGGACACTATCACGGATTATGGCGGAATCGAAGAACAGCAGAATGCGGATTTCATGAAGTGTTTTACGCTGCAAATAGTGAAATCACGAACATCCTAACGTAGAAAGACATAAACGCTTTCACCTCTCTTGTATTAAAAAAAATTGACTATCAGCTACAATGAGACTTGCGCCCAGATGCAATTACATCATACTACAGAACAAACCACTTATAAGACAAAATGTCTTCACAACCGACGTGTTGGAGACAAGAGAATTGTGAACTTTTTGATGCAAAAAATCTCACCTGACCGCAGTAGTAACCTCGTTACACTCCGATCAAGAAAATTAATCTCAAAAATGCAAACCACAACCACATTTAAATGTGAGAGAAACAATCAGAAAGTTTGATCATCTAACTCCACAGGAGTGTTTTAGTGTCGCCAATCCTTTGAGTCAAATCGGCACCTGACCTCAGGCTAAGAATACCACCGTGACTTTATCGTTTTGAGCTTAACAAATCTGCGTTCAAAATATAGGTTGACATGACCGCCTATTTGAAACTGATGCGGCACAAGTTTCACACGGTTCCCATGTCAAAATCAGATTGTGACAGAAACGAGTTTCAACAGGTAAGTTTTAATAAGAAGTTGGTTGTGGAGAATCAGTGAAGCTAAGTAATGCTATAGAGAAAGCCTGAAGGGGACTCACCAATCGTCGTGCCACTCGCACCAGAGGAGGCTCGGGCGAAATGTAGTCGAAGGAGGTGGTAGCGGACCACCGACTCTTCTCCTCTGGTGTCTCAGCATTAACAAAGACCGCGACCACCTGGAACTGGTAGACCTTGCCAGCCTCCAGTCCACCCGGTTGCTTGTTCGTCACATACATGTAGGGCTCCCGAACCTGTGTTGACAAAACAAGCACTTCGGCGGGCAATATTAATGGGAGCATTTCGTTCCGATTCCATTCGTTGCAAGCCGATAAAATTGCATCTTATACACCTGAGTGCCAAAATAAAAACATTTACAAAGGGACAACCGTGACACAGTGATCTCAACCACCATCCTGTTTCCAGATTTTTGATTTGCACGTTATCCAAATTTATTTTCTCACGGCATGAAAGCTTAAGCGAACAGAAGACAACCGCATGTCAAAACTAACGCGCCAAATAAGCTTGTGAAAAATGAATTTACTGTCTAAAATACAGAACAAGATAAATAGCACCCACTTCCTTAAGTTGTAGGTGGAATTTGATAAGAATCTGTAAATGGCAAATGAGGCTAAAATATACATAGATAAATCCTAAAACATTGTCACGAAAACGCGCTTGACAATGAAAAATGGACATAAATTCTATAGGCCGCTCCCACACTCCTAGTCGCCGCATCAAATTTACTCATCTTTCACACGGTTTTGAATTAATCCAAAGCTCGAATAGGCCAGCAGCCGTGCCAGTATGCCTAGGCTTTCAGAAGAGTTCGGGTCGGAGCGCCCTCTACCTCTTCCTGCAATGCCGAAGGCAAATGAACTAAATTGTGACCCCACGCAACAAAGTCAAGCAAGGCACGAAAACGCAAATGATAAGGCTGCTACTATTTTGCACATAAAACCAGTATGGTACAGTCAGTCACGTATTAGCTGGGTCAAGGCGAACAAGGCTTAAAACTCGGCCATGGCGAAGGTGTGGTGCTACCACACGTGACAAGCCGGCAGCGGAAGTGTATTCGCATGTCCATCCTCTTACTTTCTCACCTTCAGGAAGTGTGTGCGCGTAAGTACAAAACCTACCCAACTAGCCTGCCGGCTGACGTGCCAGCTACCTAACGCCTGTCCGTCTGGATAGCACGCTGACTAGCTGCGGTGGGTGCGTCTACGTAGCTAATGGCAACACTACTGCCTAAGGCGCGTAGGTGAGCGATCGGCTGCACAAGATGCCAGCAGAAGTGCCACAAGCAAACGAGAGGCGCCGTCTTTGTCACCACCGCCAGCAGTCTCTATGGTGAGGATATTAAACCTCTCCCAACCTTACCTCGCAATGTACGCAAGACCAACCTTTAGACCACTCCGCAGTAAGAGTCGCCACTAGGGTGTAAAAGTTCAAGCATGCCTAAGTGTCTGTTTTTGACCAATTAAGCAGCCACTCGATAATTAATCTATCTGTATAACTACTTCCAGATCCGAGTGATCATTATAAACCACACTTGTCCTTTTAAATACACCAAAACTGCATGCGTTGGACAACTCAGGTTCAAAAACCGGGTCATCACATGTGCGATGGAGGTAGCTGACGTACCAAGCACCTATTCTGAAATGTGTGCCGAATTGTAAAATTCAACGAAAAAAAAGGCTCTTACCCTGCCAGAGAGGCGGGTCTGCACAACAACGATGGGACGGTCCCAATGGCGCTCATGCGGATCCCGGTAGCGGAACTGAATACGATAATGACTTATTTGACGCTGCTGACTGTTCCTTGAAGGCCAAGACAGGTTCACTGCCAGGTTGTCACCGATTATCCTTACCTCCGGTCTCCACGAGGCTGTAAAACATACTGTAGTACATGAAGAACCTAATTTTTGACACAATAAACTTGAGGTCCCGTGGGAATGTGTCACTTGGTATGGATGGTGATGATTCAATTTTTCGGAGACGCATATGGCAAAAAAGACAGAGTTGCGTCTGTGTTGCTAATTAACAAATGGAGGCCCTTATAAATGGTTTCATGCCGTGATTTTCGAAAAAGAAAAGAGGATGTTTAAAAAAATTACTGGCAAGTAGCATCTACAGCTCGAATTAAATATCGAAAGAAGATTTAGGGCGTGAGTGATTGGCAGAGGTGTTTCACTCCCCATCCGCACGCAAGGTGCCTGGCACAGGTAGAGACGAGGAAAAGCAAATTCCGCCACTCTCAGTACAAACCGATCTTCCCTGACTTTTCTTCAAAGCCTATCAAACAAGTTGGCAACTAGCAGACTCACGAAGGCGCATAAACATTCAGCACCCAAACTACGCCGCCTGTTAGGGTGCAAATGACGCAGGAGTCAGCAATGCAGCGAATACTTAGTACAAAACGATGTACGCACACACAAACACACACACGATAAATCATCAAAAGGACATGCCTATGTTTATAAATACCCTCAAAACTACAGCACCTGAATATGTATACAGAAGCATGTAAGCTCGTAATTTACAGTTAGAGGGAGAAGGATGTAAAACTCACCCCTGTTGCGAAAGTGCTGCTTTGAGGGCCTCGGAGCAGGAGGCGCGATACTAACGTGTGAAGAGTTGACATTGCCGAAGGAAAGACGCCAATTGATAGAGGCGCCTCCTGGAGGCGATGAATCGCCTAATCCGAAGGATGGAGGCGGAGATCTTTTCAACTTCTGCACATCTGAGAAATCAAATGGGGTGAAGGACTCGCATTTACTTCCTTCAAACTAACCATTAGAGCGAAGTTTTTATGCAATAATTAGAATGCAACATGACTACCGCAGACGACCGGCCAGGTGGAAAGCCAGATTTCAGTTTTACTTTGCGCAACATCAACCGATTCATCCTGACTGTGCACAAATTGTACAAAATTATCAGCCTAGCTGAAATAAATCAAAGCCCTCTGATCTTTTCTTGAGGTACTCAAACATCATGCAAAGTCGTTATAGTTACTATGAGCGGTGCGACAAAACCGCATTCTTCATGAGGATGATTCATTCAAGTCGTTTTCAACTTTTATGGCAAAAATGTGTGAAACGAAATCCCATCACAAGGAAGGAGTGCATGCCGTAAATTTGTTCCGACGGCTACATTACTATCATTACTATTACCACTACGACTACAACAAGACAAGAGAGGAGGCGAGGATCAGAAATGGAGATCAAAAATGTAAGCAAGGAAACCACTTCATCCTCCACTTAGGGGGTTAATTAGAAAAGGCATGTCTGCAAGCACACAACAGCTCCATGGAACTGCATAGACATCAGTAACACCCAGAGCAAATTGATTCAACTTAATGAAATTGAAGTAAATCACAATTCTTAAAACAGACACTATGATAGTACTACTCATTGATGCTGTCCTTTGGAAAAATCAAGACATATCAATGTCAATACGTCAATCGAAATCTTTCAGGTACACACACACAACACAAGGGGAAAATTCAGCACCGAAGACATGATCTGAATTGCAAAGTGGATTCTGTGGATCAATGACGGGATTCAATTCAGTTTAAAACAAACCGAGGACATGATTTTTGGCCCCAATGGATGGCTTGTGACAGCAGCGGCTTGTTGATAGTGCCTACGGTCGAATTATCCTAAATTTCGGTGAAGTATGAACGTTTCGGTGTATTGAATCGCGTGCAGACATGTGGATGTTTCTTTCAAGCAGCGAAAATGTGTTTACACAGCAGTACTACCTTTCCCCATGTTACACAATCACCAAATGTTCATATTTCATCGAAGAAATTCTATGACATTACAAGTAGATTGACAGAAACAGTGTGGACGCGCTCTTGTACACAGGTTGTAGGTGGTATACGGCAAATTGCTTCGGTTAGCAACCTGACACTTTTCACGAAGAAATGCACGCCACCCAAGACAGCAATGCTAAGTCTACGAAAACAGGTTAAAGTCCAAAACTGCCAAGATTTAACACTAGCAGGAACGAAACCGTACACCAAAATCGCAGCATCACGAGTGACAGGGTAAACGAAGGCTGCACACTCAGGCGGGCAGGAGAATTAATAGTCATCCAGTAGGTCAATGCACCCTTGGAGGCGAGGCGTCTGGACACCGTCTCCCGCCAAAATTGTTGAAAACGAAATTTTCCACTAACACTCCCACTCTCTACTCTCTCGCTACCTCACAAAAAGCAAAGTAACGATTCACGTCCACTTGTGCAAGTTTGTCCAAGTATCAATAGATTCCCATGCATTTTGAACTTACTTGCAAATGCAAAATAGTTATCAGGTAAAAAAAAGAAAACAGAACCAAATGAATATTAAGTATTTAAAGCACATCTGTTCATGCAAAGCGAATGGAGAAGGTGTTTGCTTGGTGAAATGAATCGTCACGCACGCATACATCCAACTCTAGGCAACTTTGCTTTCACTGTTTCGCTACATCTTCCTAACAGAGGCAAATACGTGGAATTTGGGATCTAACCTTCCAGTGACAAAACATGCGAGAACAAGAGGTCTGGCACCACCACAAGCAAGCTCACAGCTGTAAATCGTTACAGAAAGGAAAAGAGAAGAAATAACGTTACAGAAGTTTCCTGAAAAAGACACAGACGTGAGAAAAGCGCAGCAGCTCTCGTCCGTGTGCTGGCCTAGTTCGTCATACGCTCTTTTGTTTGCCGAGAACGTTTTCACATATGAGACGTCGAAATTACGACCAGTGTTAAGCATCTAGAACTACCTTTTTGTGCCCTCAATACATTGATTTTACGCTTGAGGATAGTAAAAAAAAATTGGAACACAGCAGTCACAGTCAGAAATGAGACGGAATTGAAAATACCATGGTATTTAGAAGAGTATGCACAGACTAAAATCTTAAGGGGAATGTCCGGGGAAATCTTACTTACCTGAATAATTAGTTAAGATTTGAGACAGGGTAGGCTGAAAAAGCAACATGAAGATAAAAGAAGAAATGATGCAGAGGCGATTGGTAAGCCGCATACTTCCGATGAGCAATAGTCCTAGAGGCGTCTGGACATTTTAACTAAAATTAGGAAAGAAAACAAGGAAGTAAGTCACTGTTCATATACTTTTCCAACGAAAATCTAGATCACAGAAGAGCAAAATTGAGTCACAGTGTCATCTTCCATTGCATCTCGATTGCATAAAATACAGTAGTATGCTAGGCTAAAAATGCGTGAAGAGCGCCACACTCATGCTACCGAGATTGGTTATACAGAAAGCAAGAGAAGTAAAGTCTACACAAAACAAAGCGATATACTGCAACTGGATAAGAAAGTGCAGAATGCGTCCAAAAGATCACGAAGCACACACTCCCCACTCCACCTCGAATAATTGCATTGCAACTTTAAACACTTCATCTTTTCGAAAAAGAAATTAAGCTGGACCCTAGGAACGACAATATTACTTTGAGGTGAAGTAAAATGTGTTCTTTTAAGATTTTCGTAACGTAGAGGAAAGAAAACGAGAAATAACAAGTGCCAAGTATACAACATAGCGACTTTGACATGCTGTCTAAAATACCCAAAAAACGCTCATCTTGTTTCAACTTTAACTTGCCATTACCCTGAGGCGTCGAAGCGCCGAAACCGATGTTTCCGAGTGGGGATGGAAAGGAACCCGATGTGTTGCCAAGAGCAAACTACTGATGGTTGAGAATGAACAAAAGAAACAATAGTAGATCTTGCAACTTCGACATGAGTAGAGTGGCAACCTTTCCGGATACTCATTTAAGAAAGAGAGAAAAGTCTAAAGGTCTTGCATGAAAAGTTTAATGAGAAAGTGAAGTTACGTTGAGTCAAATCGTGGATAGGTCAGATTGCATTAATACAAGGATCAATCCAAAAGAAGAGGATAGCTTATGAATGAGAAGGCATCAACAAACCTTACGTATCACAATACCTGAGGTAGAGGCAAAGATCGTGGAGAGTTGTTGAAATTTACGGAAATATAATGCATTCACCAAAACTATCTCCAGCAATTATTTGGTTTAATGAATACGGAATATACACCAAATCACAGCGCATAAAAAGGGACGAACTGGCTAATTAGTGGCGCATACCACCGTCTGTTACATATGTCGCCAAGATGACGATGCTAACAGAACAAAGCCTGAACGAAATATTTTAGTTAAACAAGTAGGGAAACATTAAGCACTTAAACAGGGTACCCAGGTCCAAGGGCTCTGATGTGCCGAAGTGAAAGGAAGAAGGGCGTAAATTAATTGATGAAATGACGTCCCAATTCAAGTCACATTTGCCGAATCTTTGAAACTCATGAGTCGGCGAGGAAAAAAACCCATTTAGAAGCGACTAATTTCACCCTGTCATGACTAATTAAAAATCAAATGGAAAATAACTCATGAGAGAAGTTTGCCTCATTCAATACGAAGAACTACAAAGCAGAAATATTTAAGTATTCTACTTGGAACACCCAGAACTTAATAGTACATATAAGGCCTTTTCAAGTTGAATAACACCAGCGCATTTTAGCTAAGGACCATCTGGAAAATCGGAGATTAATGAGAAAGCATGCAAGAAAGCAACGTATTCAAGAATTAAAAGTTTCAATTCTAAGGCCGGTAATAGCTACCCAACGAACTCCGAACACCCAGAGTGCTTCAAAAGCCGATAAGTCTTCAAGATAATAAAATAAAAACTAATTAAGCACATTTGGAACCTCAAATATATAAAGGAGAATTATGGAAACAGGATAAACATGGCAAAAAAGGTGCGTTCAAATAAACGAAATTAAGGCACCGGCATATCAATTAAACTATGGAATATCGGCAATGAATACCATCCGAACACAAAAATCCGCCGACACTAAAGCAGTGCACCAAAATATGCGCACATTTTTTTGAACGAAGTATTAAGCATGGGACATCAAAACTTTATATACTTACAAATCTTTAAACCAATACTAAGATTGTACAATTAACGGAAGGAACGCCCCCATCCTATTGGTCAGGTGCTTAAACGATGCGCCGAAAACCTAGCGTTTTAATTGGCGATTAGGGGAATTCCTAATTAATATAAGATTTTCAAGGTTGATGCTAATTATAAATATTACTTAAAGTAGCAGGAATAAGTCAGTTGGCCCAAATTTTTGAAGTTTAATGCCCTTAAGATGAGCAATTATTAAGATTTTGAATTTCGCTAAATTTTAAACAGAAAACCATTTTTATTAGTAATTTTAATTTACGCTTTTTGATGGATCAATTTAAGGAGATCTTATTCTTTTATTTTTAGAAGTTTATATTAAAGAAACCATATATGCGGCCGTAGCGTCCTGAGACTTTCCACTGAGTAGAAGGTTGTAAGTGAAGCTAAATACATGTATTTCAAGGAGAACAAAGTGAGTAGGCTTGAGCATGGCCTGAAGCTTAGCCCAAGCGCAGGGACCAGACAAATCTTAGAGTAACCACCAGATATGAGCTGTTGGCATAAATAGCGTCATAACGGCATCTCGTGTTTCCCTTAAGATAACATCTTGGACAAACTGTGCATAGGAGAAAAAGGAAAGATTCGGTGCCGCTGGAGTGAGTGAGAAATCAGCCCACTCTTTTATGCCAATGAATACCAAAATGGCTGCGGTTGGAGCCAACCATCAATTTGAAATATGTTGTAATATGCGTTTACATGGTTGTCGACTGGTTTTATATTGTTGTGAATAATCAAATCTTGTTTAGTGAATTTCTGGGCCATTTAAAGTACATACCCATTAAGTCCGTTGTAACGTTCCGAGACTTCGCACCGAGTAGAAGAAAGCATTAAGTGGAGCTGAATGTATGTATTCCAGAGAGAGTGAAAGGAGCAGGTCTGAGCTTGATCCGAAGGCTAGCCCAAGCGTACAAGACCCAGACGATTAACAATGTGACAGTCAGAAATCATGGAGTCCTATGACTTTACTATTGCATTTTTGTATTTATAATGGGGTGAAGCTATTGACGCAGTTCTGAGATCCCAAGTTGCTACCTAACCACAATAAAGGTGTACAAAATAACCCATATGCTACACTGCAACATGTTCTCGAACTTCATTAAAATGGTGATTTCGATTTGCCTCGCGGTTGTTGATTTTTTCATTGGTTTTGAGTGGTTGAAATGTGCCAGAGGGGGATGAAAACCTGTATTTCTAGAGAAGAGCTTTTGACTGGACCGAAGGCCAAGAGCAAATTAAATACCAACGTGACTGCCTGTCATGGGTAGTCGATTGTATAAAGTGCTGTGATGTGGCTGTGCTACCCTCCGCACACCTTCCAAGCCAGCCGCCACAATGTATACGGTGTCATCAGAAGGCACCTACGAGACAGAAGCGCTAGTCATCCGCTCCAATACGATTAAGGTAATGTTCATAGCCCCCTCATCAGCTTCTACTAAATCGGAAGTTGTGTTTGACATGTTTTTAGGAATTAGAGGTGAATACTTCCTTTGACCATCAATATAAAGCAGGTACATAACGAGGAAAACGAGGTTTAAAAAAGTCATATGGCAAAGCATTACAAGTAGGATCCAAACTCTCTTTAACTTGGTTGATGATTGTGAATTTGGCTTTTTTGGTAATCATTTCATGTTTCATAATTCTGACATTTCTTTGTTCTTCATGGTCCTTCAGACTCTGACTTTTGAATGGGAAATCGTGAGATATAGATGACAATGTGGAACGCAAGACTGTGTGCGGTGCATGGAATACAAATTATAGACTGCAGGAAACCACGGATAGCACTGTGAAATGGAATACTACCGTCACACTCTCAGTGTTCCTTGCATGAACCGATTTGTGACTTATTATAGGTGATCAAACCGTTCTGCATTGTGTTTTATTGTAAAAAAGGAATAACTATTTAACGTGGTTCTGTAAAGCACCAAAAAATGCTAGTAATTTAGCTGACACTTTTACCTTGGTTCACACGTTAATTCTAACCAATTCAATCTCCACTTCGGTTTGCTTTTTTTCCACGTCAGCGAACATGCCGTCGCAGCAGTGTTTTTCTAATGTCATTCCTGAGGCAGAGAAACCAAATTACCCGAGCTAATGAAACATGACGCCGCTGTCAAAAGGGGGAGGCAATAGGGAGATGTTCAACAGGCATCGTCCAGTCAAGTGTAACCCTCAAATAAGTCGATGTGGGGTCACGCTTGTAACACTTTGTCGACCCTAAGGGTAAATTATGTCTTGCTGAAATCTCGGTGACATTAGTTATGGAGGTAGTCCTTACATTCCCTTTACAGGAACCTCGTGATTTAACCGCACTTATTGTAACTTGAACTTAAGGGAACTTGATGAAATTGAAAAAGTATTCGTGAGTAATGAATTATTACATCGTTATTGGCTTTAAAATACCACACAGCCCCAAAATTTCAGAAATCGAGGGCATGTATCACGTTGGCTTTATAACATGAAGGCAATACTGCAGCGACACAATAATTTCCTGAAGACTAAAGACACAATAGCTATTCCGGGACATCCATGCGCTTAGATGTGGAGAGGTTGGGAGGTAGTTGCCGTGGTCTGGAGGCAATTCCACTTGGCGGAATCCCCAAGTGGCTCAATGCCAAAACGAGAGTTAAGCAGAGAATCTCCGTATTGGGACACCTAAGATACTTTTGGGTGCCAAAGAGTTTGGCACTTCTTACAGTTTCATATTAGCTAAATGTGCACTTTTTGCCATTTTGGTACTTATCCATGAGAAATCTAACATTCAAAAAAAGTGTTTTGCGATAAAGCCCAGTCATGCTGAGTACTACATTCTAAATTGTTGTTGACGGAAAGGCGGATTTTGCCATCAAAGTTAACATCTCAAATAGTGAATAATGACCGAAAGCACTTAGCAAAGGCCAACCGTTCCACGGTATGCACTAATGCACCCTCAATGACCGCTGAGAATGTCAAATCCACTGACATTTTCAACCGCACTGAAAATTTTTAATGAATGGTTGCCTTATTTTTCTATCCCTTCTTCATCTTCTCCACCGTTTCGTGCCAATCCTGTGTGTTTAAAAAGTTTGATTAAGTAAGCAAAAGTATTTGTCACTGCAAAACGATACTGATCCTGGATTTTTTTCCTCTTATTGCCATGTTTTGATTGAAGGCCATTGTTAATAACCCTATCCCATTCCGTCCACTGGATGTTGACCAACATGAAAGGACTATGCTACAAATATTGTTGCTTATGTCGAGTTGAGGTGTGTTTGGTCAGGCAGAATATGAGGAGATTTGATGAGATGAGTGTTTAATGTATATGTACACAAACATTCAAACACAGTACTGAATGAACAAAAGAGATGGGAGGAAGAGAAAAGAGGGAAGGCAAAGCATTTGCACTACCAAGAGCACTCGAGAGCACTAGCAGAGGTGAGTTGATCCAATGTTGAGTTCTGTGATTTAATGGGAGAAAGGTTCGCCAGTTGCTGGTTCAGTGTGGGTTGGAGATTGTGGTGGTGGAGCTGCTGCTGTTGCTGGAGATGATGAGGGTGGTGATGGCTATGACAGTAGGTATTCGGGAGCGAGGTGAAGCCATGATCACCAGGAGCTACGATAAACGCCGTGCTCCTGTTGAAGCGACTCTCCAACTGGGAGAAAGGCTCAGAAAGAGGACTCAGTATTGCCTTTTCCGGGGTGTATCCAGACTCGTCGGAGAAATGTACTGACGACTCGTCTATAAATTTATCGCGTAGGCAGTGCATAAAAAAACACCTTTGTCATGAAATTGTTTTTTTTCTTACTTTCGGATCGCCACCTTAGGCTAGCATAACAGCGGGATGCGTAAAAAACTGAAGCGCCTCGAATGAGACCCTTACTGTTCGTAATCTTGCTGTAGCTTCTTTCCAAATGACTATTGAACTACACCTACTGAATTTGAATTATTTTCTTATGCTGATTTGTTGTTAGGATTTGGTGCAGCTAAGGGGAGGCGATTGCCTTTGCCTCGGTCGTTTGGTTAAATTCAGTATGAGAAGTATCTGTAATAATATCAGAACATCGCGCGTTTGCTTTGGAAAACTAGCACCACACCTGTGTAATGCAGTGCGAGGGTTGCGCTGAAGTACTGGTCATGGAGACATTGAACATTGCGATGCCACTAAAACCGTGGACACGAAGTCGCCTGCACAATTAAGCTTGGTGACCGGGACATATTTTGCTGTCCCAGTTAGTTCCGTCCCATCAACACACTGGCACATAGTCCGATCCACAAGGAGGGAGGTGAGTGATCCGTGACCTGCGCTACTTGACCAATGGTGTAATGATTAGCACTACACGAAGGTTTCACCTTCCGAGTTGACAGACTTGATAGCTGTGGTGGCCTTTCACTCAAGATATTGAGTTAACTTTCGGAATAATTAGCCTTGCCAATGTGGCGCATGCCTGTTCATGTCTCCCATATGTGTGTGAGCAGTCTTGCATATGGAATTTCATCCCTACAGCCAAGTGAAGCGTTATTCTTCATTCGTTCCCCAGAGAATGGCCTCCAAGTCCTATCCATCCTCTCCCCGTTATCTGTTCGCGGTGGTGGTCAATTTTGTTCCATGCCGTCATCCATTTCACTTGCTCCCGCGCCTCCTCCGTTCTCGCCCCCTTTTGGAGGCAGGGGAGGAGGAATGGAAAAGAGAATGACGGTAAACAGCTAACTTCGAACTCATTAAAAAAGCATATCCTCCAAATCAAAGCTCGCGCTTCTTGATTGTGATTAAATAGTAAGCCTCTCACATTATTTAAGCTGAGTGAAATCACCACACCAAAAATTCGGGTCTGGATTATCGCACATTAACAAAGTGAATGAACATTTTTGAGTCGTGCATGAAAAAATGGCATAGTCTTATACTGAATTGGGTTGAGCTACGGATGTGAGGTCTAATTTTCAAACGTGAAATGCAGTGATCGCCAGTGAATAATAGACAGGAGTACAAAATACTCGACTCTTCGATAGCAATCCTGTGCGAGTGAGGCAATTTTGATGAAGTAGGGCCCAAATATCCGGCTAAAAACTCCGCCTTCATTCTTAAGGGGAGCTTTCCCAGTGTTTTTTGAGACCGAATTGAGGAAACGACACTGGAGAGCACTAACGGCGAGGTTTCTTCCTTTCTCTCTACTTTGGCCTTCTGACAAGTCTTATGCCTTTCATTTCCAATGCCAGTCAATTGACTGTCATGGAGTATTTACAAAGGGATTTAATTTTCTTCCAGAGGTACGTATGCAACGATGGAATAGCGGGAGTCTATCCGCCAAAGAACTGTTTACTTACTGATCTGATCATCGAGGGTTTTTTCGGACTCTCGTTCGCAGGACAGTTGTGGTAGGAGAGGATGCTCGGACGAAAGGGGTGCCTTCTTGGTCATGCTCTCGTGCCGTGAGGGGTACGTAAGTCCTCCTCCGCTGAAAGGATTTTGATATCCTGATTGTAATGGTGGTGGTGGCGACAGCGACGTTCCGTAGGAGAACACCGAAGCACCCATCGGCAACGTACTTGGGGCCTCTGCCGCCATTGTATTGTAAAATTCCTAAATTTTAACAGCAATAATTAAATTTCAGTGCGTTGATGCTACAAAATTCACCATCATAGACGACGATGTCGATACTTAGGGTTTTATGAGCAGTAATTTTGCCATCATCTTTGCAATGAAAAGGGTTTAGCCTTTTTAGGGAAATTTATCCAAAATAAAAGGATTTTTAATAAGTTTCGTACCTTTAAATTTTGCGATTTGAATGAAAGAAACTAGCGAACAGTCACACTGACTCACTCGCTGCGCTTCGACACAAAAAAATCCACTTTGATAACCTGGGGGTGGAAGTAGCGCTGGTGGCGGCGGGAGAGGTGGTATATGCAACAGCTCTGCCATCATTTCGGAAGGCAGGTCGTCAGAGGCGAAGGTGGCTGGTTCTAGGGAGGGGACACTGCTTGTCACACCACCGCCACCACTTCCTATCCGCAGTCTCCTAGCCGAGTGTTGGTGGTGGCTGTGGTGATTGTGCTGTTGTTGTTGTTGTTGTTGTTGTTGAAAGAAGGACCTCCGCACCCCCAGCGCTGACAGCTGCTTCAGCCGACGTTCCTTGCTGCGACGATTTTGGAACCATACCTACAACACAATCACTCAGTATTACATGATCATTGCCATAATTTGAGTGTAATTTGATGTGAATCTCAATTTAGATACTTCCCACGCATTATTAACGCTCTAGCAAACATAAATCTAAATACTATTTGTTTAAGGTTCTTGAAACGGAGTATTTTAAAAAAAAAACAACCAATTTTCGTAAACTGGGTTTTGTTCTAAACCATACAAGGAGAGATGGAATGAAGTTGATAAAATTGGGATCCCTAAATCCAGCCAGAAAAGGAAGTAAAGAGCAAAGGAAAGTAAGAAGGAAAGTGAGCTTTGCAATCACAAAAATAGCAAATGGAAAGCGTATAATCCACTCCCAGTGCGCCTCGGTTTAGTGGAAGGGGGACACGGGAGGATGAGGGGAGGGGGAGCGGATGGGCAGAGGGCGGCGAGGCGAGTGGGAGGTGAGTCGGTAAGCGCACGTCACAGAGATGAAGACGCAAGCAGGAAACTAATGCTCACGAGCGTACGCAAATGGGTAGGCAAACGAGGGATTAGGATGGCTGGTGTGAAGCCTGTCGATACTATTTAAGTCAGGGATTAACGTATTCGATGGTGGCTTTAATGCCTCTACACGCCTCCCTGTATCGCCCTTTCAACAGTTTACACAGCAACTGTCTGCTTATCTTTGCGATAGCCTGGCACAACTACTCAGAAGGTCCAAAATCTTCATTTCGAAGGTCGATTCGTATCTATGCGTTTTTCCAACTTCCTGCCTAACATTTCTCATTCCCTGAGGCAAAAGAAAAGCATTTATGTTGGATGTTTATCTTTGTGCCCCTCCTAGTCCATGATAGGTGAGCGCAGAGACTCCCATGGGGATCATCTTCCAAGAGTTTGGAAACAATAACTGTAATCAAAGACGAATAACTTTTTACTTCGAAATTGTTTGCCCATTTAATCGCAACCTAAACACATCACACGCATGGTAAATACGTTATGCAAATAGTCTAAGGAAATGGCAACTTGTCATGAATTATTACGAGCCCGTGGACTGCTAACATTTAGATAGAGTTCCACAATACTTTTAGTCATCAGACTGAAGGATGAGGAATGTGTTGAATTCGCCCTGCGTTCACGTAAGAAAAAGGTCCGTGTTCCCCCAATGTCAAACGCTGCTGGTGACAACGAGGAAGCAATTTCACACCTCGAATCCCTCACTGCTCATTTGCATATTCGACAAGTGGGAGAGGAGGAAGGTAGGGAATGGAGGGAAAGAAGGAGGGGTAGTGATTTCCTGAACTGAGACATGCACTCCGCCTTAACATTGGCCGCGTCAGTTGAGGTGTCAGCGCTGCGAACTGCCAGCGGAAGTTGAGGAGGGGATTCATTTTTATTGGCTTCCGCCTAGCCGCAGGCATGCATTTGCACCAAAACCAAGCTCTACGCCATTTGCAGGTTTAAACCGGTGACAAATACGATCACCCTACTTCAATTCTAAGATTACCACCTACTGACTGAATTAATTGCTAGTCAGGGCAAGTTAAAACTACATTCACAAATGCGCAAAAAAGTCAATCTTCAAAGTACTTCAGTGTTCAGCGACGATAAATCACAAGTACAAAAGCCTTCTTTAGGCAGCCTCAAGCGTTTATCACAGAACAGGAACAGGATAAGGGTGTATGCGATGAACGTCAAAGGCACGGGCACATCAGACCAGGTGCGCGATACTGCAAAAGGCGGAAAGGAGTCGCGACGTCTGAGACACGTACGATAGCACATAGGCACACTAGGCCCGTCCACGTGAATGATAGTGAGAAAAACAATTCATGTTAGAACAACAAGAGCCTGCCTTGATCATGGGAGGGCTGTGGCAGTAACGCTAACTTGGCTAGAGAAATGCAGTCAAGAGAAGGTGGAACTATTGGACCTTTTAGCATGGGTACCGACCACTCATGGAACATGGGTGGGAGTAGAAGACTCGCCTGAATGACGCGCATAGAGAGGCCGGTCTCTTGAGCCAATTGTTCGCGAATATGTCTGGTGGGTTTTGGCGTGGTAGCGAAGGCCTGTTTTAAAGTGTCCAACTGCTTTGCTTTGATAGTAGTTCGAGGCCCGCGTCGCTTTGCAACGACAGTGCTTCCACTGCCTTCTAATGAGACCTGAGTGGACACTGCAGTGTTGGTGGAGGCAGAAATTTCATTGGAGGCAGGACTACCACTAGCTTCATCCGCTCCTGAGGTGGCTTTTGATCCGTCCTCAACTTCTCCCTCCACTTCGGCTAGCTCGAGCCCACAATCCTCCGATTGGTCATCGCCTTCCAGGTTGCTTGCGTACATCGGCGAGTCGACCTCTCGCTCCTGCTCTGGATCACTGTGTACAAAGTGGCCCAGACCAGCTTCTGTGGAAGCGTACGAGTCCTGGTGCTCGTAGTATATAGTCTCTTTGACGGTCTCTGCTTGGAGAAAACCAGGCTGGAGTAGCAAGTTAGGAACATCTGAGCAACTATATTCCTCAGTACAAGTTGGTACAGGTATTTTGTTATCGAGGGAAGTAATCTAGTCAGTTTTAAATACCATAACAGCGATCTTCGTTTTAGACCACTAAAAAATGAAAAGAGTAGAACTAAGTAAATATTGTACCACTTCTTCATCTCCCTTGGAGAAATATGAGACTCTGATCACGTAACAATACCTTTCATGAGCTATTGTTTGTTTTTTAGCCACTGGAATCTCATTTAAGGGATCATACATTCCCCATAAATCCCCAGTCAGTTTTATGAATAGCCTTTAAATTAGAAACATAAAATTTCCTCATTTCTCAAAATATACAATGACGATAAATGTTCTAGACTATTCACTTCTCATTACTAGAAGTGGGGAATCTCGATCCCCTTTTATGGGACACAGGGGGCCTATGGATGTTACCACCCGCCTGCACTTTGTTGCGTTAAAGTAAAACTCGAATCATAAAGGGCCAGCTATCATGACAACACACCGAAGGACACAAAAAATGTGGTCCACTTACCCAATAACACTGCCTTTCGAGTCGAAAGCCAATGTGATGGAAACTAAAGAATTTTGGGAACTTGGAAATGAAATAAAGTAGTAGACTCCATTTATTCGCAAATCATTGTATCCAGATGAGAAACAGACTTTTAAATTTTCGTCCACTACTTGCAGCATTCGTTTTCCCACCTACCTCTTTCGTGTTTATTCCCGTTACCACAATCACCGCCACCACTGCCTTCTAAGTTGTTATCGGAACGAGAGGGACTCCTCGGAGTACCTGGACGGCAGATTCTCTGGCCGCTGTCATGTTCCATGCAAACAAATCGCACACCATCGCCGAGAGATCGACATTCGTCGCCTGTAGCCAGACAGCGCGCGCAGAGGACGCAGCGAAAGCAGTCAGCATGATATGCAACCGAACCCAGCAGTCTGACCATGTCCGTCGACAGGATCGTCTCCATGCAAGTGGGACAGCGCGGACTGAAGAGACTACAACCACAATCACTAAAGTTACGTGAAGTCAGACTTCTGAAATAGTTCAATGGAGGGAACAGCGAGTGAACAGGTGTGTGTGCGCACATGTTCAAGAGAAGATGAAATAAATAGCAGCGAAAAGAAACATCGAGGCGCCGTCACTCAGCCCCTTGATATGGACGCGACCTTCTATCCTGTTTACTTCACACAAGAGGGTGGGCGCCCCCCATAGAAGCGGTGGTCAACAGCACAAGTGCATTTTCAACTTCAATGTGTGTACGATTTTTTTCCAGCCCCTCAAGGTCATGGCTACCGTCGTCTTTGTAGTTCGACCGACTTGCCCGTCTGATGTCTGACTTTTCTGAAGTACAGCTAATTAGGCCATGTGAAAAGGCTGATCTTTTTAGCGGCGATTTCTTTAACCTTCCTAAAGTAACTACATTTTTTAAGGAGCATCTGGTACTAAAAATACCTATCTATTTAATAATCTTACTACTTTGGGCGGTGGCAACATGGTTTAAACCTTGGCATTAGCAATACCATACTCAAGCACTTCAGGAATACCCAATATTTTTCGGTATGAGGCAGAACCGTCCTCCCTCTGTTGTATCAGTCGAATAAGGAACGGAGAAAATAAGCATTTAACGTTTTATTTTTTTTTGCTTGATATCAAAATCAACATGTTTCTTAGCATGGATAACTTTGCACACAATATAGTAAATTGGTAAAATATTTAACACAGTATTTAGAAAGTGGTTTTGTTGCATGGGATGGCAAAAATTAAACTTTCTTCCAACTAATAGGCAAAATTTACGCTTTATGAAAAGTCTTTGAATTAATGAACCCAGAAACCGGCCACAAAATAGGTCTACAAGGAAACAATGAACAAGAAAACTAGAGTATTTTCCCAAAACACAATTATATTTATTAACAAGCACAAGTTGAATTAATAGGTAGAGAAGACGGGATTACCTATGAATTAAAAGGTTGAAAACTCAAAGATATCTAGTAGACTAGGGGAGGCTATCCAGTACTTACCGTATGAAATCGTTCCTGCAAAAATACTGTCCGTTTCGTGCGAAACATCGGCTCACTAGTTGAACGCGACAGACTACACAGCGAAGACAGTCCTGATGCCAAATCTGATCGTCGATGCATGGATAATACTTGTCCATAATTGGCCGTTCACAACCAACGCAGCAGTTAATAACACCACCGCCAGTGTTGGGTCGGGTCATGGTCTTGAGGCTAGTTAATCGAATCAGCTCACTTCAGGAATGGTTTCTCTTATCCGTATGTTTGAAGTGAAACAAAAAATAGCAAAAATAAATCGCGGCAACGATGGTGGTGGCGGCGGGGAAGTGTGTAGGGTAGGCATGTACTGAGCGCGCTACGGGCGAACCAATCATAAGCCTCTCGCCACCTGTGTTCCGATTGGTTAGCTTTGCCGGTGCAGCACATTTATAGGGGCAGACAGGGAGAGGTAGCGTTGTGTCATCGAATAACTGATTTGCCCTTAGTAGTTCAGGCTTTAAGATCCTTAGTTGATAAGAAAGTTCGTAAGTCAAGTTATGCACATAGCTTAAAGAGCTTTGTTAAACAATTGTAGATTTAAATGATCGGCCACATTTAAAGTCGCATGCCTCAAGTGAAAAAATGATTAACGCCTTATCTACATCCCTTGAGTAGTAAAATATGAGACGGACGTCATAGAGCCGTAATGCAAGGCAGCACCTTTTTACAGATTAATATTAACTACCCTGTACTTTAAAAATGTCTGACAACGTGTTATGAGCCATCAGCTCATCCTGCTAGAACCTGCAGCCTTACACAAAAGGGTGTATATAAACAGAACTTTAAGTTGAAGTTGACACTTAACTTCTTACTAACAAACGACACAAACAAAATATGCATTATAAATTTACACATTTCTCGAGAAATGGATCATTCTCAAGTGAGATTCAGAGAGAGACTTATCATCCCCTTATCCTAGGTAGTTTGGTGGTGGGAATTGTTTGAACCAAGAAGCGCAAAATAATTTTGTCAAGGTTCTTCATTTCAATTGTGCGATACATTGTCAAAAACAAGCAGTCACTTTTCAAACAATGCTAAACAATGGTAAAGCTAAAAAGTTTGTTTCATTAAATGTGCAAACAAATGCACATGATGAGCTAATGCTTATTTAAACAATCACGAGTTGTCGGCCATACCATTGTCTCCACAGTTGAACGCCACAGCATACAAGATGATCGTGTAAATAGATTCGGCCAATTAAAGGCTCCTTTATGTGGCTGCAAAGTCAACGCTTCTATTAAATATGACCTCTCATCTTCACAATCTTTTTTGCTTGCCGTTCCACATGTGGGACAAATGTGAATGATTGGATTCGCTTTCGAGTAGGTTAATGATGAAAAAAAATTTCCAAGTTCCAACAAACGGCAATCTTCGATGAAAATAGAGGCAGTGCTCCAACCCTCTGAAAGGGTGAGACGAAATGGGGGCTGTATTAATTCCTTGCAACACTGCTGCCATTTGCGGTGTTGAGATATTGGCGAGAGGGAGCGGCCCTTCGAAGTCAAAGCCTATTTGAGCAGAGGGGAACGCGCACCGCGTCTTCTCACCTAAACCAGGGACAGGTGGTCAGCTCTCTGCAATTTACCACTCGGCTGAACCCCGCTTTATGAAGGCCAGAGGTAGGGAGGATTGGATGAAAGCGATCCACTACATCCTCCACATAATCGTTTTTTTATTTACGTTATTTTGACATGATTTTAGTTGACGCAAATAAAAGCTGAACAACTGCTCTCAAACAAATAAGAGATCGTAAAAACTGTCCAGGGCAGTTAGGCGAATGAGAGCGATCATTATGATAGCTGTAAAGCTCACTCGAAGACCATCGATTGACTGCATACATTTTTTACAGGCTGGAGTTGACAGTATTCATCCAGATTTGAATCCCATTTCGGGACTCATCGCGTGCTCGAGGTGAGAAGTATTGCGTAACCCTTTGTCCAATCGAACAGACGCCCAGAACTCACAACCAGACAATGGACTCAAGTGGCCCACTTCGCCCAAATCAAAAAGGCAAATACACACGCACATACATTGCACGAGGCAGCTTCACTCAGTCCCACCCCCACCATCAGTGGCATCAAGGCCGTTGATTTAGGCGAGGTTTAAGTAGGGCGGATGTACCGAAGAAGGCTAATTAAAACCGCAAAACTGGGGCAGCATATCAGACCAACGATGAGGGACTGGTGAGGTGATTTGAATTTAATCAACCTCATGAAAGGCACAAAACTTCCCACTCTGCTATCACTCCGAGCTCACCGATTAGACTCTGCTTCTACTTTGCCACCTTAACAGTCAGCAACGAAGTAGAACAGCAGATAATTTTCAGCTATCGCGAATGCTTATGACCATCATCTAAACAACAACAACAGCCCTTGTGTCAAACTAAATCGGACCACCCTTCGCCCTTCAAAGGTGCACCAGATTACGGGGTATTTGGTACGTTAAAGTTAATGGTAAAAGGAAATTGCGAACTGATGGTCGACGTTCCCCTTGCAATGCAACCGAAGTCGATTGGCCATAACGATAACGGAAGTGAAAATATGGTTTTAAGGGCCATGAGATAAAAAAAACGTCAAGTGGAATGACTTAATTATTTCTTTTTAATGTGCAATTGGGAACCAAGGAGTACGTCAAATTATGCGCCAATTAGAAATGACTCAAGGTGTCAGGCTTCAGGGGTCGGAGTCATCGGAAGCACCATCGCTTAGCGCAAGAATCTGAAATGAGAATGAAACGATGACTGTGAAGCTCAACGGGACATCGCATTCATTCTAAAATTTGTTCATAAACATGACGTAATGCCCAATGAGAAGTAACGTGAGCAGGAGAAACCAGCACGCTATCAAATAAAGTACATGCTAACTTTCAACTTAAATTTAAGGGAAAACGACTAGCGTTTGATAGAAATAAGCAAGCGATTACACCAATTTTTGCCAGTATAAAGTGGTTGCTTCGTAAATTAAAAACTATATGCTTTATAATCAACATCGAGACTTGATAATCAGTTTCGTACATTTGTAAAAAGTTAGAACGAACCACAGATAAGAGTTGAGCCCTGACAAGGACTGATAACTCACCTCATCAAAATAAGTCTCGATATGCAGTTCCTTTAGTCCTGCGACCTCCTCCAAATAAGCAGCGTCGTCAAAAACTCGAAGCAAAAATTCAAACCCCTCTTTTGCATAGGCATCAAGTACCTGTGAAAGAAGCCACAAGTAATGCAAAACCTCTGCCACAAAAAACGCCACTACCAGAACCATTGTGATAGCAAGTAGAGCCTACCGGTTGGGAACACGCAGAACACCGTGAAAAGGCAGTTGTGCAAGGCACAATCTCGGTGAATTGAGACAAGAAACCTCGGATATGGTGAGGAAGGAAGCTGAAGGTGAGACTTTGAGGTACCGTACTTTCATTATCTTTACGTGTTTCGGCACGAGCGAAGGCTCTGACAACGAAAAATAATAGTCGGTGAACGATAATCACCGAGGTTAAGCGAAGGCATTTAAGGTGCCTCAAGAGAGCGGAATAAAAAGATTTAACTCTGCTTTAGAAGCAAATGAAAGACAAGGACCCCATAACGCAGCGTAAAACATCTTGCCAGGCATAAAGCAGTTCCACGAGCGGCGATGCATAGGCTAAATGATTGGGCGGCAATGAGAAGGATACCTTTCGAGTTTTTAATGAATTAGTCTACGTTCGGCTGATAATGGCCACTTAAGCCCTTTCTGCATTGATAATAAAAGCTTTAGTTACGTATGATTAAGCGGCCGATGACCCAAGGCACTCCCACGTTTGCAACACTTTCTTCAAGGTGCGCACGCTTTAAAATCTCGGATGACTGTGGCACTGCAGGTCAAATAATGATGTACGGGAGACATGGGGTTCTTCAAAACCGTCGCTTTCTCTAGAAGGCTTAACTCCACAGTTTGAAGATTCAGGTTTAGCTCAATAATAGTTCTTCAAGATTCGCAACAATAAAGTCAAATAAGTGATACCACCTAGATAAACTAAAATATTCTGGTCCAAAACCAAGGATCAAAGCTTGTACCTAAACCATCAAAGAAAAATGATGTTTAAGATTCGGAAAAGCAATGAAAAGAACAAACTGTGATCCTATTGATTTAGCGAGAAGTAAAGTATAGAAATGTTATTTGGAGCACCTACCCATCGGGATGCTGAAGCAAACCAACGCACAATTCAACTGCCAAACTAGAAGCTATCATGGAGGCACCGGGACGAGAAACAGTGCATTGTTGATCCAGAGTACGGTCTCGAGTGGACTGGAAAGTTGATAGACAACAAAAAATCTGCTTAATTTTGCCAAGACAGTTACCAAATTGCATGAACGCGCTTACATTCGCAGGACCAACCACGTCGCTACAAAAGTAGCAGCCTAAACAACTTCCATCGATTCCCTTGATTCTATCATCGCCTGAAGGAGCTTGATAAGAGGATGGTGAAATCCCATGGTCGCGGGGTACACCGTGGCGCAATACTAAGTAGCTGTCAAACCCCAGCGCAGCCGTTATTGCTATCTAAGTATGCAAATATTGTAATTCTATTGATAAGATATGAGTAGCAATTTCGCCGAAGAGAAATGCCTTACTTTGTTGTGATAGGTGGAAAGCATGGTGGGAAGCCAACGTGCTTCACGAGTATCCAGTAGAAGGAAGATGACATCATGATTCTGAACGAGTTCATCCAACTTCTGACAGGCCTCACGCACTATGGATACTTGCTTAGATGCATCTGATCCAGCGGAAGCGTTTGATACAGGATGACCAGGCATTGGAACAGTGAGGTTGTATGATCTCACATCCTAGAGGAGAAAAGTGTATTTCTTGACGAGTCAATAAAAGAAACCAGGCGATAATTATGAAAAATCACTCTGTATATAGAAACCTCTGTAGTTAATATAGATGAATGGAACATCATGCGATCATGAAAAACAATGAAGAGGAAAAAAGAATCCACATTCAAGTATTACATAACGTCAAACTTTACTCGAAAAAAGCAAGATACCCCCAGAAAGTAGAATAAGGATATTATAATTGCTCAGCCATTAAATCAAATTTTCTACGTCACAATGAAAGAAGTTCTAAAACCAAACTCACTAATTCGGCTAAAAACAATGAAGTGGAATTCGTTAAAAAGTCCGACAAACCCAAAAGCTTGCCCTAGAGATGACCCCAAATGTCTTCTTGACAGTGGAAAACAGGCCAGCCACTGTGAACAAAAGGAATATCAACAAGTCCAAGAAGGCTTTTGGAAACTTAAACTCACCACAGTGGGAAGAATACGCTTAACAGCCTCGGCAGCAGCAAGAGCCTTTTCAGCCCCAGACTTGGCGTCCTCAAAGGTGAAGAGGGTCTGTCGCACAGGATTCGAATAGGAGACGGTAGAGTTATCTACAAAGGTAATGCTCCGGAATCCCCAAGCCTACAAATACAAATAAATCGAGATAAAATGGTGGCATTTGTACTTACAACCTGAGCGTGTTAGAGCCTGTACATTAGCTAAATGCGCCTGTGATCATTCGTCGATTTCTGTAAACAAATCTGGAGCCAACTTGGGTGCTTCAATGCAACTAATTTCATAGATTGGGAGCTACATCAGAAAAAACCTTCTGTGGGAATGAAGAACACCAATCGAAAGAGTAATTGAACGCCTTAAAGTCCACAGAACTTTTAGTCAGCATGAAGGAGATGCACATATTCTTTACCAGGAAAAGGTGAAAAGAAAAAAGGCACACCAATAATTCCCTCGCGACGTTGCAGCCTAGGGTACCACATCCGAGAATAAGGCATCGAGTCTTATGAAGTGTGTTAAGGTCGATTTTGAGCAGTTCACGCCAGAGCATGAGCTTTAGATTTAGATCAACCGCCGAGTCGGCCAGTCTGTAAAGTAAAAACCTCAAGGTTTACAAACACCAACTACACAGCGATGGCAACGGCAACTGAGACACCTACTTGACCGGGTCCATAGTGGAACTGAGATTGACCAGTCGTGGCTGAAGCTTGCCTTTCCACTTCTCCCAACCCACGAAATTGACACCTAAGGGATGATTTCACGTCAAGCGGCTAAGTAAGAAATTCACATTACTCTTGGAGACAGATTCCGGCTCGATGCTGATTCGTAGAACGAGACTATTGGATATAATCCGCTCCTGGTTGGCGTATCGATCCCGAAAACACACTACCGTTACGATCTTACTCTCGTTTCTGGGGGGAAAGGAACAAAGGTGATGCAGCTGTGAGTTCTTATGTTTACTCGAATGGCCTATTTCCCGCCACTTTTCAGAGGGCAACCACAATAATCTCACATGATCGTTGAGAGAGCAAAGAGGAGATTCCTGAGACCCCATCCTGGAAAGTCCTCATGGCTAGAAGGGTCGCAAAATCCAATGTAATTGGTCTAAAAATAGGATAAACACGCAGTATCTTAAACAAATTTGTATTTAAAAAACTTACCTTGTCTTCAATTTTGAGAAACTCGAGGCTATCAATTTCAATGCCATCGAAAGTGGAGTTAATGCAAAAGAAAGCATCATTGCTCCGCTTACGCCATTCGTCATACTTCACCCGAAGATTGGCCAACTAAACCAAAAATTTACTATTAGTGGTGTTTACGATTAGGTCTACTAACTAGCAGTAAAAAAACTTCAATTCTCTTGGTTCCGTAAAAGAAGCAGCGTTGACAGCAGCATAAAAGGCTACAGGTGCTACAATTAAGAATGTGGATGATTAAGTCGCTAGACCAGAAGTCTACGAAAAATTAGATTAAACAGAGCTGAGATTAGTATAAGGCTCATGATAATACAGAAAGATGAGTTCTTCGTTTATACAAAAGGAAAAACCGGAGTACCTGAACTTTACTAAACTCGGTCATGATTGGGGTTTTGGAAACAAGTTTTGGCTTCTTAGCCTGAACCGCAGCGGGAAATGAAAACCAATAGTAAAATTTGTGGTGCTTCAGATCCTGAAGGAATAAAAAGAAATGAAGTTATAAAAAGCATTAGACTCAGTCCAGGTACATACACAATATGTAAGAAGAGAAAAAGCGAGCAGTTGGTTAGGGTTTCGCAGAAAATCATGTTGTGCGTTGACAGCTTCTTCGCAAATGTGCTTCCGACCCAATTTGTCAATATGCGCCTGTTTGTCCATTTCACGGAATTTGTCGATTGTATTGAGTATAAACAAGTAACCATTTACACGAAACAAATTTCCCCTTCCAGTTGATTTAACACTAAAACCAATGCAAAAATGTCAACGTTGAACGCAATGACCTAACTACAATGGGGATAAAAATCGTGAGCAAGGGTCAAGATCACTTCCATTTGCCTAGCGAATAGCACTGAGTTTTGGCTTAAATTTAAGAGACAACAAATGTAATTTACTCATCCAAACTGGCATGATCAATGCTGATTCGCGGAGCAGTGCCAAGAGGGGTGCCGTTTGTGAGCTCTCCAGACATAGGAAAGGGCCCCTCCAGCAGTCGGTAATCCTCAAGTTTCTTCTTTGAAAGCACATGCCAAAACGCCGTGTCCACAACGCTATCGAACGGCACAAAACAGAGATCTGGCGGCAATGCCACCATTTGGTTAAAAGATATTATTGCGTTAGTTGACTGAGAAATGATTGGAATTTCAATGCTACAGTCTGAATCATGTGAGGAACAAATAATATGCACACCAGAGAAACCGAATCCAGCAATTTAATCCTAAAACAAAAGTAGAGATTAAAAGTAAAAAAATTCAGGACAAGTGTACAAAAACAATTCATTATGATTGGTGATTATGCGAATATATCAAGACAGTTCTACAGTCAATATTGCTACGTTACTTAATTGATGTTTTCTCCTGAGATGCCAAAATATGAAGTCAAATGTGCGATATTTAGTCCCGGATCAAGTAACCTAAAACCCAGGATGGAGAAACCACGGCTGAGGCGTCACACGAGAACCTACCGACCTCGAGTTCAAAAAGCCCCGGATGTGAGGTGACTCATTAAAAAATAATACGAAGTACATTAATTGTATGATCTGCAACGAGATAAAGACTTCCATATGCATTAAATCAAAAATAATATTTGTCCTTGATAACAGTTCAAAAGTATGTGGAAGTATAAGACCTGGGATCAAAGAAATAACGATGGTCAACAGAAGCTTTTTAATAAAGGAACTGCCTGTCTAGCCTCATGCTCTTAAATCACGGACTTTAAGAGAAGGTTAGTTGCAGTAGATTTCTTAAATATTGATTACGGAAAGAACGGGGATAGCGGTACAGGTGAGTCGAGTAGCAGATAACATCCGGAGAGGGATTCCTCACGGTCCTTGCGCACGGGATTCATGTTCCACTTTGGTTCTTGCCTCTCTCCCATAAAGGTCGACTTGAACACTCCAGCATATGTTACACTTTAGGTCATCAGCAGTTTATAGGGCGCCAAATAATTAGAATTTGTAAAAATTGGCACAATGTTATTCGATGTTAGGTAACAAACTGTCTTTAAACGAAAATTTAACGACTGGCATATTCTTGCGGCACAAATTGTAATCATAATCATTTCAAGAGCTCCTTTATAATCGTTGAGCTTACACACACTTAATACATGGCGATGGTTGCGGTGCTCACTGCAATGTCTTGTATGTCTGGACACCTGATGCTTGGCGGTCAATTTTGAATTTTTCTGCCCCTGTATACGTGGACTGGCCTTCGGACCACGCTCAGGCTCCATTTACCCTGTCGTCTTCGGAATACATGTATTCGACCTCACTTGTGCCTTCTTCCACCCTATGGGAAGCCCCGGAGCTCTACGCTCACACCTTCCATAGGCTTCGCGTCGAAAAAATGGAAGTGTATGGGGACGTCATGTCGTGCAGCAATAATAGTGACGATGTAGACATTGTGGACTATGTAGCATCCCGAGACTTCCTATAGGGTGGAAGAAGGCAGTAAGTGAGGCTGGATACATGTGTTCCGAAGAAAACAAGGCAAACAGGCGTGAGCATGGCCCAAAGGCCAGCCCACGAGTTCAAGGGCTAGACAATTTCTAAAGCGACCGCCAAACGTCAGGTAGTCACATAAACAAGGCATTACAGACTAGGCATTTTTGGATCGCATTCTTGCTTAAAGGATGTGCAAACAGATCGCGGTCTGAACCTATTGTGGACGGATGAAAACTGCATAACTCACTTATCTTTAACTTTCCTTCGCGCGAAAAAATTCGATTTTATCCTATTTGAAGAGTGCTTTTGAGCAGACCATATTCTTGAAATGGCTGGTGATTGGTTATGCACGAATTTTTTCTTCGCAAATAAGGTATTCTTAAGTGAGCTAACTCTCGCCAAGCAGAACGCAGGCCACTAAACTGATCTACACAATCAGGCCACGTATTTTTGAGGTCGACCATTGTAAAACCTTGTGTATGTTATGGGATCTCTCATGTATGAGCTGTGACAGCTGGTTTTTGTAAAAAAAATCCAACCCGAACCTCACTTTGTAAAAAATGAGCTTAGATATTGGCCCTTTTGCTTGTTCTCAACGTCTTGCTTGGGTTACACGCAACACTTTTGCAGTGTACAGTTTCAGACAACCTGAGATGGTAAAATAGGCTCATTAGGGCAAATTTTCTCCATTTTGGCGCATTGGTTTCTAGCTTTCCGGACTTTCTACTGGGTAGAAGAAGGCAGTAAGTGGAGCTGAATACATGTGCTCCAAGAACAAAGTAATTACGCCTACGCATGGCCTGAAGGTCAGCTAACCCGTACATGGGCCAGTAGAATTTTAACGTAACCGTCAGGTAGTCACGTAAGCAAGGTATTACACGCTTATTAAATGTTTTCTTCAGCTACTACCATAAATTGGTCAACCATGGCCGTTATGCTAACATTTCTCCAGGAACCCTTAAAGTACAAGCTGATATGTGTGTGATATATGTGAAATGGTGCCTGCAATACTTTGCTTGACTGGAGGTCGCTTTGGTATTTGTCTTGCCCTGGGCTGTTTAAACTTGACTTCAGTTTAAACCTTAGTCCAATCTATCTTAATTTTTTCTATTCTGCCCGATGGAAGGTCTTGGGGCGCAGCAATGGTGGCAGCAAGTATGCACTTGGCTTGGTTACGAATTCTACCCAAGATCCAATGTTTGTGACAAATCTACAAAGTACAAATGAAGTGCATATGCTTCGTTCTAGAAAAATCCGAAATTTTAGACCCCAAAAGAGTGACGTGGCACCTCTACCGTTGCCCTTTTCTATACTTAAGCTATAACAATTAAAGCAACAGCGCCATGAGCCATCTGGCACTATGGTAAATCCTCTACAATAAGGAACCGTGTTCTACTTCGTCAGCCTTTAGGGACACGTTTTATACTGGAGTTCAAAGGTCTAATCATAAATAAAATTGATGGGCTGGAGGAATGTCCACCTCTGATTCCTGTTTTGGGCTCACTATATTCCATTTCAAGTTGAAGCTGCGGAGGGAATCAGGTGCATTCCAGCAGTCCCATGGTGAATAATAAGTAGCGCAGGTAGCTCGTGTGAACTTCCTTGCAATGCTGAATGTGCTTTGATGACTGTGCTAAAGGCGTAGAAAGAGGATTGGAATATTTGTAGCTTGTTTAAGTGGACTTTTATAGGTGAGAGGCGGGGACCAATTGGGAACGTGGATCATGTGCGCGAGGTCGGCAAGGAGCCTCCCTGCGATTGATATCTCCTACCCACCGCATCTGTATCTTACTCCCCATCCTTCCTACAGCGATGCCTAATAAATCATCTACAACCAACTTCCTCTTAAAGTCTGAGAACGAGGGACCAGAGGGTAGACAGGCAGTAACTACTAGGAGAACTGAGGGAGTCGCTCGGGATAAGTGTTATGTCCCGAGGCTTCCCATAGGGTGGAAGAATGCATAAGTGAGGTTGAATACCCGTATTCCGAAGACGACAGGGCAAAAGGGGCCTGAGCGTGGCCCAAAGGTCAGCCCAAGTGTACAGGGCCAAACAAATTCTAAAGTAACCACCAAACGACTTATAGTCACATAAACAAGGCATTACAGTAAGGAAGGCAATAAATTGCAATACTTCGTTTATGTGAAACCTGATGTCTGGCGGCTACTTTGGTATTAGTCTGGCTCCTGTAAATGTAGGCTGGCATTCAGGCCATTTCAAGTCTTAGTTTCCACTTAATAGCTTCATTAACCTACTGGAAAGTTTAAAGATGCTGCACTGACCGCAAGCCACTAAAATCTTGGTTATATATCAGTTTGTTTAAGTGTACTTTTATAGGTGAGAGGCGGGGACCATTTGGGAACGCGAATCGCATGCGTGAAGCCGGCGAGGAGTCTCCCTCGATTTGATATTTACTACTCGCCTCATCTGCATCCCAGTCCCCATCCTTCCTACAAAAAAGGCCTAATAAATCATCTGCAACAAACCCTCTCTTGAAGTCAGAGGTTCAAGGGCTGGGGGGTAGACAGGCGGCTCTTACAGTTCTCACTAGTAGTTTCTGTGAAAATAGCAAAGTGGTCTAAACTTTTGAGCTGCGGAGCAAGTGGCGTACAGCAACAATCTCTTTCAAGGTAGTCCTTATTTTGTTTTGATGTTTGATTACCTGTAAAATTTGCACTCCCTGAGCACTACCCATCTGTTTAGATTATTGTTGTTTTGGAGAATTTTGCATTATCATACAGCTTACTATAATGATCATTCTCAAAGCAAGCCTATCATACTGCTTTTATATAACGAATCGCAAGATTGTATTGTAATGCAAATTATTTGTTTATCTTAATTTCAGTTTAATTAAGTTTTGATTGTTTTAATGAACTGCTGTTGGTCTGCTTATACAGAGCTCCATTTCGATCGTTGGTGTCCCCTTGATGAGGGCTAATGTTTAGCTTTAAGATTTGGCCTTTGGTGCTCGCTATTTATTCTTTTATTATTGGTAGAGACCATGTCTTTCTTGCAGCTACATATGTGCCCAGCGATGTGAGTCGGAGTTCGGAACTTGTTGTTGGTGGATGTGTTGGTATGCTCCTGTATTCATTTCCGAATATTTATAAGGTTGTCTGATTTCCGATGTTTGTCTGCCATCCGAAACCTGTCAGGATGGTTAGTTTTGGTTGATCAATAATTGTTACATATAGACGCTTTATTTGGAAGGTGTGTTGAGAGGAATTTCGACGGAAGTATATACAAGCTCAGCTACGCAGAACGAAGTCTGCTTAATAACGTCGGCACAGACTTCCTCCGTATCGGCTTAGATTTTTCAGATCTTTATGTTCAATGTGTGCTTCGTGGCTTAATTCTGAAGTTCAGGTACGATGTGATCGAAACGTGACTCGCTTTACTAATCTTTACACGTACTTGTACCTGGGAACTTGCATATCTTTAGTGATTTTTGTTTCATAAAGCAGTTTACTTAGTCAAGTGCTTGTTGTTCTGATTGATTTTTTTGCATAAAGACTTCAGGATGAAAATATGGACATTGTGAAGCTTTGCGGGGAAGTGCCCATTGAAGTTATCAGGAATCATAAAGGTTACAGTGCTAAAGGACTTGAGCAGTTAACCCCATCACGTGCAGCAGATTCGACATCTGCGAAAAGGTTTTTTCGAGGGCTCGATACTTTCGACTTTGACATGATTCCTGGAGAAGGATCTGGAGATGAGGACTTAGAATTCCGGCGGTATGAGCTTCGTGTCTTCCCAGAAAGATCGATGGGAGCGTGGACTTTTGGAGGGGATCTTTCTTCGCTGGCAAAGTACCTTCGTGGTTTCACTCGCGAAGAAAATAGTGGTATGCGAGCCACTTACACATATTTGCAGTGGCTGATTTTAGTTATAATTCAAATGTTCATTGCTCAAATAGTGGATGGTTGACCTATTTGCAAGCTCGAAGGAATTCTCTCATTTGGTGTTATTTATTTCTGTGGTTATTTTCACAGTATAGGTCTTTGCAATAGTTGAATTTATTAGGTCCACCGAACTCATATCTTGTTATTTAAGCAGTCTCAACTCTTTTGTGTGGGAGGCATTGAGTCTAACGAAGGACAAGGGGCTTTTGGTTCCAAATAAGATGGAATAGTTTAATTTGGTGTGTTTTAGCCAGGTGAAATTGACTCCGCCTGAGTAGCTAGCGGATTTGCGGCTTTGAGCTAGCAAACTCTCTTTGCATTTACTCAACTTAGTGAATGCGTATTCAGGTTGATTTTTAAGCTTTTGAAAACTGTCCACGCTGATACACTTCTTAAACAAGCGAGGCGCCTGTTCTGCTCGGAGATTTCAAAGATCCGGCTATCCCTTGAGTTTTTGCTAGAGAGGTCCTAACTGACCTGCTATTTTCTCCTCTTTTTTAAGAACGCCATAGGTCACGCATTTTTTCAATCATGTATTTGAATGTGATTGATGAGATGATGAGGCTAACCAATGAAATAAGTAGCTATTTTTGCGCTCATGCATCTCAGCCAATCCTTCCCTTCATGGTGTGATCTACTCTTCCTCATCTAACGTTGCACTACATGCTTCTCTGAAGACTTTCCTCAAGCGTATTTACATTCCACATCGGTGTGACTATAATGGCTCTCTGGTGGTAGTAGAAGAGGTTTTTTATTCGACCAGACAACTGAAGTAAAAGAGGATGCTAAATTACTGAGTCGTTCACTTTTATTCCATGTTCTAAGGATTAGTTTCGCTTGCGTTTTCGCGTAACTGGATGCTTTCAAGGAGTAGGGTGGCAATGCATGATAGTGTGATATTCTTCGCTTTCTACGAATAATGTGGCGGTGCGGAAAGCTCACCATTTGGTACTCCTAATGACTTTTACATGTTTGCGAGTCTGTATGCAATTATATCGACGAAAAAAGATTTGTAAGGCACATTAGACATCTACATCTGCATTCTTTACAAGTTTTGTTGGAAATGCTCATGACACATCCCTTCTTCCATAAGAAAACAAGCTGCTTGGGAATGCAAAAGTTGCAGTGAAACGATTCAATCGCGACAAAGTTGTGAAATTCGGCACAGCTGAATTCGACCGTCGCACAAAAAACACAATATGGTTACGTCTGTCCAAACCGTGAGTTACAGTTTCCTTAGAACCGATGTCCCTCATCCGCAAATCATCGAATCATTGTTACCTCATTTTAGTATGATAGACTTCAGCAAACAGCTGTCGAAGACAATGCTAAAGTCTCCCTACTCGAAGGTTGTAAAGGGATTTGCACGACTGAACTAGTGTCAAAGTTTTGCAAATCCCTCGAGCTAGGTCAAATAGAACACGTTTTCAAGTCGCTATGTAGAAGAAATTTTTCTGTCACCGCAAATTGGTTGGGGCTTAGATTTGATGTTTTAAAATTAAATAAGGCAGGTTTATTATAAACTGCAAACAAATTGACCTCATTGTCATTGCCATTTTGGGGAAATTTTCTTTGCTCCGCTTTAACAGGGTGAATTATATTGAGGCAGACGACATTCTTCAAGAGCTTTCTGAAAACATGGATATCCGTCCTCCAATTGCGCAATTTCAGTAAGTTAAGTGGCCTTTTTCGCTAAAACTATTCCAAACCATTTTATAACCAAAAATTAGGCAAACCCAACGACCAGATAAAATGTTTTATCTGATGACCCTTCAATGGTTTCTTGGTTTTTTCACACCGTGAAATCCTTGTCGTCACGATACTTTTCCAATATTTGGGAATGGGCATAAATAATATAGCAGTCTTTCTGAGTTTTCTAAGCCAGTTTTGATTTGTTCTACATTAAAACTGTTGGACCATTTATTTGTAACGCCCCTAATATCAACAGGCGAATGCGCTCCCTTGAGGCATCCAAAATTGGACAGCATGTTGCCGGTCGTTCATATCATTTAGTCATAAAACTGAATAGTTGTGCCTAATTATAGATAGTCGGCAAAAATATGTGGACAATGGTTGTGGTGTTTACGGTGGTAGGAAGTTCAACATCAAGCACAATTTCTCGCTTTATGCCACTGCTTATAATGTCTCTATGCCATCACTTGATAGCCTCCTTTATGGTGCATCCTCACCTTTTTTCCCGCGCATTCTGGGGAATACACAAGATTGAATTTTCTTTACTTTTATCGACGCGTTTTGTCGCTTGTTACCTTACTATTGCTCCATTTGGTGCATCACAAATGCACAAGGACTTAATGGCACTCAATGCATTTATTTTAGCGCATATTATATTACCAATCAATGAAAACGCCAGGTTTCCTCTGATCCTGACGTCACAAAGGGACATGTGTTTTTTCGGTCTATCGATGAAACTTGGTGGCATCCGCTCGTGTAGTGAACTGTTCGGTTGAGGATAATTACATTTCTATTTATTTCTCGACCAACAGTTGAAGTCAGAGGTGATAGACCTTCCTTTAACATCTCTGCAAAGAATGTTTGCGATATGGACTTAAGGCTCATAACAATCCATAAATTACGGCTTAGATTTTTCAATTAAAGACTTTAATGAAAAGAAATCCTACTTTCATTTCAGGCAGCTCGGGCAATTGCTTCCTATTTCCAGTATTTCGCTCGATAAGTAGTGGCTACTAAGATGGCGGTAAAGATTGAGAATGCATGTTTTGGTTCACCAGATGCCGTAGGAAACGATGCTGCGGCGGGGGGAAGTTTTAAACCAGGAGTCTTAACAACCTAAATCAATTTTATTTAGCTGCACTGTTGTAGAATGAAATTTGGTGATTCTGGACACACCAAGGTTCTCATTATAATGCTGTAAAGCAGTGATTTATCGCCACTACTCCCATTACCTTGGTTTCAATGATGTTTGTGTTACCTGGCTATCCTAATTTTAGACTCGATAAGACCGGCCGTATACTCCTTTTCTTTGTGCCCTTCGAGACAGGACTGGTGGCGAATGATGTACTAAATATGATTCGTGAGCAAACTTTTCATTAGTTTATGCCTGTACCACGTGTATTTTCTGCTATTCGGAATTCTTTGTTTTGATTTTTAGGCCAAAATCCACAATGGATGAAGCAGAATAAAGTGTCTCAGTACGGAATCGGAATGCCTGTAAGCCCCTTATCAAATTCCATTGTTATAATGGATGAGTTGAGCTTCATTCTTATTTCACTTAGGGGCCAGTTTAAAATGGAGTTAGTGGAGTTTTTTTTTCAGAAAAGAGGCAAATTTGGGGACATTGGTGATGGTATCCATTGCATACTACTTTTCATACCATTCCCAATATCCATGTTGTGAGCAACTACTGAACAAAAGCGTTCTGTTTTGATGAACTAGATAAGCAATGGTTGAGAAAATTCCCGCATTTTGCGCATGAGAAGAGCTTTAACACACTCCTTTCTATTTTTGAAATAGTGATACACGAGGGGGTTAATAAAACACCTCTGAATGGTCTAGTTGGTTCATCATGATTATCCTTATCACTGTCATCGGCACTGATGGTAACATGTTAAAATAGGTTTTAGTTATATTTTACAACGTTAAGTCTGTGTCTATAATATACCTGGTGCACTAGTGCATCCCAGTTGCACTTGGCTTTTAAAAGGCCACGTCAGAGTTATACATTTTGTCAAAATTTATCACCTAACCAGCACACTTTTCAACAGAATTCTTGTCAAAAGTAATTTGCACAGAGAAGCTAGCAATGGAAATTACTAAAGGATACTAGATCACTTCGGAAGTTGGAGCAAGTTTAAGGGATTAATCCGTTGAAGCTAAAAGAGGGTGAGGTTCCAGGCACTGAGTGTTAAATATTTACGTGAAGACCTTAAAGGTTTCCAAGCGAATTCACAGAAAAGATAAAGCGGAAGTAGGTGTGAATGAGGATCAGAATTTCTTTCAGGTTCTGACGGAACCGATAGCGGCTCCACAAACGGTGGGGAAAATTGAGCACCTCTCCGAGATGGGCGATTATGCCGTAGGCGGTGCAGGCCGACGGCAGGGTAACAGGAGCACGGGTACTGGAGGGAGGCTCTCACGAGTCGGTTTTGTTGTTGTTGTGGTGGTGTGCTCCTTAGCGGTGCTAGTGGCGCTGCTGCTGGTTGCACACATCCTTGTGCGCCGGCGCGATCGTCTCAACGACTATTTGGCAGGTCCTGTGGGAAAGGACCCCCGCAAGTCCTCTGAGAGGCCTCTTGTTCCGTTTGGCTCTCCCTCTGCTTCCCCTTCTGCCTCTGTTGCCACTGTCGCCGCAAGTGGTAGTCGAAATGACTCCGTGGAAAAGCAGCACCAAGAATCCCTTTCATCCTGCTCCACAACTTCTCCACCCTATCAGGAGACCCCTCAACAGGGCGAAAAACAGGTGTCTCATTGCTAATTAATGACCTTTCTTTGCGTTGTTTCAAATCATATGTGTGCAAATATGACACTTTTGGGAAACATTGTTCAAAAGCACCATCAGTATGTTATGTAAGTGGAGCCTATAATTTTCCTTAGATTTTGTAGTGATGATGAGTGTCGGTGTTTCTACATTTGCCTATTATTAGTCGCTGTTCTAATGTTTTTGTTTGGATGAAGGTTGAATGCATCGCTTTCCATTCTTATGGATAAATGTTTTCATTGACCTATTTAATTTAAAAAATGGCAATGTACAAGGCGTAATTCTTATAAATTAAGAATAAGGTTTAATTCCCGTCGATATTCATATTCTTTGTAAAGTTTGAATGCCTTACATTTAGGAAAGTTTGTTTTGGGAATGGGCTTAGCGCATTTTATGCCTGGTTTAGCTAAATACACCTGATTTTCATAGGGTTTAATGTTTGCTGCTAGTTTTTGTTGTTCCAAGCTTTCTTCGACGGAGCAATTACTGGACCATAATGGTTTGGCAAAAAATTTGCAGGATACTTTATTTTACTAGCGAATCCGCTTCAAAATCATCTAGCGCATCGTTCCCTTCTCTCTCATGCAAAACAACCCACCACCGGGAAATTGTTACTGCCCCAAAACTCAGATTCTTAGTCAACATATAGGAAACAAAAACACCAACGACTTTATTGGATGTGCTGAATAATAACATTCCTTGCTCTTCATTGTTCGCCAGATGTACCTTTTTATAAGGGCGGGAAAGGTTTATTTAAATCCTTGCGCCCCCTTTTTGCACCGATATTAATTACTCAAAACTTTTCGGGCGGATCAGGGTGGTAAGCGTGGTCATGAGGACACTTTAGTTGTTCATTGTCGACTGCTTCCCGTATTTCAGACTTAAGCTGAGTGAACGTTTTATTGACCACTGGAAACTCAACGCTCGCTTATGGTTTTTTTTACTTCTGATTGCCTAGCTAAAATGCAAATATTTTCATGAGTTTAAATCATGAATACTAATAATTGGTAGAGCACTTTCTCATTCCAGGTGAATAGTTTCACATGTCAATCCACCTTAATATTTTCAAAGTTCTAACTTTGTCTGCATTTGCTAACGTTGCTAGTCAAAGTTCTCCAATCCTTTTCACGCTTATTTAAGCAAAAAGGTAAGCCTATTTTTCTATCCTGATATCGGCGACCTTCTAGTTGGATTTTGTTCCTTTTTACTGATTTGCGTCTTTATGAAGACAGGAAATTATACCACTTGAGCAATATACGTATTATCGTCAAGTAAAGGAATTGGCATTTCCCAGAGGTTGTGTCGTCTAGCTGAATTTTAATAATATTTACTCCTCAATTGCTGCGTATCTAGGTCTTCTTGCCTTTCAAGTGTCTCCCCGGCACTCTTTGATCAGCCTCTCATCTTGGTCGTCAGAACCCAGTCGGTGCAGTAAAACAGCTTCGAGCTTACCACGCCAGTCCTCGAATCCACTTGCAGTTGGCCAGCTACTACATCTAGAAGATGTTGGCTCTTTTGGTGAATCTACTGAATATGGAGTTTTGTCACTTTTGCAACTTTTTAGGAGTAGAGTGACGAGCAGGCCAAGGCATATATTCATCGTTACTCATAGGAACACAGGCTGAGTCATCTAATGAGAAATGCTTCAAATATTATCTTAAGGGGGTATTTCGTGTCTGCTCCTCTTTGTTAACCTGTTTTCACTTCACTGCTGTCCAGTCTTCTCTATTTATAAGGTTTCTTTCCAGCTTGCGGCGCTCTTCTGCCGCTATAGATATCGGGTAATTGGTTGCTAGGATCGTATTCGCTTCTCTAAGGTCCAAAATATACATTGTCAAAGTGCAAAGGGATGGAGGCTACTGTTTCACCTACTACCAATGTCCTTTAAAATTGTTTTATTTGATGTGTGTCTTTTGCGAACTTTCTGTAAAAGATATGGTTGCTCAAAGCTTCGAATATTTCTATCCAAAAGTTGTGCAACTACTGAGACAAACAGTTATTTAGTGGCTTCTGCCAACCCGTCTCCTATCAACGGATCATTTAAACTTTTACCTAGATGATCAGATTTAGAGTTGAGGCTGCTAAAATGAAACATTGGTGGAGCGCAAAGGGATCAGCGAATTTGTAATGAACATTTTGTATGTGCATTTGTCTACAGCATGGCGCCATCGTTTTAGTTTTTGTCAGTGTCCTTCTTCCTCTACCTAAATGTTAAATTTCATGCTCTGACAGCATTTCTTGCAAAGACGATGGGATGAAAGTAGAGAGGCATGCTTCAGATGGGTAACGGAGATGAAAGCCTTTTGGATTTTAAAGGGTTTTCGATCCCGCGCAATGAGGTAGTAATCCGCCTTCGGTGTCGTGGCTTTCTTAATCCAGCTGTTTGTTATCAAGTTTTTTTATTGGAAGGAGGAGGAGGAGGAGGAGGAGAGGGGTTGGGAAGGGGAGTGAAGGTAAAACATCTTTTAAGTCACTGATGCATATCAATATAAATCTTGTCCAATTGCCACAGTGGTCTGGTGAACGCAAAGCACTAAGCCAACTATCTATGTGCATGTGTAAAATTGTTTTCGTTTACTTAAATTCGGAAAAAATAATTGTCGCCTTATTGTGATTGCCGAAGCACCGCTATTGACCGTCTAGTACTTGTGTCCTTTAACTTAGAGCTAAAATATCAAGATGGTTAAGACTGAAATGCTTTCTTACAAGCAGTCCCCATGGCGTTTTATGTAGCGTTTTGAAATGGAGTAAGAAGCTATTTTTGAAATCCACTCTGCATGTCTTTTTCAGCTGCTGTAGAATCGCATTGTGTGCACATTTTGTACACCACATTGCACAATGCTGCATTCGGTCCTCTGGTTTGGAGGGTGCCGCTTAGTATGTCACTTTGTTTCACCAAATGTGGTTACTTCTGAGTCTGCAGCTCTCCAGGCAAACCAATCAACCGGCTGATCGCATTGACAACTTAGACGAGCTTACCCTGTAGTTGACTTACTGTTAGCAGAGGGGCGTTATTTTCAAGTTTTGAGCAAAAGGACGTTCTTTTTCCTCTTTTAATTTCGTTAACTCTTACGCGGTCTTGGTGTCTCACTTTTTTTATGCGAAACTTTGTGCTCATGCCAGACAATGACGTTACACGAGCAGTGTGCAACTGCAGCTTAAACGCTTGTCCTTGAGGCGAACCTAGGTTGTTCAATTTAGCCGTCAGGACGCACTCCCTTCACGTCTTCCTACTTTCCAGCCATATTTTGCACTCAAGTGAGGTGTCTTCTGTTTCCCGTTGATAGTGAACTAAGGCAATTTTTTGCTTCGACTGAAGCTTTGCATATTTACAATGTACACAAAGCTATACTCATGCTCATTTGATGCTTCGGGGCTTGATGGATATTACAATATTTATCTCATGGTGGAAGAATTTAAGGCTGCGCTTTTGGCTGTCATCGATTTGTCCGACGTCAATTAGTCGCCACTGATCGTCATTAATTTTTTAAAAGCTGTTTGCTGCATAACTGTTTGGAGGGGTGATTATTCCAAGGGTGGGAACATCTTTCCTCTATTTTACATTCAATTTTATTCACATGCTGTTTGTTATGAGCGAATGGGGTAGGAACCTACCTCGTGGGCTTAGGTGAGAAAAAGATGGTTCTCCTTGTCTATGGGGCTAGGTATGCAATGTTTGGCTTATGGGCGTGATGTTAAGCGTGAAGATTTGGCGGTATACTACGTTTACGGTGTGTTCATATAGGGTATGTTTCGGCGCCAAATTGTAAGCACAGGAGGCTCTGAAGCCTCCACCGAATCAATGGCCAGTGTCCCCAGTCATCGCACCACCCTACTGAGTAACAACTGGTAAATTGCATGTTCTTGTCTATTCCACGTCGTCCGTCTTGTCCCATTCGTTGTCTCGGTCTTTTCCGACTTATTTAACGACTTGCAATAGTTTTTTTGCAGAAATCCGCATATCCATAATAGTTTCGTTGAAGTAACATCAAAGTTCGAGTCTTGAATTTGTAAATCATGTGTGAAATGTCTGATTTTCATGCGAACGTGTTCTCTGTTCATGATTCTGTTGTTGTTAGACAGTTTTATCACAACCTTTGATCGCAGCGAGTTTTGGTTCATTATATTTACTTTCCGTGCATAATTGAAGAGCCGGTATCATTTTCGGAATGGAGTTTATTTCGATAAAGAATGCACAGTTTTTGATGTGTTGAAAGTCTGGCTTGTGAATGTATAAACAGGTACACAATGCATCGGGTCTTTGCAAGCATCGAGTCACCTTTGAGGTGAATGGTAATGTGGTAGCATTTACTTCAGTAGGCGCACCAAGATTTGTTCAAGCATAACCGATTCGTCAAAATGTACGATTTCATCATTAACAGGTAAGGATTAGTTGCGATTTGGTATCCATTATGAGCTTTTTATTTTACGATAAGTTTTTAAACATTTAGGTTACTGTTGCCATTGGGCGTTTTCGTTGTAGTGCTACAGTATCCATTAGTACTCTGACCCCCCCAAATGGTGTTGTATTTTAAAATGAATCTAGATAGTGCTGAATAAACTTTAGCTTTCTAGTGGACAAGATCTAAATGGATCTTGATTATGGTTGCCTTTATTTTTCTGGGAGTTATAGTCTGCTCCAGATTGTAGACGATTGATGTTTCCTGGGGCTAAATTGTAAACAATTCGATGCCTTTACTTATAATGTTAAGCCTTTTTTCGTCTACTTAGTGGTTTGGACATTCAACCAGAAATGCAGCAAACAAAGTCGGAGAGAGGTTCGCAGCAATGATAATGCATCTAGCATGCAGAAAAGCCAAAGTGGATTGTGGGCACCGTCGAAATTCTTCTCCATCTTAGATTCACTGCATAAAATTGAGGTGTCCCACATCTTCACCGAAGTAACTAGAATAAAGTTTACGATCCACAACGCTGTCAACCTAGAAGTGTACCTTGAATTCCTGGTGGTGATCCACATTCTTCTTCATTCCAAGCTCTTGTTGCTGTCCCCTCAAAAGTGGACTGGTAGCTTTAGCTACTTCAAAGGCACTGTACTGAGGCTTTAGCAACTTTACTCAATACGAATATCATATTTTAGTGTTCTAATATATGCGGCTTCCTCTTTCACGGATATCCCCTAGTATTCTTTTAAGGTAGATTTGGGATTAAGCGTTAGTTGTGTTTTCGCTTTCCAAGCCTCCTCTGGATTGCTGACAAAATACATCGCTTTACAGGAGTTGCTCGTGTTGCACAAAAATCGCGAAGATAAAGATATTATTGCAAGCTGCAGATGCTAGAGGGACCGCGTAATCGCTTGTTTAGCATTGTTAATGGCTTTTTAATTTTAGTAGTAATTGATGTCGACTGGTTTTCACGCATTGATGTGGTCCTTTTTTCTCCTCCCACATCTTTCGTCCCCTCCTTATCCATGTTCACATCGCAGATCGCATGTTTATTCTGCTATTTCATCACTGCTTTAACTTTCTTGTTTAGGAATTGAGACGTATGCGTCATTGCGATTGGGTAATTAGTCTAACTGGAGGCATGTCACCGGCACACTCGTTGCACACCCGCATTTTCGTTGCCATTGGCTAGCCATCCGTTGCCTTAGGCTTACATGAATCGGATGTTAGCGTGGATATGATTGCAAATAAAGGGTATAGAGCAACACTTTGGCACAATAGAGGGTGCTTTGCAGAGTAACAAACGTGGAACTATGCTGTCCTCCCGACGATTAGGCTCAATGAATTCACTCGTCGCGAACGACATGTCTGGTCGTCTCTCTGTTCCACTACACCATACAACCCGGGATATTGTGGTGTTTCGCCGCTATCGAAACAATTGTGAGCCTGGAAGCGCAAGAAGGCCTTCGGGGACAAGCATTTTGTTTAATACGTTCCCATCTTATGCCCCTCCACGCCCCCTGTTGGGACCGGTACATGGATACACCTATAGTGACGTTTTTATGGTTAAGATGTAAGATATCTACTTTCTTTCATTTTAAAATGTATCACTATCCTTACTCTCACCTTGTGACTTGATCATGCCTCCAAAGTTTATGTAGCGTCATTCTAAGCCGTTTGCAACTCGTTACTAGCGCCTTTCTTTGCACGCACTGATCTGCCTTTGTGCAAGCGATGGTGACGAAGTCATTTGAAGCAGCAGGCTTCTTTACCTTTGGCACGCCATGTTTTGTTACCAGAAGCATACTTTAGGCCAAACTTTGAACGCCTCCATTATACATTTGATGAGTTGCACTGATTGTTGCTAGTCGCTGAGTTGCGGCGCTTTAAGATCAAAATCACGGAAAGCATACCCAAATATCATTGATGAAAAAGCACTGAAAAGTTGTTTGCATGGACGTTATGGGTGTAAGCGATGCCACAAAAATTTCCTTTATTTGTCGCGCGCTTAACATTTTACGAAACTGAATATGTGCCATTTATTAAAGTTATGAATTGTTTGATTGGTTAGCTTGCTATTTTCCCTCTTAATTGTCACTGACCGTCCAAATAAGCAATCTGAGTTCCTTATGCGTCCAAGCGGTTCTTCAGTGATAAGTGCTTTTGCTTCTATACTGTTTTAGCATATATTTCACTACGACTGCAGCGGATTTTGTCGCCGGTCTAAAAGTCAAGAAAGTTATCATCCTTAAGTTATTTAGACTTTATCCGTTTTCTATCACCACAAATTCAACTCATTTGCCCGTCGCATAATTTGGAGCAACCAATTACTGTAAGCGATAGAGGAACACACTCCATGTTTATGACGTCGGATTAAAGTAGGACAATGCGGACGTCAAATGTGACCGGCATTGCCAATAATACTGTTAACACTTCTTAGCGTCTGGACCTAATATTCTACATTGGTTCTGCTACTGTAGTTATGACTTTGCTTTTACAGCATTTTCTCAAAATATGGTGAAAGTCAACAAAATACAGGGGGCTTTTAGCCATCGGTTCTTAGGTTGGTGTGTGGGATGAGGCAAAATGGATTTTCATCTGATGAAGCGTCTTTATTAATATTCACCTGTTTATGTGTTGTGAAGTAGGTGCTTTTTAAGCGTTACCGTTGAATGTTTTAGACGCATGACCTCTGTTCTCCTTCTCCCCATTGTTCGTTGCTGTGGAAGGTCTATTTGGAATATCACACTCCTAATTAAATCAAAATGTTGCGCTTTTGTGAGTTCATACTTAAAATGCGAGGTTTTATTTTTCTAGGGGCAATGAACCAGTTCCAATGACCCTTGATGTCAAAACAGGACACCTAATTTTGGTAAGTCTTTTCGGGCACCTTTGAGAAGCTGCATCTGTACCAACCCAAGGCACACAAGGCAACCATTCTATTAGCACTAACAAGACCTAATGCATTCATAACTGTCAGTCCAAGAGGTAAGGACAACAACTACTTCAGACGAAATCTACCTCTCTAAAAGGCACCCTGTATTTGTGGCTCATGTCTTCTTCCAACACTTGCGTTGAATCGAGATTGTGCACTATTACGGTTCACCTTGGCTCCAGTAGTACAGTTCCTGTAGCTAAACTGTCCATTGGATTCTTCATCATGAATCCATTTCAATTTCATCCAACATCCTCTCTGCGTAGCATGATAATTTTAGCTAACCTGTGGGTCAGTGGCGGTGGTTGTATCCTTATGCTCTGCGCAAAATGATCGAAGGATGATATAATACAGGAGGAATCCTTATCGTACTGTTGCAAAGCCTTCTTGTTGTAGTCCTACATGGAGGAGCATTTGCGAAATCGTGATCGTTTAGACGCCGACTGGGAAGAGGTAAGCACCTACGAAAGTGAGGAAGCTGTACCTTGTGAATCCGCCAAAAGACCGGAAAACGCTCACAAAAATCGTGAGGGATGTCCCATTCCTTGTGAGTTTTTACGCCTCTCTGAGCGAAATTGTTCAGTCGTAACGACAATCGCATTTCCAAATTAAAGGGACAAATTTGCCACCAGTCTGTGGGTGATTGGGGCTCAAGAATTCCAATAATACGCATCACTTAAAGTGTATTTGTACGAATTGCCCACGACACCTGTAAAGTGATTGATTGTAGGTTTCATGATATTGTGACGATCTTATTCTAAAAGCTTTAATTCCAGTAGCTTATCATTATTATTAAAGTGCATTCGAACGTTCGTTGCTCCACTATAAAACTTTTCTTAAGCCATCGGTATGATTTTCGATTTAGCACTAGCTCCATCACTTTTTTGTTGCAGACTATGGCAACCTGATACAAGATTTTCGGTGTCGTTTTAATAATACTTAACTGTTCCATTCTATAAGTGCGAATTTTAAGTTTATCTATTCATTGAGGGAACTTTGATGGCGCCTCTCGAGCTTGCATATCTTGTTTAATGAGAAAAAACAGTTACTTATCGCAAATCTTCCAGTAGGTTTAAGTCTTCTAGTCTATTTCACTCAGTGCATTTTCCATTTCGGCTTGTTAATCCCTCGGTGCTGATGGAAACGGCCTCTATATTACCGGGATCTAACTTCTGGTAGATACCTTCGGCTTAATAGATACAAAGCAAATGCAATTCGTTTAATTATCTCCCAAGTTTCCAATCTCTTGACATCTGACATTCATTTGCTCAGCATCAATTAGTGATCGAAGCGCCTAGACTACTCCTTTTACAGGAGTACTCGTCCCTATTTTGATGGCTTTCGCCGAGCTAAGGATGTGTTTGATTCTTATTTTAAGTTGACATGGAAACGTACCTATTAGCTCTGCGTAGTTGCTGCAAATTGTTCAGACAGAATGGTAATGGATGGAGGTAATCATGGGGGCGAACGCTGGTACTCAACCAACGTTGCCAGTTTATACGCGCCATCATGCGGACTTTATGCCTTAACTGATACAAAGGGACTCATCAAAAAAACCAAAACGGTTTACCCATTCTGAAAAAGTGATAAAAATCACTTAATGTTTTTTTTTATGAAAACCAAAAGCAGTCGTAAAACCCATCATCTCGCGCTTTTTAGATGCTTCGCATTGAATGTGGGATGATTGAAACATTATAAGGCCGTCTTATCAGATATCTCAAGCTTATGCCTTAACCTGTTCATTTTATTTGTGGTCCAGCTTATAGTAAAATGTCCCCTTCCCATCCCATAACTGATGCGCAAAAAAATTGATGACAGATATGGTTTGAAATTAGAAAGTCAGGGATGCCGTTATTTTTATCTAAAAATATCTCTCAAACCCGTTTTCAAGTGTCTGTCTCCTTAACGCGGCAAGCTGGATATTCAGGGGCGATTGACTGCCATGTGGACGCTTGCCCCGTTCGTCTGTGGTCACTAGTAGGGCGTGATTTCGTAGTTTCGAAGTCTTTACATTTTTCATGGCAGGATCCTGTGCATTAAGTAACCTCGCCCTGGGCGGTTTGGCTTTGAGTCTTGGGAGGACCACCTATCCTGCATTTTATAAGCAGCGCTTAATTTTAGATTGGGCAAATGTTTCCTTGCTGTTACCAGTCTTGCTCAACTGGAGGTGAAAACAAACGCCTTTAAACTATTTAAACAAATAAAATCATTAAGAACATAAGGCGGTACTGTTCTGAATCCCGGCACTTCGAATGATGTCTTTGTGGTCTAGATTTCTGTTAGCATAAGAATGAACATTTGTTCCTACTAAAACCGTTCCCCACACGTAACTTTCCTTGTTTTCTCGGTGTCCTTTTGTGCAAAAGCTTCTATTAAAAGAACTTTCCGTTATACACCATGCCTTTTGAAACTGACGAAACAAATAGGCTATTTTTGGAAGTATATCTGCGGTGAGTGGGGTTTTTTGTGGAAAAGGGGGTAAATAATATGCAGCAAAAGTTGATTGGATGATGTCGCTCTGTATGACTTGTACACTTTCTCCTCTAGATGAACAAACGCGGGTGATGCTCTCGTACCGTGGAAACGGTTACATCAATGCCAGTTTTATGGTAGGACATTAATTGTCACCTATTTTGTTGATTTTTTTGAATACTGGATACTTTGATTTACCATTGCGCTACGGAAAACCCTCTGGTGTTTCAGCATTGCACTGATCTTTTGGTTCTTCAAGTGGTATTGACTCTCCAGCGTAAAGTGAACTTATTTACGGGACAAAACTAAGCTGATTAATCAATTCAACTCAATTTTCTCTTATAAATTTACTCCATTCGCAAGTAAAAGCAGGCATTTCCCTGTTTCCATCCAGCAGTTGGTTGCAAATCTAGTTGGTAGTCGCTTGCATTCAGAAAGCTAGGCGCCAGAATAACTGTTGAATCGGTGAGGTTTTTTGGGCTTTACCCGTTACCATTTTTATTCTGATATCTGGGCTTCTATGCAAATAAAGATTTCAGGTTTACACTTTACACTTTCACGCAGCAGCATTAATAACCGATACACTTTTTATAGCATTATGGGGCCTTTGGTACCCACCATCGGTAGGTATCTAACTCCTCTGTCTTTGAGCCTTGATGATCTGCCTTGCGGTTTTGAAATTCCATCGGAAAAATAAATGAAAAAGTGATTTAGAAAGCATCCAGGTTATAATCATTCAAACTACTGCTTTGAGTTGCTTTTTGCTTCTCGAACTCTCTCTTACGATATAGCAATGCCTATCAATGGGAAGGTGTCATCAACGTGGCGAAGGGGTAAAAGACTACAGACGATTGCATGATATCTGAAGTGTGTTTGATTCCACGGGAATTAAAAACACCCCAGTGTAACATGTAACCTTGTCATAAGTATCAATAAAATTTTCGAGCGAATTAAATAAGTAGAGTACACTGGCATCCTTTGAACTCATTTTTCAACCCATAATTGCGTAAATTCACCTTATTATTGATGGAATGCATAGCTTTCTTTTTGATTAACTCTTAGGGCGAAAAATGCCGAGAGGCGCTATAGATTATTCTACCAAGTTAATTGATGTTTGCATTGCAACTAACAGTTTCTCTGATTGTCGTGCTTTTAGTACGATCATGATCCGCGAAATCCTTCGTACATCGCGGCAGAAACACCGTTGCTAAACACGGTGAACGACTTTTGGCAAATGGTGTGGGAACAGTTCGTTGTTGTTATCGTCTGCCTCGAGCCTGAGTATGCACTCACCCAGTTATTTGAGGATATCCTCGATATCACTGGGCAGAATGATGACGTCATCTCCCAGGCTCGCTATTGGTCTTCGGAGGGTTCTATGATCTTAAGCAAATTTGAAGTGCGTCCCGTCTGCCTCTGTTCCTTTTATCTGCAAAGTTTTCGGGTTTAGAGGCCCTAGTTCTCTGTTACTTTCAAGATAACATTCTTTGTGAAGCATTTCATCCTTCGGAAATCAACTTCACATGAATTGGCCTTTTTGGTGTAATGGTTTGAGACATGTGGACTCACGCCTAACATCATCAACATTGATTTGGCATGAATTTTTCCAACAATCTCTCCGACTTATCTGTCAGTATACCTTCATCTTAACGCGGAAGTTAGGTTATTCAAAATTTTAGTTTTTTTCTAGTGCTTTGTAATTTTATTTTTTGACATGTTGAAGGATTCTGTTTGTTTGTGCCTTCGATCAAGTTTTATAACAGTTACCTTAGGAGTCAGAATGGTTCAAAATTTATCAGCTAATTTTAGGATTTAGAACGTCATTTTGGTTGAAAATCTACTTGACAGAGCTCGCTGTTGTTGCTGTTCAGCGGTGTTTGAAAGCCATTCTCTTGAATGAATGCAAAGTTCTGGACCCCACAACCATCAGTGCAAAGGATTAACGCTCACTAAGTGCCCACAGCATAGAAGTAACCCTTTCATTTTACACTTTGAATTCCTTAATGAAGCTTTTTCCATGCTCATTACTAGTGTTAATCAGCAGCATTGGATCCCGAGGCGCCTCTGCGTGCTAAAATGCCTGTATCGTATTCTCGGCTAGAATGGTAGTCAAGGTTTTGGCTTTAAGGAAAAGCATTTGTGGAGCTAACCTCCATTGTCAAGTTTTTGGGTTCCGAAGTCTATTCTGTTTCCCTTACGGCAAGAAGTCTGTGCTTAAATTGTGGTGAACTACCATCGTTTTGGAGGAAAGATTTTATGTCGCCTCAAATCTCTGCATTCATTTGACGTGGCAAAAGTTGGCAAGTTAGTTAAAACAGTACAAGCACTTCGTGACCAATTCCTCGATTTGTCATTTCCGCATCAATTTTGGACCTATTTGTTCCTATACCCTGCTGGTTTATTAATTACCACATCTGCTTTTTTTCTGAATAGCTTGATCCACCACCGGGTTTGTGACTACAGTCCCTGTACGTCATAGCTTCTTTGTCACTACTCATGTAGACAATGCATATTCACCCCATCCTCCTTCACTTAAACCTGTTATCGACCCCAGACTTAGTGTGAATATCTCCTGACGCAACTTGTTCACGTTTTTTTCATCTGATGCATGCATGGATCATTTATGCTTCATCTACACCTGATTTTCGCATTTGTGCGCATTGCGATTTTGGAAGTATTCTCACCTTTAGTCGGAATTCCTGAATCCGATTATCATCGTGTTCAAGTTTCGCATTTTTCGAGTTTACGTAGGCATTGCGACGATAGTTGGAGATAAATTCCAGTTCCTTTGAGCTTATTCTACTTTTTTTCTACCTTAGAATTCTTCTCAGCCACTGCTCGAAATTTATATTATTAGAAATTTGGTGTTGGTAGGAGTTTTTGCCCTTTATTATAAGTTGAATTCCTCTTTGATGAAAGGACGGGGCATAAAACTGTGAGTAACGGCTCTGGCTTATCGGGCAATAATTTTGGCTTGAATGTGTACATGATTAAACAAGCCGTATAATGATTGAAGCTATCGGATTTCATTGTCTGCTTGGGGATTATTACTTTGATTAAATTAAGATAGGCAAGACTGTACATTTTTCCTTTTGAGCCTTCCACTTTTCCAGTTGGAAGCAGCAAATCAAGTCTTTTTGTCCGAAGTTCTTCATCCTTCCATTTAAACTTCTTTACTTGTTAGGGAAAATGCAGGGCAGTGGCCTCAGGGAGTAGCGCTTAAGTGTATGACATGCTTTTAGCTGGCGGCGGTGATTCGTGACTGACTCACATGTGCCTTGTCTACCCAATACATTCCACTCTACCTGAGCCTCTCACTTTGCTCCTCTTCGAGTACCTTTTGTATGAATACAAAAACTGGAGAATGCCATAGCAAGAACTGACTTAAGGTAACTTTATCCCATAAAAAATACAAAGGGTCAGATTTTGCCGTTACTCACCGTTTTTAAAGTCGCATAAGTGGGCTAGGCTGAATATAAAACAACCGCGATCAGACATAACTATCAGCAGGAATTGACGCTGAAACTGCTGATCAAGACGTTACTTGACTTCCTTTCTATCAGAACTTTTGTCTTGCTTCTTACTGCATTTGCTTAAGAATAAGCCTTTGAGTTTTAAGTGAAGGAAAATCAGTTCCATTATCTTTTCCCACCACTTTTCTACCGACTTATAAGCATTTTTAAAACCGGAAGGAATATAATTATTACCCCTCAAATGGATCCACAAAAATGACTGGTTCGTTAGGGATGAGACTTGATGAAATCTATTTCCTTAAACTGACTAAGAACTCTTGTTATTTATTTGCAGTATCAAGCGCTAGCATCACGCGAATTTTCTGCTGGAAGTTAACTCGTAACTCTACAGATTCACCACATAAAATGTTCTTTTATTGGCACTTGAGACACATGACTTTTTCTTCCATTGCTTCTTTAGCTATTTGCATTTGTTCTTTTGAATCATCTCCTCTCACCGTTGGACTTATTTTTTTACGTGCTTTACGTGCTTATGCCTCTGTTGTCCCACTCCTTGGGGTACAAATCGACCAAACCTTCCCAGTTCTCCATCTGCTTCCCCTTCCAGATCACCCTCAGTCTCGGCTGGGTTGCGGTTGTCTGTCTATGTTTTATTCACCCGCTTTAAAAGTTGGTATCAAAATAGCTCCGATGTTCTATCAAATAGCCCCATTGCTCTTGGTGTTCTCTCGTATAGCGGTGGTCTCCTGTTTTACTACTCCCGCTCCGTGCTTTTTATCAAGCCTTCCTATCATACTTACTGGGCGTTTCCTTCTCTCATTTGTGCACCTCACTAGGTCTACGCTCCTCATTTTAACATTTATTTTCCCATAATATCATAGCTCTGGGATGAGTGTCGTAAAGGAGTCAACTAACTGAATGCATGAAGTATTTTGATTCATTACTACCTTAATCCTCCATGTGAAGACACGCGGCTTAAAATAACTCAAAAGTGCCTTTCTGGGGTCGCGGAAATGTTACGCTTTACCTTCAGTACTCACCTTATATTCTTACTCACAATTGAGGTTGTAGTAGCTCTCCATCGCTCACTGGAGGAGTAACACGATTCATCTGTTAGGCTTACTAGAATGCTTGGCAAACTCAATTCGTTCTTCCACCCCTTACGTGATCACACGAGGTAGACGAAAATGGGATAAAAGGTGAAAGCTCCCATCTGGAACTTTTGATGAAATTCCAGAGGTTTGCCATGTTCGGTAAGGGCTCAACCAACCAGTCGATTCTTTCTCTTAATAGATCAGAGTCTAACTCTACTTACTTATTCACTTTTTGGCTGGAACTATTTTAGGTAGTAAATTTTGAAAAGCAAAAGCATGAAATTCGGTTTCACTGTAATTGTCTATACTATCCAAGGCGCCAGTTTAAAATAAGTTGGTTTTCGTGTACGAGCTGAAAGACCTGCATAACTTGTCTCCTATGCTTGTAGCTTTTGGGACCTGATTACATCCTTTGCTGTTCCTGCCTTGGAGGCTAGTATGTTATTGGTGGAAAGGATGGGTCACTGGGTTTTCTTCCTCTCGCTTCGTCTTTTTGGTGTAAATGCGTCTGACCTCCCGTCCACTAGGGAATGGCTGGTTAGTGTTCCATTACAGTAGGTGACCTCGTTGTTCCTGTGCTATGAGGTTACCTGCATACTTAGCACAACACGGTTGCCATTGCATAGGAATAAGTCCTATTCAGTAAAATTCACGAGTAAATGATGGGAATAAGCGGTCCTGACTTTTATTAATAAGTAACCGAACCGGTAACTTCATGGTGATTCTTCGAACGTCTTCGCAACATTTCGATAAATTGATACTTCTGTTTCCATTGCATTCTCTGCTATTCAACATTTAGTCGATTTCCAACATTATTCGGAGTCTGTGTGGCATGAAAGGCAAGGCGTTTTTTTGCATGCCCTGTGCTTTTTTACCATCTTTTCAAAGAATTGAGGTAGAGTGGTCATTTTGAGTTCATTAAATTTTTAGACCAACGATTGTCTTTTATTCACTATCATAGCTCTGGCATCAATGCGATTGTAGCTGTTACGCATTCACAGTGGCGACGTGAAACGGGTCACCTTTGTCACCCTGAAATCGTGTTCAGCGATGCTTTTGTTTTTTTTGGCCTCAGAACACTTTTTTGTTCAAAGCAAGTCTTGCTGGTCAATAAACTAAGTTGCGTGGAGACTTGATGCCTTGATCAGTTTTATTTTCCTTTCAATGTAGTTACGTTGCTCAAAATATACACTCAACTATTCTAACTTCTCAGATTTTTTCCACAAAAATGATGAACACAAAGGAAAAAACGATTATCTGGAAGTCATTGATACGCCATTTCACATTATTTACTAGCGCCTTTTGCTGTTTTGAAGACATGAAAAGTTTTGCACACCTTACATGGGAGATGAATGATGACAACCACACGTTGTCCTCCCTCGTAGGTAAGACTGGTCTCGGAGCACAGACAATGCAGCGACTATATAACCCGGTCCTTCTACCTACAGGAGAGCGAATCCGGTGAAACACGCACAGTGACGCAATTTCACTTCCTCAGTTGGCCTGAGGAAACGCCCTCCTGCGAGTTGAAGACGTTGCTTGAATTCCGAAGGTGCAATGATTCTACTTTACTTCCAGTCCTCCAGTTTCTATCCTTTATACAGACTTCCCTGACTTGATGGCGTGTGCTGATTTAGTGTAGAGATAGAATGGTTTTATCCAAACTCGGGCTTGCAATTTTGTAGCGTTGTATCAATCTTTAGAATTGATGGTGTTTTTAGTGGTGGACTACTCTCGTCCTAAAAATGACCACATTTTTAGCTGTTGAGCTTTTTGCTTCGAAAGCGCGTGAATGTTAATGTCATTAGTGAAACAATGGAGTATCATTATAGTGGCGGTCCATTCTCCATAGAAGTCTTGGTGAGAATATGCTGATTGGCTGTCAAATTTCGCAGGATTCCTCCCTCCACTCAAATATCTACGGCATTTTTTCGATTTTAGAAAGGTGAATAAGTCATTTCGAGCGAAGAACAGTCCTGTGGTGGTTCACTGCAGGTGAGTTCACATTTTTTTAAGTGCACTTACTTTTCATACAACAGTTTTTGATTTTCATAAAGTCTTTGCATCATTTTATACTTTGTATCTGTCGCTCAAGCGAGACTATCACGCAAGGTTTTGTTAACATCTTCGCAGTTTATCTCGGGAGGAGTTGAGTTGAAACAAATTCGTAAGAGTTCGATGCATTACCATTTGTTTTTAAGCACAAGCTAGGTGAGGGTCATGACCCTCTTATCCTTATTTACATACTAATAATTGGGCCTGCACTTTGCATTCATATGCTCAACATAGAATGGGTTATTAATTTCTTTGCACACTTTTATCCACACCACCATGAAATCATTGCCACGAAAATGGTGCATGAAAAGGTGGTCATTATGCCTATTAAGTACCTCTTAGATTCTGCTGTAGAGGCACTAAACAATCTATTTTTATTCTGCTGGCGCCTGCATTTTACTTTACCGTGGTGGATTCTGGGACTTCATCGCAGAAGGCGAAGCTGTTACTACTTTAATTGCCCACCTGAGTGGACCATTGGCATATCCCTCCATTAAGTGCGTCTAAAAATTAAGACGAAACAGAATGAAACAGTATAGCAACTTAGCCTTGTGCAATGCAAGGTTCACGGTGCTGCAACTTTGTCGCCAACTTTGTTGATTATCCACCTGTTATCCTTGGAAGAAAAGGGTGTTTAGGTGAATTTATCCTGCATAGTCAATGGACTGAATGGCTGATCGAACAATGTGGCACAATCTCCTTTCCCCTAAGTCTATTTCCGCACCCACCAGTTGAGGTCTCTGAGTGAAGTCTTGTTGGCTTAACGCAGATGTTTGAGGTTGTAAAAGCCATAGAGTTGATTTTCAATCATCCTGTCCAACACGAACTGCTTCTGTAATGGGGGTGTCTGTGACAATCTTAGCCTAATTATTTCCATCAAAAGCTACGTTTATCTCATTCTAATAGAAATGTGCATGTTCTTACCCAGATAGGCGTGACCAATTTTCTGTTACCTTGAGTTGAATGTTGGATTCATCGATTACAACTACCTTTTTTTAATGCCAGAGGCAAGCAACTGGACAAGATGTGCCTTGTTTACAAAGGAAAATGACGATTGTCCCCATTTTTGTGGATTATGTGAAATCTTTATTACAAATAAAGACTCAGAAGTCGTCTTTGGAAGCTGCATAATGTCTCTATTAAAATGTTTTCGAATGAAATTTGGGACCTCATTGGGAAACCAATTTAAATCCAAACGTGATCACTATTTTCCTATCTCTTCACTTACTTTCATATGTTGCATGATTGCTTTTGCATTGGTTCATTCGCCATACTTCGGCGATTTCAGGGATGGTTCGAGCAAGACTGGAACCTATTTGCTGTTGGATCTTGTTCTCAGTCGAATCAGTAAAGGTGTCAAGGAGTTGGATGTAGCAGCTTCTCTTGAGCATCTTCGAGATCAGCGACAAGGCATGATCAAATCAAAGGTAGTTTTCAATTCAATGCCGATATGGGATTAAGTGGATTGTCTTGTTGACGTATGGAAGAGGCTGAATTGGACGTTATTATCGTGTGAGGCGTGTTTAGTTTTTGTCACTTTTAAAGTAAGGGGTACGATACTCTGAAGCTGACTTCAACACTTAAGCATATTTCGTGACGACTGATATAGTGATGAGAAGTTTCGGTGGCTGTTGACAGTTTTCTCATCATTTAGTCAATCTTGGCTGACCTGTGATGTGTGAATTTAGGCTCAATTTGAATTTGTTCTTGCTGCGATCGCTGAGGAGGTGAACACGATGCTGAACTCCACCACCTCCTGAGGATACCAATTCGGTTGACCTGCCTCTCACCCTCCTACGCCCCTTCTACCGCT